TTCCCACTGTTACCTTGTAGTACATAATCCTCACTCGACTCTCTCACATTCTCCATCCAATCCGACCTGAACGTCATGTGACGCGTGCATCCGCTGTCCATGAACCATGACGTCTTCTCACGATCGTCCGTCTGCCGAACCTCCTTCGGTAAACGCACCACGTTCGCAAGATGCGCTCCTCCCAAAATCACATCCTCCTTTTCCGCTTCCACTACATTCGCCTTTGTCGCCACATTCCTCTGCTGCGACGGACCCTTGTAGCTCATGCTATTCGGGTTGGAGTAGCACTCTGCGGCACGATGCCCGTAGCGCCCACAATAATCACACTTGCTGCCAAAACCTCGTTTCTGCTGCCACTCCGCTCCCCCATTTTCTCCTTCGTCTTTCTCCACCGCTTTACCCTTGTAGTTTCTGCTTCGCGGATTTTCGTAGCAGTGTATTGCCTTATGACCGCGCTTTCCACATTGGTAGCACGCTCCGAACACCTTCGTTGCATTCACCAAAGCCGACCTCTCCTCGTCAAATTCCTTAGCTGCTGCTGCCGCTTTCTTTTTCCTCATCTCCTTCACCGTCTCAAGCGACTGCAGAACCTCCTGCAGCTTCATCAAACTCTCCGGCGGTCGGTACGTAAACATACCGATGTCGGATTCCCACTCCTTAGGAAGGCCTTGGATGATATAGTCAATCATCTCATGCTCCGTCTCCGCGGCTCCCATCACCCGCAAATCGTCGTTGTAGCTTTTCGCCCTGTTGATGTAGGTGATGATTTTCTCGCCTTTCTCCATGCTCAGCATCAGCAGTTGCTTCCGAATCGCCTTCTTGTTGACATCGTTCGTACCCATGTACGTGGACTCCAGGTACTCCCACGCTCGCTGTGCAGAGTTCAGGTCCCCTGCAAACTGGTCCAAATCCACCGCGATTCCATCGGCAACTGAATGACAAAGCTGAAAGAACGCTTGCTTACTTTGCTTTTTGAACGCCGCTATTTTCTCCTTCGTATCCGTCGTGGAAGGCGCAACTCCCCCCATCGTCTCCTCGTCGGGACGGTAGTACGGCAAGAGGTCCACCTCCTCTGCCCTTCGAATGAACTTCTTTCGCCACACATTGTAGTTGCTTCCATTGAAGCGCTGGGCTTCACTGAGCCCGATCGTCGGTTTCGCCACCAATCGGCCACTCGCAAGGGCCTCGAGAAGAGCCTTCAACTGCGGGTCTCCAAGACTCACACTGGAACCCGAACTCGCCTCGTCTCCCATAGCGTAGGCGTGAACGACTCCTCTTCTCCACTAATTTCACTTAGCGCACCAAGTGAATTCGCGACGATCGACGCGCTCGTTCGCCAAGCTCTGATACCAGTTCTTAGGATCGTAAGCACCTTAGTCGGCAATAGTCTACTTGCTATTGCTTATCGTGTTCTCCACGATCTCCCGAATCCAACGATATGCGCAGCTCTGCTTGAAGTTGTCAATACACACTTCAGCAATTTTCAAAATCTGATTGTTATAATTTCCAGAATGAGTACAAGCAGTTTTATAGTCAAGCAAGACACAAAATACGATTCGTAACTTCACTTGTTTCCCAAGTAACCGCGTGCGCCTCGTTTCACCCCGAGTCGCACACGGAACCGAACCGAATGCACCGAACACTCCTCAAGTCCGAATCCCGAACTTTCTCGAACGCGCCTTGGTCTCGAAGCACATTTTCCCCTCGTCAATCTCATTCTCGATGCTTCTCCTTCTCTCTCCCTCCTTCTAGCAGATTTCTTCCCAATTCTTCTCCGTTTCTCACGCCGTAGCTTCTATTCCCCACCGTAGGCCGATTTCCACCGTTTCACACACGCGCTTCCATTTCGCCGTCATTCCGCCGTCGTAGAGACTTTCGCCATAGGTTCCGTGGTTGGGCGAACCAACCCTAACATCCCTTGCCTCTCTGGCTCGCTCCAGGCTGTGCATCAGCCCGCTGCCCCCCTCTCTGCTGTCGCGTTGATCCCATCCTCCCTCACCGTCACGTCTTCCATCACGTTGCCCATACCGGCGAGGCGAGCGAGACCCACTGCCGCGCCTTTCATTCTCGCTCTGTTGCTTGTGCTGCGAGCGGTATCCGCCTCCCCTGTTTCCTTCATGCCGCATGTGCCGTTCGGGCGAGCGGTAGCCGCCTCCGCGCCTCTCCTCTCGAGAGTCATACGGATCTGGTGAGCGCGAATCCCCTCCGCTTCTCCAGTCGTGATACTTCCGAGGATCTGGCGAGCGCGCGTTGCCTCCGCGCCCACTCTCCCTGTGTTGTCGCGGCTCTGGCGAGCAGTGGCCGCCTCCTCGCCTCTCCTCACGCAGCGGCCGCAATTCTGGCGAGCGGTAACCGCTTCCTCGCCTCTCGTCATACTGCCGCCGTGGCACTGGTGAGCGCACGCCGCCACCGCGCTCCCCGTCACGGTTCTGCCGCTGATCTGGCGAGCGCGCGCCGTCACCACGTCTCCCATCACGATTCAGCCGCGGATCTGGCGAGCGCGCACTGCCTCCGCGTCTCCCGTCACGATACAGCCGCGGATTTGGCGAGCGTGCACCGCCGCCGCGTCCCCCTCCACGATGCAGCCGCGGATCTGGCGAGCGCGCACCACCGCCGCGCCCCTTTCCGGGATACAGCCGCGGATCTGGCGAGCGCGCACCGCCTCCGCGTCCTCCGTCACGATTCAGCCGCGAATCCGGCGAGCGCACGCCGCCGCTGCGACTCTCGCCCCTTTGTTGACGCGGATCTGGAGAGCGCGAGCCACTACCACGCTTCCCGCCGTCACCCTTCTCTCCGCCGCGCGGCTGGTCTCGAGTACTGCCCTTTTCGTCCGCCTCCGCCGCACTTGTCTCGACCGCCATGCCCGCCTGCGCGGGATCGTCGTCGTTGACTCCAGCGGGCATTTCGCGCTGCTCGCCTGCGCCTTCCTTCTGGGATTCGTCATCGCCCTTGGCCTCGCCTTCGCGATCCGTCTCCCGCACTTGATTCGCCGTATCGGCCTCGTCTTCACCATCCACATCAAGATCGCCCTGGAGACCCGAGAAGGGCTCCTCCAGGCCTCGCCCGCGACTCAGATCTTCGCGACGTCGATAACCTTCCTCCGGCGAGCGGTAAGCTCCCGTGTCCTGGCGGTACTCATGGCCGCCCTCGGCTCCGCGGCGTCCGTCCGTCCGCCACGGGTCGCTTCCCATCATGGCAGATCCAGATCCGCCCCTCCCTTCTCATGCGGATCCTCCCTCCTGGCGATCTGGCGCAAGAGGGACCTGATCCGCGCGAGGCCGGCCTCCGCAGCGATCGCTCAGGCCGCCGCGGCGACCTCTCCAACGAACGCCCGCGTTCACGTGAGCGTTCGCGCCGCGAGCGCTCCTCCTCACGGCGACCGTAGTTCCTGCCGTAACGCAGCTCGTACACATCCATGCTTGTACGCGCACCTTTCCGTTGGTTATGAAAGAACAGTAGCTCTCACCTCAAGGGTCCTCCCTGAGTGGTGTGTTACCTGTTCTGGAAAGCTTAGGCAACAACAGTCCACTATACGAAAGGATAACCAACGGAAAGCATCAGGTGTGTGTGTGGGAGTGAGTTTACCTGGCCCAGGCTCGAACCGTGCATTTCTCAATGTGCGGCTCGAGCCTGGGTTGGGTTCGTTCACATTGGTTGCGTGGATTTCACCCCTCGGTGCTCTCCTACCAACTTCGCGTCAATTTCCCAGCTCCCACCTACCTATCCTTGAACCTGCATACAACACATAACTACACCCGCACTACACCACAACATTACAGGCACCTTATATGCACAACCGTGCATATTCGGTGACATTCTTGCCGTTCGTCAGCGGCCGGCGGCCAGCGGCCTTGCCGTTCGTCGGCGGCCGGCGGCCTTGCCGTTCGTCGGCGGCCGGCGGCCTTGCCGTTCGTCGGCGGCCGGCGGCCTTGCCGTTCGTCGGCGGCCGGCGGCCTTGCCGGTCGTCGGCGGCCGGCGGCCTTGCCGTTCGTCGGCGGCCGGCGGCCTTGCCGTTCGGCGGCCGGCGGCCGTGCCGTTCGTCGGCGGCGGACGGTGGCCTTGCCGTTCGTCGGCGGCGGCCGGCGGCCTTGCCGTTCGTCGGCGGCGGCCGGCGGCCTTGCCGTTCGTCGGCGGCCTTGCCGTTCGTCGGCGGCCTTGCCGTTCGTCGGCGGCCGGCGGCCTTACCGTTCGTCGGCGGCCGGCGGCCTTGCCGTTCGTCGGCGGCGGCTGGTGGCCTTGCCGTTCGTCGGCGGCCGGCGGCCTTGCCGTTCGTCGGCGGACGGCGGCCTTGCCGTTCGTCGGCAGCCGGCAGCCTTGCCGGTCGGCAGCGGCCGGATTTGCCGGTCGTCGGCGGCCGGCAGACTTGCCGTTCGGCGGCGGCCGGCAAACTTGCCGTTCGTCGGCAGCCGGCGGCCTTGCCGTTCGTCGGCGGCCGGCGGCCTTGCCGTTCGTCGCCGGCCGGCGGCCTTGCCGTTCGTCGGCGGCCGGCGGCCTTGCCGATCGTCGGCTGCCGGCTCCTTTGCCGTTCGTCGGCGGCCGGCGGCCTTGCCGTTCGTCGGCGGCCGGCGGCCTAGCCGTTCGTCGGCGGCCGGCGGCCTTGCCGTTCGTCGGCGGACGGCGGCCGGCGGCCTTGCCATTCGTCGGAGGCCGGCGGCCTTGCCGTTCGGCGGCCGGGGGCCGGCGGCGTTGCCGTTCGTCGGCGGCCGGGGGCCGGCGGCCTTGCCGTTTGCCGTTTGGCCGGCGGCATTGCCGTTTGCCGTTTGGCCGGCAACTTGCTGCAGACTCCTGGGGCTCACCAGCCTCGCCAAAACCAAGCACCAGCAGTCCCCTAAACAATAAATCACCACACCACCCACCTGCCAGAAGCCCTGCCTTCAACTCCCTGACTTGCTGCAGGCTCCTGGGGCTCACCAGCCTCGCCACCACCAACTAAGCATGGTGCCCAAAGAAAGGACCACCTCACCACCCCCCTCCCTCACCTTCACATCACCACCACTCACCGGCCAGCATCTCTGCCTTGAGCTCTCTCACTTGCTGCAGGCTCCTGGGGCTCACCAGCCTCGCCACCAGCCCCTCCATGATGTTTCCTTGAAGCTTCCCATGCGACGCAGTGCCTGAGGCAGGGCAAAGGGGGGCGCGGCAACGTGGTCAGGTAAGGGAAAGGGGGCGAGAGTTAAGGGTTACTTTGCTATTTTAAGAAAAGAGGGGAAAGGCATTGCAGAGGAGGAGGAACACCGCAAGGAAGGGGGAAAGACGTTCGAGCAAGGAACGCGGAAGGAGCCCTCCTCATTCAAGGTGGAAAGAGGGTGCGCATGAGTCTGCGAGTAAGAGGCTGACCTGCAGCGTGTGCTCAACCGAGTGGGCTGTGCCCTCCTCACTCAACGCTTGAAGGGAGACCAAGGCAGAGCATGGGGCATGGCCATTGTGCCTGCCTGCCTGTATGCGAGCGATAAGCTGACCTGCAATGGTGACGTCTGCGATTCCAGTGAGCGTCTCCTCTACTGAGTGCGCCGTGCCCTCCTCACTCAGCGCTGAGTATGCTGCAAACAGCTGTGAGCACGACCGCCTGGTGGACAGGAAATGGGCGCATGCTTGAATCATGAAGGCACACTTGAGAGTGGAGAAAGAAATGAGAAGGGCGCAGGCGAGAAGCGAGAAGGGAGAAGAGGAGAGAGAAGAGAGACGAGAGACGAGGGGAGTGAGAATAGGGGAAGAGAGAAGCTACTGCATTGCCGTGGCTTTGCGTTGCCTACCCATTGTTGCTGCACCGTTTGCAATTTTCAGCAATAACGACCTTTGGAGGGAAGAGGGAGGGGCGTACGAAGAATGGAAGAGCCAGTAGGAGTTGAAGGGCAGGCGCCAGGTGTGACAGAAGCGCAGCACCTCGGGTGTGGAGAGGAAGCGCGGAGGGTGGCTTGCCATGTCCGTGACTGCTGTCACCACCACTGGCAGGGGTGTTCATGGGGCATGGGGGAGGGGGAGGGAGAGAGACGAGCATGGGTAGAAACGTGAGAGGAATGATAGATTTCGAAGGCCTCAAAAACAATTTCTGTGACCAATGGGAGGGGACGAATTCGGAATGCAAATGGCAGACAGCACGAGAGGAGGTGCGCGAGGCTGGTGGCATGCAACACAAGTCATGGCCCAAGACTGCCCGCTCATACGCTGCACCGTACGCTCATACGCTGCACCGTACGCTCATACGCTGCACCGCACGCTCATACGCGCTGCACCGCACGCTCATACGCTGCACCGCACGCTCATACGCTGCACCGCACGCTCATACGCTGCACCGCCCGCTCATACGCTGCACCGCCCGCTCATACGCTGCACCACCCGCTCATACGCTGCACCGCCCGCTCATACGCTGCACCGTACGCTCATACGCTGCACCGCACGCTCATACGCTGCACCGCACGCTCATACGCTGCACCGCACGCTCATACGCTGCACCGCCCGCTCATACGCTGCACCACCCGCTCATACGCTGCACCGCCCGCTCATACGCTGCACCGCACGCTCATACGCTGCACCGCCCGCTCATACGCTGCACCGCCCGCTCATACGCTGCACCGCCCGCTCATACGCTGCACCGCCCGCTCATACGCTGCACCGCCCGCTCATACGCTGCACCGCCCGCTCATACGCTGCACCGCCCGCTCATACTCTGCACCACCCGCTCATACGCTGCACCGCCCGCTCATACGCTGCACCGCCCGCTCATACGCTGCACCCGCCCGCTCATACGCTGCACCCGCCCGCTCATACGCTGCACCGCCCGCTCATACGCTGCACCGCCCGCTCATACGCTGCACCACCCGCTCATACGCTGCACCGCCCGCTCATACGCTGCACCGCCCGCTCATACGCTGCACCGCCCGCTCATACTCTGCACCACCCGCTCATACGCTGCGCCGCCCGCTCATACGCTGCACCGCCCGCTCATACGCTGCGCCGTCCGCTCATACGCTGCACCGCACGCTCATACGCTGCACTGCACGCTCATACGCTGCACCGCCCCCTCATACACTGCACCACCCGCTCATACACTGCACCGCACACTCATATGCTGCACCGCCCGCTCATACGCTGCGCCGCCCGCTCATACGCTGCACCGCCCGCTCATACGCTGCACCGCCCACTCATACGCTGCACCGCCCGCTCATACGCTGCACCGCCCGCTCATGCGCTGCCACGCCTGTCCGTCCCGCCTTCCCTCTTCGTCCTGCCACGCTCATCCTACATCCTCAGGTACTCGGCAGTGCGCGTTTTGGGTGCTGGGGAGACGCTGCGCAACGCGTGGGGGGAGAGCCTGCTGCGACAGCACCCGCACGCCCACTGTGCCCATACTGCATCGTATTGCCCCACTCACTGCCACACCTGTCCGCCCTGCCTTCCCTCATATCCTCAGGTACTCCGCAGTGGGCGTGTGGGTGCTGGGAGAGACGCTGCGCAACGCGTGGGGGGAGGGCCTGGCGCGTACCATCTTACTGCCCCACTTACTGCCACGCCTGTCCGTCCTGCTTTCCCTCATATCCTGCACCACACGCTCTCACAATAGCCATGCCGTGTTCTCACCATAATCCTGCAGCGGTCTCTGCCCGTGATCCCCCAGCACTGATGTGACCAGCTCCATGCCTACAGCCATGCGATGGTGCTGCCGTGTGTGTGTGTGTGCATAGGGGAGGGAGGGGAAAGCGAGTGAGGGGTTGTTGGCGCATAGGCTTGGAGCGGTCTCTGCCCGTGATCCCCCAGCACTGATGTGACCAGCTCCATGCCTACAGCCATGCGATGGTGCTGCCGTGTGTGTGTGTGTGCATAGGGGAGGGAGGGGAAAGCGAGTGAGGGGTTGTTGGCGCATAGGCTTGCAGCGGTCTCTGCCCGTGATCCCCCAGCACTGATGTGACCAGCTCCATGCCTACAGCCATGCGATGGTGCTGCCGTGTGTGTGTGTGTGTGCATAGGGGAGGGAGGGGAAAGCGAGTGAGGGGTTGTTGGCGCATAGGCTTGCAGCGGTCTCTGCCCGTGATTCCCCAGCACTGATGTGACCAGCTCCATGCCCACCGCCATGCGATGGCGCTGCCAAGTGTGTGTGTGTGTGCATAGGGGAGGGAGGGGAACGCGAGTGAGGGGTTGTTGGCGCATAGGCTTGCAGCGGTCTCTGCCCGTGATTCCCCAGCACTGATGTGACCAGCTCCATGCCCACCGCCATGCGATGGCGCTGCCAAGTGTGTGTGTGTGTGCATAGGGGAGGGAGGGGAACGCGAGTGAGGGGTTGTTGGCGCATAGGCTTGCAGCGGTCTCTGCCCGTGATTCCCCAGCACTGATGTGACCAGCTCCATGCCCACCGCCATGCGATGGCGCTGCCAAGTGTGTGTGTGTGTGCATAGGGGAGGGAGGGGAACGCGAGTGAGGGGTTGTTGGCGCATAGGCTTGCGGCGGTCTCTGCCCGCGAAATGATTCCCCAGTACCGATGTGACCAGCTCCATGCCCACCGCCATGCGATTGCGCTGCCGCGTGTGTGTGCATGCAATAGAGAGGGCGGGTAAAGGGGGGGTTGTTGGTTGCTGCTGACATGGTTTCATTTCTTCCGCACTTCATATAGCAATTTAATTACCGATGCATGCATGCATGCACACACAGACACACACATGCACGCACATGCGCACAGATACAGTGGCAGCTTCCGTCACTGGCTCCGCCATAACCCCAGCCCAGTGAAGTGAGTGACTGACCTCCAGGTAGTCGCTCACCTCCCGCTGCTTCTGCCGCACCACGCCCTCCCCCCACGAAGTGACTCTTAAGGCGACTCGAAAACAGATGCAGCAACCACTTACTGCGCTGCCTCCCCCATTGCCCCCAGGACCGACTGACCTCCAGGTAGTCGCTCAGCTCCCTCTGCTTCTGCCGCACCACGCCCTCCCCCCACGCGTTGCGCAGAGTTTCTCCCAGCACCCACACGCCCACTGCTGAGTACCTGAGGACATGCGGTAAGGCAGGACAGACAGGCACGGCAGGAAGGACAGGCATAGCAGCCAGTGGGCGTGGGCAATACGATGTGGTATGGACAATTCTAGTAACTCTCCCCCGGTACCCACAGGCCCACCGCAGAGTACCTGAGGACGTGTGTGGGACAGGAGGGACAGGCTTGGCATTCAGTGAGGCAATACGATGAGGTATGGTGTGGACGCTTCCAATCACTCTTTCTTCTTGATTGTAAGACACATCAAGACGCGTCACTCACTCGTTGCCGAAGGAGTTCTTAGCATACGCGCCTCTCCTCGCCCCCGCCCACAGAAAGAGCGAGCCGCTGTGCTTCACTGATACCTGCCCGAGAATGGGGTTTTAAGAGGGGTTCAAAGGCTTGAGGGGGGTGAGGGACGGAGAGAGAGAGGGGAGGGAAAGAGTTGAGCATACTGCAAGCAACGAGTCAGAATTACACGGATTTCGCTGTTCAGGTAGAAGCTGGATGGCAAAGGAAGGAAGCATGGCTCACCCTCAGCAATGAATGAGTTTGTTGTCAACATCAACGGTGCAGATGAATTTGACAGCATCAATGGTGCAAATTGCCTCAGAGCTCTCACCTCGAGAACGCCAACGCCATTGCCGACAAGCCGCTCCATCTCCCCGCGGACCTGGCATGACGGGAGCGGGGTGGAACGGGAAGGGGGGAACGAAAGGGGCGGTATGGAAATGGCACATCCAGTTCAGCGCAATGAATCATTGGTTGTCAACAATGCTAAATGCAACAGAGCACGCGTCGGTTGCTCGCTTCCTCGCCACTCCCTCTCCCTTCCACCTCTGTGTGAGTCTCTATCCACAAGTGTCTCACGAATTCACCTCCCCGTCCGCAAATTCGTCTGTACTTCGAGTACAACGACTTACCTCCCCATCCGCGAATTCGTTCTCGAACTTGGGGTAGAACGACATTTGAGTTTTTTCAGAAATCACATCTGCGTGAGTCCCTATCTGCAAGTCCCTCGCTGATTCACCTCGCCATCCGCGGATTCGTTCTCGAACTTTGGGTAAAACGGCATCTGAGATTTCTCAGAAGTCACCTCTGTGCGAGTCCCTATCTGCAAGTCTGATTCACCTCGCCATCCGCGGATTCGTTCTCGAACTTGGGGTAAAACGCCGCCACTATGCGCGCCACTGCCATTTTCCGCGTCTTCGACCCGGCGCTGCTAGCGCTGCTCGCGCTTCCGCGCACCCCGCCTTCCCCCGCTTCCGCATTCGTTAAGCCGCTGGCGCCGTCGCACGTTTCTCCTCGTCCACGCGGTGATTCGCTTCTGCGAGATTCCCTGTGCTTGCTCTTGCGCGAACCTCGTCCCTTGGTCGGCATGCTGCACGACGAACGTAACGAAATCGGACGAAAAGCGAGCGGATTTGCTGGTTCGCAATCCTGCACTACCGCAGCTGTCAGTGGCGCTGCTGGTGCTGCTATATCTAGCGTGCTTCGACTGGTGGCGAGTCTGAGTCTAAATGCGGGACGGATGCTCGCTGTGAACCGAGCGAGCACACGCATTGAAACTAAGATTCCCCACGCATGCGTAGGGTCTTGGGTTGAAAGAAAAGGCGCCTTGCTTCATGAAGACGCAACGCGAGTCTCTGGTCTGACATGGCATCGTAGAACAAAGTTGTGTGGGTTGTAGAGCACGACCACAAACGAATCCCGCCCACCGAGTACACACAATATGGTGTTGAATTTCTCTTACTATTTACTACATATTATTTTTGAGAGCACTCAGTGTTCGAAACTGTCTGTAGCCAGAACCAAGCACATATGTAAGTTCACTCTAGGGAAAGAATCTATATCGGGAGTCAGGTTGTGGCTGTGCTTTCCGTGGCGCTTGCCGTTACTATAGGGAGAGGAATTTTCGCCACAAAGCCGCCTTTCTGCATCCTTGTGGCACCTAGTCGCACCTACCGCCAAGCCCAAAGCACTTCCGGCGATCCCGCAGCTGGGATTCAATCAGGTTCCAGGTGACTGCAGTTCGGCATTCAATCAGCAACCTGGCTGTCAGCTTCGGCAAGCGCCAAACCAAGCGGTTTTCCTCTCTCCCACCTCCTCCCCGACCTGCGAACAGTGGTCCCAGTTTTTCTTTGTGCTTGGCAGGCTTGTTCCCGCCAGACGTACTTGTGGTTCGGCTGTTCTGTTCCCGCTTCCTTCGAGCCGAGCCTCGATATCTCCTCCACCAACTTCGAGGTCCATGGTTCATTCAAACCAGCCCAATACCGCTTTCTGGCATTCAAAGCATATCGCGGAAACTAAATCAGTCGTTAGTGACAGAAAATTCCTACGTAGTCTATTTTCTGCATTGTTGGCCGCTGCTCCCTCCTCACAGCTACTTTCTCAAGAGGCATTGGGGTTCTCGTGCAGTAACATAGCAGGGACGTCTCGAGCATTAGGCATGGCTCGCTCCTTCCACCGATTCAGTCTCTTTCTCGTTCTTAGCCTAGTCCTACTTGGCTCGACGGTATGTCACGCGCAACCAGATCAAGACTACCCTGATCCCGCAGGGGACACTACCTTGCCGGAGGACATGGGCGTGCCTCCGGATGAGGCAGTCGATCAATACGCGGACCCGAACGCTTTCAACGAAGGCGAAACTGCTCCCACCGATGCAGTTCCAGGCGAGGATGCCGTTCCCGGGGAAAATGCGCAAGATCCGTTCCTTCCCCCGGAAGACGCCTACCTGCCCGACGATACTACTCCCGCAGACGAGCAACAGCCTGCTGGCGAACCGGCTCCGGGGGACATCCCCTCAGAAACCACCACTGCGCCGGACGACATTCCCCCGGAAACCACCACTGCGCCGGAGGACATTCCCACTGATACCCCTCCCGTTGAGGATGCAGCCCAGCCGACGGATACCGCGTCTGCTGCGTTTGCTCCTGACACGACCGACGCTAATTTCGATCCTGATGCCGCCACTCCCGTCGACGCGACGGTTCCAACAGAATCTGCCACCGTGGCTGTTGATGATACGGTGACTGCGGGTAACGGCACGATGTACGACTTCCAAGGCGCGTACGATAAGATGAAGGGTGGCGATCTCTCCACAGAGGCCATTATTGGTATCGTCGCTGGTGAGTCCATGCATACAATCATGCTGTGCATAGTATCCCGTGTCTCCGTTAGTGGGAACTTTATCGCATTTAACATGCATTGAGACCATCTGTTGCGTTGAGACCATGCATTTTCCGTGTCTAGAACGAACGTCTCATCAAAATTAAGATGCATCTAGGATTCAACAATTGAGACCGAAAATTCGCGTCTCGGACTGAGACCGAAGATTCGCTCGACTCAGTCTCGCAGTTGGTTGAATCTCTAATACATAGAGATGGGCTAGAATGGCGCTCCATAAATTATTATATTCCGTCTCGACTGGACCAGTTTCAAGTGTCCACGTTAAATGTAAGGACTGGTCGAAATTTGTGGGCGTCATGCTGGTAAGAATCGTCACTTACAATCCATCTAAACGAAGATCACGTATGCTTTTCTTTAGTTCAAGCACAAAAGCTCCACTTTGCGTAGCCTTACAACAACCGTTTTCCTTTCTTGGATCGCGGAAGTTGCATATAATCATCCTTGGACCTCTATGCACCCAAACTGGTTCAAAACATAGTCATTAGAAAAAATAAAGTTGCAAGAAATACGAGGATCTTTTTCCCGTATTCTTAATTCGACGAATCTTACGTCGTTTTCCCATATTCCTCCCCCAACCTCCGGCCCCCAACCTCCCTCCCCGGGCTGCTCGTTCCCCTCCAGAATCCAATCCTGTCCACCTCTCTCTCATCCCTCCTAGTTGTCTTTTCCCCCCCTTGTACCCCCTCCTCACTACCACGCATTCCTGTTTCCTGTCAAGCAACTCACTGATTTCCTATCCGCTCGTGCATTGCTCAACTTCTCACTCCCTACAGCCTTGTCTTTCTGGGTGGAAAGGCCTTTCTTACAGCATCTTTATAATATTTTCCTTGTAACTTATTCTCGCCTCGATCATCATGCATACCCCAATTCTGGATGTGCAGGGGTTTGTGGCGGCATGGTCCTTGTCATGTTGTGCGCGTGCATCTGCTGGATTCGCCAACGCAACATCTGGCGAGCCAGATACGGAGAGTAAGTGATTGCTGCTGCTGTCTTTTCTCCTCCGCTCACTCCACCATGGTTTTGTTCTGGGCTGCTGTGGGCAATCTGACCTTTCAACCATTTTGAACTGTGACCTGCCTTCTTCCAACCAATGAGGATGTCTCTTTTCTGTCCTGCCCCCCTCGTCCCGTCTGTTGTTGAGCAGTGGCAATGCAGGAGCAATTGAGATGTAGGATCCAGAATGGTGCTGTAACCTGTATAGACGTTTACAGTGGAAATCCTATTTATCTGGGGCCAAGTCTTGGCAATGTCACCTAGATTGCTGATTTGAGTATGACAATACCTGTTTGATGCCAAGGTAATATGTGCCAGTGAGCAATTTTGTTGGAAGAGTAGGTGCAGGTGAAGTCAGCACAAGCTCCTTCACCTAAGGAAACATCTACCGTACCTGCAGTTGATGGTTCTAGAATCTAGAAGCAGCAACTAATGTGAACCTTTAGTGCCTAGTAGTAGAGGATTAGGTCTGAAGGTGAAGGTCTGAAAGTGCATGTGTAGATTGCATCTTTAGTTCTGTCCAATGCAACATTCTGGCAGCGGGTCAATATCATAGTATGGATGGATCTGAATATAGTATGCTAAGAGCCAAGTAAGAATTACATGACATCATTCTTCTAGCCTGCTGTAAGATCTGTCAGTATCACTGTTGTACCCGGTATTGTCATTTTGGCAGGACACACCAGATCAGCAGAGACAGACAGACACTCCCAGTCCGACTTACGTAGTTCCCATAATCGTCGACTTGTTCAGAGGAGATCCGGGATCCCCACCGGGATGTCCGCCGCAAGAGACGCTCTAGCGGTCTCGGCAGAATAATCTTGTCCGGTTTTAGATCTGCCGGATAGATCAGCAGACATCAGATTTTCGCCGATTCTTGCAATCGCAATAAAACCCAAGGGCCACAAACGTAGCAGATCGCGGCCAAAGACACGTGTGAGTACATGCTTGCACGGGATTCCGGAAAAACACGCCGCGACACCCGTCCCTCACGCCATAGTTCCATTCCCGCGCGCCGATGAGAAATTCCCAAACGCAGCGCTACCCTACCCGTCGCGCGGCCATTCCCTTCCCATCGCGCGGCTGGGATCTTCCTTTCGCGTGGCAATATCCTCCGTCGCGCTGCTATTTCCTCAAGTCCCTCCCCCTCCCGCGTCCATTCCCATTCCCCTCAGGCTTGCATCCATAACCCTCCCGCTGCCATTCCCTTCCCTCCCACTTCCATCCCCTACCCCGCACGCTGTCATTCCCTTCCCCGCACGCAGTCAGCATGGCTCTGACGTCATCATGTCGGATCCTGGTCGTTGCGGTGCTGATCGCGTGTATGGTGTCGTCAGCATGGGCCATGTATTGCGGCGACGATGACTGCTACGACCTTCTCGGGTACAGTCACCCTTACTGCGTACAGTCACACCTGACTAGGTCAAGTTACCTGCTTGGTGTCGTCCTCTTCGCATTCGGCGCCGTCCAATATCCAATCATTGGTGTCCTGCATCCAAAACACGTGATCTGATGACCGGATTAGATCCATGCTCCCGTCGCTGCCGCTCTTTCGTTTCAGCCCCTGTTATCCCAGTCATTGCAATGGCCGAGTCTTGATTCACTTCCTCGCATCGTAGTGCCAATCCCTATCTCTGCTGTGCCGTGTAACCATGTAATTGCATCAGGGTGAAGCAGACAGCGACACAGCAGGAGATCAAGAAGGCTTACTACAAGCTCTCCCTCAAATAGTGAGTGAATAGTGAGTGAGCCCCACTTTTATGAACTTATCAACTTAAGTTTCCTTTAGAATACCAACGTCCCTCTACCCCTAGTCAACCATCACCATTCCTCCCCATTCTTCACCACCCCTGGTCACCTGCCACCGCTCCTCACCACTCTGCACCCTCCACGGCCGTTCTGCTCCCTGCCTCTCATGGCAGCCATCCAGACAAGAATCCAGAGCCAGACGCGCAAGCCGTATTCTCCAAAATCGCCAACGCTTATGAGGTACAACTTTCCTGAACTGCTGAGAACTTGCGTATTTAGTAGTGTGACCTTTCGTGAGTTGAGGCTGAGAAATGTGTATGACACTGCTTTGACTCAAGAACAAGGTTATTCATTTATCGTTTGCCGCTGTCTACTCATACTTGCCTGCAGCACCACGCTTTCAGACCCCTGACACCATAGGGCTCTCATCCACGCGCCCACAAACCATGCTGAACCAGCAAAAGTCAACCTTCTACTGCCTCTTTCCCTCCTCCTCCGTCCGTCCCTCCAGATTTTGTATGATGCGGAGAAGAGGGAGCAATATGACTATGCCATCGCGCATCCAGAGCAGGTGCTTTGCAAGGCCTGATGTGGCATGGCATGGCATGGCATGTCATGGCATGGGATGGCTTCGCATGTCACGGCATGGCACGGCACGTTGCACAACATGGAAAATCATGGCATTGCATCGCATTGCATGCCATTTGCCTTGAGCAGATTCCGTGTTTTTTTGCAAGTAGGGATAGCAGTTGACGTGTATGCATGTTGCACCTTCATGGTTTGCACCACCTCGTTGGTAACATGAAGACGGCCTGCACATCAGTGCAAGCAACCCGTCTAATCCCACTTCGCGCTTCTTCCCCCCCTCCTCCTCCCCCATCCCTCCCTCTCTCCTTCCACCTGTTACTTGCCTGTTCAGTTCTTCTACAACACTGCACGCTACTACCAAACTTATTATGCTCCTAAGACGGTGGGGCTTCTGTCGCTCCTCATCTTGACAGAGCTAGTTGGCCCTCTCGTCATGGCAGCTATTCTGTGTTACAATTATCTGTTTACGTGATAAGATTTTGCACTGCGTTCTGTCGCCCTCATGCATCATACCATTACGGTGTGCTGCCTGTATGCTGCTGCCATTGCTTTTCACTGATTCACATCCCCTTCAACCACTTGCAACTTGTGGTTCTTTCTTTTGTCCCAATCATCATGATCACTTTGTGTTGCACTGGTTGATTACAGGACATTCGACTCATCCTGCTTGCAGCGCTGTTGCTGCTCTCGTCCTTCCAGTACCTCAACGATCACATTCGATACAACCAGGTGAGCCGCACCCAGTGTCATTGAGTACCAATAGGTGAGGTTCTAAGGCATCTCCTAAATTCAGCCCCTTGGGCAAGCAGGCGAATTGACTCGCTTTCCGTTCTATGGGTTGGAATCTTCTGCCAAGTGACATGTAACAGATTATTATTGTTCCTCCTTGTCGCTTTCACGTTGTTCATGCCCCATGCTGTCCTGCCACTTCCTCTCCGTCACCTCACAGGCTATAGAGCACGCCAAGCAGACCCCAGCCTACCGCAATCGCTTGAAACAGCTGGAGCTGGAAAGGGCTGCGGCTGCTGCTGCTGCTGCCAGCACCACTGGTGGAGGCAGAGGGAAGCGTGGAGGGGGCCGGCGTGGAGGAAGGTAGGCAGCGAGGGCAGAATTCACATTTTGGCACTAGTTTATATTCTCGAAGATGTGGTTTTCTTGCTTGATTGCTCATGTCCCCTTCGAAAAATTGTTGCACACAATATGTTTAGGCTTGTGTTCTGATTAGTGCTCTTGCCTAACTACCTCTACCTGCACACCCACTGCTTGCCTGGGACGAACTGTGGATGCTTTCAGAGCAGCTGACACCCAACAAGCTGGAGCAGCTGCTGCTGCTCCCCCAGAAAATGGAGTGGCTGAACTCGAGCTTCAGGTATGGTTTGCAGTCACATCACGCAATGTATATTCTTGGTGTCATGTTTTTTTTAACATTCTTTGTGATTCCGTCCACGGCAGGTGCATGGAGCTGACAAGCCGTGTCCGTGGCGGCTCTTTGGTGTTCAAGTTGTCATCTTCCCTTATGTAGCTGCCAAGGTAAATCATTGCCCTCCATGTGCTGTTGTCTGCTGTTCCTTCGTTTTGTGCTCGTTCTGTTGACTGCATCTCTCATATGACATTCTGAAGTCCGTGCATTGTCATTGGATGTGCAGTTGATATGGTGGCAGGTGCAGTGGTTCCATCGCTACACCATGCGCCGTGCGCCTCTGGTATGGAACGATGCTTGCTACCTCACGCGCACCACCCTTCGTATTCCTACAGCTCACTGGAGCTCCATGGGTAAGGCCAGTTGGAGCCATGGGAGTCCAATGGCACCTGCTTTCTTGGATCTTTCTTTGCTTTTTTCATATCTAATTTTCTGGATGAGTGTTGTACAATGCCTTGCAGGGGAGTCTGCCCAAGAAAGGCTTGTGGAGCGGAGGCTCTGGATCAAGCAAAACCTGAATGATTATCGAGAGCTTTCCAAGTCCGTGAGACGTAGACGTTAATGATCTCTGCATCGCAGCAGAAGGTGCTGAGCAGGGCTCTTTCTTGGCATTGATACTTGAGGTCAATTGTGGAAGATGTTGGAAGCTACGGTATTCCTGCTCTGGTGACCTTCTTGTACAATGAAGATTGTGTAATGATGTCTTATGCGGAATAGCTGTGGCCTGTGCAAATCAGGAAACGTAGGCGCTAATGACCGCTGCATGGCAGCAGAAGGTGCTGAGTAGGGCTCTTTCTTGGCATTCATGCTTGAGCTCAATTCTGGAAGAGGTTGGAAATCATCACTGCTTTTGCGACATTGTACAATAAAGATTGTGTAGGGAATGCCACATACAGAATAGCTGTGGCCTGTACAAATCAGGAGTGCACACTATCACGGACCGATCAATCTCCTCCGTTTAGCTGCGCCTTGCATACTGCACAATCCACACACCATCAGTAGTAAAGACACGGCTATAGCTTGCATAAAATAAAAATATTTAATTAGCTGGCCGTACCTGTTCATGTCACTGGAGACATGCAAAGCAATAGTCTCCCTTGTGCTTGCCTCCAATTCAGAGTCATTCTGCAGCAAAACAATAACAGTGCAGTTAGCCCCCTGACAATGTGTAGACAGGTTTGCAAATGCATTAACTCCTGCTGCATCGAGGGTAGTGCTGAAGTTGCTGATTGGAGCTTGTCGAATTCTATCAGTATAGCTGCTCACCCGTTTCATGGACGCCGGCACGGCCTTTTTAGATGGTGAGCTGATCAGCGGTGGATCACGAGTCTGTGCACCTGCCGTAATAAGAATCCTCAGATGTGAGACAAAGAACACTGGAGTTGCAACAGACTCAAAAAAGTACTTACGGGAACCGAGAGTGGTGAACCCTGGAGGGCCAAACCCAGGAGGGCTGATAGCAGGGCTCTCATCTTGTATTCTGACGCTCTCCCCAGAAACAGCCTTCACAAGACTGGATGGTTCAACTAAAGGTTTGACCTCCCACATCAGAAATGGTCTAGGAGATGGTGCAGCAACTGTAGGCGGCACAGAAGCTTGTGGAGGTACAATAGACGGACCACTGGACAAGTCACAGAGAGGAGGCATTTGCGGTGGGGGCTGTGGTAGAATAACTGGAGAGGCTGACGATCCAGGCAACGTGAAGCCTGGAGGAAGTGAAATGCTTGGAGAAGCCAGCACGGGATCCATTCCGTGCTGCAAAATAAGCATCCGTCGACGCCGCTCCAACTCCAAATCTGTTTCTGACTCTTCCTTCTTTGATTCAGAAGGCAAATCTTCTCTGTCTGAAAGCTCCCCTTCCTCCACCTCCTCGGATTGAGGTTTCGCTGGAACTTCACCTGCGTTACCATCTCTTGCAGTACCTGACAAGACATCTGCAGCCGGTAATTGGTTGGACTGTGCATTTCGAGGCTCAGTTGGTGCAACTGCTTCTGGTTGCCACAAAGGCAAGTCCTCTGAATCATCGTAAGGCCCTGGTGGCTGAAACACAACGCACATAGCAGAAGTTAGACTCTGTAAAAGTGAACCAAAAATTGCAAGCTACGTTTTTTAATAGTTGCAACAAATGGCTGGATACCTGAGCCGCTGCTGATGGGACCAAACTTCCTTGCACTCTCTCTAGATGAGGACCCCCAAAACGAGGAGCACCTCTGTCAGGTACATCCAATTGTGCACCTGGTTGAGCAAGTGGCTTCTCTCCAGGATACTGGAAAACCCACTGCTGCTGCTCCTTGGACTCTATTGCCCCCTGCCAAGCAGATCCGCATGTCAGACTTGACAAGTAGCAGAGGAACAAGAAAGCTTGAAGGCAATAACTCACATACATTGTCCACTGGAGCACCTTTCACAAATATTGCCGTGTCAGGAACTGGTGGGAGCTGATGCAACTCAGCATCGTGGGACATGCTTGCCAATCCTTGGCTCAAGTAGTCATCGATTGCCCTGCACAACAACCCTTGCTCATTTGTTACGGAAACAGCAAGTGCTGGTCCTTGTTGAACAAGTTGATATGAGATGGACAGTAAGATGGAGCATGAAACCGTCTGTCCGCTTACCTGTAAAAGTCAGTTCGAACATAGCAAATCACGTTCCTGGCATGGACCAAGACAGGAACAGCCAGATTGACCTGCCAGCAATTGAAATAATGTGAAGGGGATAATAAAGCGGCCGGTTTGACTAATATGGCTAAACCAACACAGTCCAGCAAATTCACACACCTCAGCCAGGGGTGCTGCATACGGAGCAAAAGGTTGAACAAGGTGGACACGTGGCTGGTCCCTTTCCTCCCAGACATTCATTCTGTCATCAATAATGACTGCCATTCTTGGATCACAATCGTTCCTGTGGAACACCTTTTGTAGTGATTTGAATGTGCCTGCAATCAGAGCCCATCAATAAACGGAACGTTAAAGAGGAAGAGATATAAAAAAAATGTTTCATTGAATTGAAGGAAACCTAATCGGCCAGGTGAACCTACCAGCTTTGACTGAGATGATACGGGCTGACAGCTCCTTCGGTTGAATAAGCTTTCCTTCAGGATCAAGCAGCCTCCACATTTCCAAAGCGTACTGCTTCTCTGCCATTGTGCACACGAAGGCCTCAAACCGCTTCCGTCCCTTGGTGGAAAAATAACTCCGCAAATCTTCCCAGGATGGCCGCATTCTGACAAGCACACTAGTGTCCCGATTCTGCACAGTCACCACCACACTAAATCAGGCTTCCGCTCAGGGTACAACAGAGTCCAAAGCATCAAGTGTGCAAAAAGAATACCGTTTCACCTCTGGAAAGATTCTTGTTAGAACAATGTTTTGGTGTGGGAGCCTGAGGACAGGCCGAGTGGCAGGAAGAGATTGCCCCTCCACCGGTGTCACGGCTTCAGGCTGAGCCACGTAGCACTTCCCGTCAAGCATGACAGCGTTGGTATCGTAGTATTGAAGGAGGATCTGCCTGTCCTCCTCGTAGCGACCCAGCTCAGCTGCCAAAAGCTTAGTCAGTTGCGGATCACTGTTCGCAGCTAGCCGTTGCCTCAGCACACCGATCTTGTCTTCAAATGATTTCATTGTATTGGCGACAAAGAGAGTTTCATCGAGGTCGAAGACCACAGCAAGGCAGCGGAGGTTCAGCATCTTCAAGCAGGCCGAGAACTGGCCTTCCTTCACGAGGAATCCCCAGAAGCACGGTCTGTGGTTCTTACGATGCTCCTGGCGATTGCCTAACATAGCAACCAAGTGCACCTCGAATCCGCCTCCGATTGACACGACAGCAGTCTGCGAGATCAGAAACACAAGTTACTAGTTTTGAATCCACTGTGTGCGCGGTATTGTAGGATAACATAAGTGTTACCGAGAGCATTACCTTGGAATCTGTCACACATGAGCTGTGGATTAAATCCAGCTCATGCCAACTCGCCTCACAACCTTCTTCAGGAGCTAACTTGAACCACAGCCCGTCATCAGATATAGTATGCAGCACGACTTGCGGCTGTAGTCTTTCGCTGGACTCTGAAAAACCTCGGAACTCCATTTGCTGGGAAAATAAGTCTCTTGCGGCTTTGCCATTACGTGCTGGGGTGATCGACACTTTGGCCACCACCCTGCCTGCACTCACAAGTCTCGATTTCATTATTGTCAGTATTCACGTTCTGCGGTTTGTAAAAAAAAGTTTCCAATGTTCGTTGCCAATTTTTAGGACTCAAGTTCGCGAATCGCACAACCACTAATCCTGAAGTCGTAGCTACGAGTGAACGTGGTGAACATCGGATGTCAGCAGTTGAATGCTGATGGTGAGGGAGACAGAAGACACGATGAGGAGATAGCTTCTTGGACTGATGCCATTGCCTCGCCATTGCTGTTGGCCGATGACCTGCTGAGGGTATACACGGTATCCTGCCAAGCGTTCGCATACAAGGCTGACCGCTGAGCATTATTACAATATTAACTATTTCTATGCACAAACCAAGTGTTTTTTTTTTCGTGATGTGACTACAGTATACTATGTACAATAAAAACAAGTATAGGCAGGCTCTATTAAAAACCTTCGTAGGAAAGTTTTAGTCAAACCGAGTTTGTGAAATGTGTGAGCCGTGTATGCTCAGATTACCATGTGAGAAAACGTGAGAAAGAACCGTTAATCTCATTAGGAGAGATGGGGGTATACATAGTAGTGCTAGGAGAAGGGGGGTTGGTTGGAACCAAGCCAACATTATTGGCCCCCACCAATAAGTTGGGTTGAGGGATTATTGGGGGGACCAATAATGTTGACCAAGTGGTTCAACATTATTGGGGGGACCAGAGAACATTCATGAGGGGGCAAACATGCCTTCTGATCAATTATGCGTATAAATACGGTACAGACCATTTAAGTTTAAGTTTCTATGTTCCAAGAAGTTCATAGCCGAATGGATGGTGTTAGCACCATTCTCATTCCAAATGCTAATTCAAGCAAAAATTCGGGTGTTCATATGCTTATCCTGCTCCTCATGGATGTGAAATCGTCAATCCCTTACCTTCCCATAGCTAGTACTGTAACGAAGATCACGTGACAGCCCACAACGTTTGGTCTGAGTCTAGTAGTCATTCCACATCAATGACATTCGCCATGGCTAGCAAACTACCTCCACTGTGACTAGCGCACTCACCTCCACCATGACTAGCACATTCATATCGGTTTTGACGTTGACGTGATGCAGAGTCTGCGTTTTTCCGAGTCGTCAAGCCTCAACTTGCCGTCGCTTTCTTGCGCGGACGACAGAGACGTCACGTCGTTTTCAATCAAGTTTTTTTCTGAATTTCTCTCGTGGTTTTGTCGGTGAAGCATGGATGCTTCGCCGCCATTTACCGCGAATCCGTTAATTCCCATAAGTGTTCGTCGAAGGGTTATATTCATCGTCCCACCATGAACATCCATCTCCCCAAAACTTCCGCAGCTGCCCGAATAATATCTAGCGCTGTTGTAGCTGGTCGTATTAAAGTTGCGAGTGAAAGACAATCAGCCCTCTCGTTTAGCCGTTCGGAATTCTCCTCTGCCTCTCGTCACATTCGCCTCGCAGCTGTCAATCAACCCCCCCAGTTACTTTCAGGCGACCTTCTCTGGTAAGACACCACTTCTTGCATTCTAACCAAGAACTGTCATATTCTTTTAACGTGGATTTCTTTTCGCCCCTGATCTTCGCGCTCATCATGCTCCCATTGTTCATTTCTCTTCGTGCAGCCGTAGCAGCATGAAGATGATGAAGGGCAAGCATGTGGTCATCACCGGCGGCTCCACTGGCATTGGTTTCGCCTGTGCCAAACGTTTCCTGAGAGAGGTAACATCTGATAGAGGATTGGATCGCAGGTTATTGTGGCCTTGGGCTTTGGGGGTTAAAGTGGAAATAACCTGACGTATTTTCATGAATTCTCCAGGGAGCCTCGGTTACCCTGATGGCTCGGAACGCGGCCAAGCTGGAAGAGGCAGCACGGGAGCTGCAGCAGTATACCAGGGAGTCTGCTCACAATGGAACCAATGGCTTTTTTCCTACTCCCAGAATCTTCACTCAGGTGAGCTTGAAGTGATCCCTCTGTAGCACCTTGTGAGCACCCATACTTCATAGAGTATTTTCTTGAAAACGAAATTGTGGTTTGTCTGAATTTTTGTGCAGGCAGTGGATGTCTCTGATGCCAAGGCGGTGCAGGCAGCCATAGACGCAGCAGCAGCTGCGTGCCCCATAGATGTGCTGCTGTGCAACGCTGGAGTGGTGCGCACAGGCCATGTGGAGGACATTTCCGCACTGCAGGCCCAGGAGCAGGTCAACACGAACCTGCTGGGAAGCATCTACCCTGTGCAGGCTGCAGTGCCGCTTTTGAAGGAGAGGGTTGCACAAGGAGCGGAGCCAGGTGCCATTGTCTTCATGTGCTCACTCTCTGCTCTGGTGGGTACAATGTGCTGCTGTGACTCAAGATCATGTTCACTCATAGCATGACACTGAATCCAAGGTTTTGTTTTATCTATGTTACAGAGCTTCTGGTATGGTGCAGCAGTTTACACTGCTACCAAGTACGGGGTCCGAGGCTTTGCAGAAGGCCTTCGTCTTGAGCTGCTCCCATATGACATATCGGTTTCCGTTGTCTGCCCAGGCTTCACCGACACTCATCTGCTTGATGATGGTAAGTACCTACATCCCACATGCTTATTTCACCTTTTAAGGTGGGGCTATAAATATTCATGTATCCTGATGGTTGCTTCGGTCGACACTGTTTTTTCCAGCCGAAGCATCTGGACAGTACCTCACCAAACTGATGGAGGTGGCATCGATGTATGACCGCAACAAGATAGAGAACCCCGACATTGTGGCAGAGAAAACACTGGCGGCTGTTCGATCCGGAGAATTCCTCGTGACAACGTCATCCAGCTTCCTTCCTTTCTCACTTGCTTTGCTCTCTCGAGGGATTTTGCCATCCAAGTCGGTTGTTACTTGGGTCGCGGAGAGTCTTGCAAGCCCCTTTGTTAGACTCACATCACTTCCAGTAGGAGCAGGAATCGCTCATGGATTAAGGTCACTGCACAAGCACAAGCATGCGAAAAAAGAGTAGATGTGGGTGCATGTTCATGCTACCAATGGCAGCCCATAGGCTTGTGCTGTAGAAGACTCATTAGTGTATGCACAGTTATCAGTATAATTGTCCTTGATATTTTGGTCATGTATCCTGAATCCGTCCGTCCGTCCGCGTGGTACCACGCCTGACGAAATGCTAGTCGCAACCTTGTTCCGCTGGAAACTTGACCAATCAGGGCCAGGGGAACTAGCACCCTCGAAGGTTCAGGGACTACCATCTTCATTGCGGACCGGACCGGACCACCGCCATGTTTCTGCAATCATTTCAAGGCGTCATTAGGGATTTCGAATCTAGAGACTAGGGTGCACTAGAGTCATCCCTTCGTCTTGAGAGAGAGCTTCCACTTTGCCTGGACGCGAAAACCACCACAAGACGCGACCGCTGTCTTGTCTGGTTATTGAATCTGTACTGGTGGTTCGAATTCTCCACCGAAGGCGCTTGCCCTTGTAGGAGGTTTTCGCGTGTCTTGGTGTGGGAAGATGAAGGTCAAAAAGAAAAAGGGTTCGGATCCTGTAAGCGCTGTCCATCTCTGACCTCTTTTCCTGCCGGCCTCGATGTTTTAGTTTCTCCTGACAGATTCAATCTCTAAATTTCGCCGTATTTCAAATTCCAGTGTTCCTGGATTCAGATCCGCGGAGACGAGCTTCATTAGACTTGTCATGGCATGGATCTAACGAGTCCCTTAATCTTGTGTCTGGCTTGTTCCGTTTGCAGCCTCCGAGAGTGAAGGAAGTTATTGAATCCATTATCTCCGTTCCGTTACATGACATAGCGAAGCCTCTTTCGGAGTTCAAGTGGACTTATGACAAGGTAGGGCCTCTCGCTTCTTTGGGATTCTGGCGTTCAATGAGGATGATAGCTTTAGAAAAGCGAACGACCCATCGGTGCTCCCATACGCGCTCGTATACACGTTCGTCGGGACTTGGGTTTTTATTCGGGGAATTCCTCATCGGGTTTTTTTTTTTTCAGTGAACCCCCCACTATGTCTGTTCCCTGTTCACCTTTCTGTCATCCTTTACACGTTAAACTTTACCGCCAAATTGGCTCCACGCTTATTTTCTCGTCACGCGTCAATTCCTCTCTCTTTCCGCTTTCCGTTGTGCTTCTATTCATCGCATCGGAAACCTTTTGGCGTGTCTGCCTGGCAGGGCGACGTGCTGCACTGGGTAGACCTCTTGAACCACTTCGACGCCTTCCTCGAAGCTTCCGTGAAATCGCGCAAGGATTCGCAGTTAGAGGGCCGGTTCGCGGGCGTGGATCCGCCGTTCCCTCGGGATGCGGTGCTGCAGGTGCTGCGGGTGTCGCGCGTTATCCTCGAGAACTCCGTCAACAAGCACCTCTACGCGTCCGTTGAGGTATGCAGGCAATGTTTTATTGTAACACCGTCCCCTGATAACCTTCATGTTGCGAAACTTGACTATCCGAAATGCTGAGATGTGCTGTCTGTTACTTCCTCCTCCCCTCGCCCCCTCCCCCCTTCCCCCGCTCCCCTCTTCCGCTTCCGCTCTATTGCGTGGCCTTAACCACTCTCTTCGCCGCGACACGTCTTAAGGCTGCTCGCGAGCACGAATTTGGACGTGCTGTCAGCCTGCATCCAACCCCTCGCAGTGTACAGCAAGAAGCACACCTACCCATCTCCCCCTTTCCCTTCCCCTCCCTCCCCGCTCCCTCCCCCCTCCCCCATCCCCACCCCTCCCCTCCTCTCCTCCGCACAGCACGTGTGCACGCTGCTCGCGAGCACGGACCTGGACGTGCTGTCAGCGAGTCTCGAGCTGCTCTCAGTGTACGGCAAGAAGCCCTTCCAGCCAGGTCGCAGCACGCGCTGGCATGCGGATCCCGCCATCACAGCGCGCCTCTTCGCCCTCGCGCAGGCATGGGGCGGCAAGGAGGAGGGCCTTGGCATGCTGCCCTGCGCGCTCCAAGGGGGCCTGGACGCGTCCGCTCTGTCCCTGGGAGGGACGTTGCACTTCGAGTTTTATGCGGAGGGGCCTGCTGGAGTGGGGGCGGTGGGGCAGGGTCAGGGGCTGGGTGGGAGCGGTGGAGAGGGGTTAGAGGGTCAAGAGGACAAGGCTGGTGAGGCATCGGCTGGTGCTCCCTCCGCTTCGCCCTCTCCTGCTGCACCTGCCGCTGCTTCGACAGGTCTATCACCTGGTTTGAGGGTCATCCACGTGCCTGGGGTGCAAGAGCACGTGCAGCTGCAGGGAATCTCCGAGCTCGACTTTCTCCAGGGCCTGGTGGATCAATACTCCGTGCCCTCCGCCCTCCGCTTCTCCCTCCTCACCCGCCTCCGCTGCGCCTACTCCTTCCCGCTCCTCGACTCGCGCCGTCGCTTCCTCTGTGTGCGCCTGCTGGCCTTCCGAGTGCTGCTGCTCGCCACACCAGAGCCAGACGAGCTCACTGCTTTCTTTGCCAACGAGCCTGAGTTCGTCCCGGAGCTAATTTCGCTGCTCAATGCGGAGAGCCTGGTGCCTGAGGAGGTTCGGATGTACGCGCTGCTAGCCCTGGCTGCCATGGCGCAGGACCGGCCACGCCAGTCCACGGTCCTCAGTGCCATCAGCACTGGCGGGCACCGAGCCACCTTGCCAAGCCTGATGCAGAGGACCGTGGCTCAGCTTGGGAAACCAGGAGGCTGCTCGCCGAAATTTGTTGACGCGCTGTTGGTCCTCATTGCTGCGCTGGTATCCTCCTCGTCGGGTTGCACCGCTCTTCGGGAGGCAGGCTTGGTGCCGACCCTGCTGCCTTTGGTTCGGGACACCAAGCCTGAGCACATGAGTCTGGTGACATGGTCAGTGCAGATCCTAGAAGCCTTCATGGATTTCTCCAACCCTGCAGCAGCACTCTTTAGGGAATTGAACGGGCTAGACATGTGCGTGGACAGACTCAGGCTCGAGGTCGCTCGAGTTGAGCCCACTCTCCTGCCTGTTCAGGGTTTAGGGTCTAGCAAAACCCCAGCTGGTGGTGCAGCTGAGGGTGCTGGTGAGGGGACTGCTGGTGGGGGGAGTGGCAGTGGCTCGGCTGGTGCAGGAGCCACTGGTATGGATGAGGATCGCAAGGGCAAGGCTCCGATGGTGGAAGAGGAGGGTGCAGGAGGGGCAGCAGGCGTAGGGTCGAGCGGCGGCGCTGGTACTGCATCACCTGCTGCTGCTGGCGGATCCGCTACAGCGCCAGCAGTGCTGACCTACCGGCAGCGCAGCCTGATTAAAGCCCTGCTGCGCGTCATCTCTCTGGTCAGCTTCGCACCAGGCAGCACTGTCAGGCTCGCCTCAGCCTCCCCCGAGCAAGGGGGCATGGGACGGCTGCCGGACTGCCTGGCGGCCGTGTTTCGGCACGCGAAGGAGTTCGGAGGAGGCGTGTTTGCGCTGGCAGCGTCGGTGATGAGCGAGCAGATCCACCACGAGCCCACCAGCTTCGCTGTGCTGGATGCTGCCGGGCTGCCCAAGACGTTTGTGGACGCTGTCAAGGCTGGTGAGTGCGCTGTGTGTGGCTGTGTCCAGCTTGTTGTGTTTGTGCTTGTGCTTGTGCTCGTGCTTTACGCCATAGCACACAAGTAAATCATCCACAGACACAAGCACAGACAGAGGGGTGCTTTACGCCATAGTCTGACGCCATCTCCAACACACTGCTCATCATCTTTTTTTGAGGCGCCTCTAAGCTCCTGCGTTGCCCTTCTGGTTCCCCCGCACTCCCCCCTCCCCTCCCCTCCCTCCCTCCCTCCCTCCCTCCCCCTTTCTCCCTTCCTGCAGGTGTGCTGCTGTCGTCAGAAGCCATCTGTTCCATCCCCAACGCTCTCCTCGCCTTCTGTTTTCGTTTCGACCCCCACTTCTCTTATCCCCCTTAAATCCCTCCCTCCCCTCCTTTCCCCCTTCCCAGGCGTGTTACCGTCGTCAGAAGCCATCTGCGCCATCCCCAACGCTCTCCTCGCCTTCTGCCTCAACCAGCGCGGGCTACAGCTCGTCACAGACTCCCACGTGCTCGCCTGCCTGCCCGCCCTCTTCACCTCGCGCCAGTACGCGCGCCCCCTGGCGGGGGACACGGCGTCCGTGCTGGGATCCGGGCTGGACGAGCTCATGCGCCACCAGGTGAGCCTCCGCCAGCCCCTCATGGGCGCAGTTGTGGGCGCCCTTAGGGAGATTGCACGCATGGGGGGCCTGGAGGAGCGGAAGGGGAGGCGAGGGGGAAGGGGAGGGGGGGAGGGAGGGGACTCGTGGGAAGGGGAGATGCGGGGAGGAGGGGATGGTGGGGGGGAGGAGGGGGTGAGGGCGAAGGAGGATGATGCGGATAGCGGGAGGCCGGTGGGGAGTGGCGGGGGCGGGGAGGAGGGGGCAGCAGGAGTGGGGCAAGGAACAGGGGGAGGGACATCAGGGGCGGGTGCATGTGGTGCGGGTGCGTCAGGGGAAGGCGCACAAGGGCAAGGTAGCAGACAGGATGGGGAGGGTGACGCGGCTGTGCCCATGGAAACAGATGGGGGGAACCAGGGGGCAGAGGCAGAAGCAGCAGCAGCAGCGCCAGTCGCTGCAGCAGCCACAGGGGAGCAGCCACGGGTTGAGACCGAGGAGGGCCAGAGTGTGTCTCCAGGAACAGCAGGGGAGGCACTGGCTTCTGGCGTGGTTGCAGAAGAGCCGGCGGTAGAGACAGTGGGAGCTGGATTGGCGGTTCCTGGTTCGGAAGCAGTTATGGCCGAGGCAGAACCGGCAGAACCGGCAGAAGCAGGAGCAGCAGGAGAGGCAGCAGGAGCAGGAGCAGCTGGGTCGGCAGGTACTGGGGCAGCTGCTGCTACCACCGCTGTCACCACCACTGCCACCACCACAAGCAGCGTCAAGGAGACGCTCACCCCAGCAGAGCTAGAGGCGTTCCTCCCAGACTGCATCAGCAACATGGCTCGCCTGCTGGAAGCCGTTCTCTCCAACGAAACCAGCAGCCGCGTCTTCCTTGACCTCCGCGGCCTGGACGCACTCCTAGCACTCTACACACTGCCGCGCCTGCCGCTGCTCTTCGGCACGTCCCCTGCCGCCCAGGGGATCTCCATGACCATGAGGGCGTTCGGGCCCAGCCACGCCTCTGCTGTGTCCCGCGGGGTGGCGTCCACACTCAAGAAGCATGTCAAGTGTGCCGTCGCGTTTGTCACTACGTCCCTCTCGTCGTTCTCCCCTGCTACCGCACCTCCTGCCTCTGATGCTGTGGGTGCTGCTGCCACAGCCGCTTCAACAGTCCCTGCTGCTGCTGCCGCTGTACCAAGTGGTGCTGCTGCAGGAGCTTCAGGTGCAGGCTCATCTGCAGTAACAATCGGGCGGCGCCAGTTGTCTGACCTGGACGTGGAGTCACGGGAGTCGCTCCTGCGCGCCCTGGGAGTAGCAGAGAGCCTGCTCTCGCTCTCCGCCGTGCTAGTACGCGCCACTGCTCTCTCTGTCCCCGACCTCGCGTCGTCCAGCGGAGAGGTGTTCCGAGACGTGGCTGTGCTTCACAGAGAGGCGCTCTGGCAGCTCGCCGTGCTGGAGCACAAGGGAGTGCCGCCTCCTGCCCCCGCCGCCGCTTCTTCTGCTGCTGCTGCTGCAGCAGAGGCTGGGGGGAGTGTAGGGGGAGGAGGAGCAGGGGGAGGAGAGGGAGCAGGTGAGGGCGGAACGGCTGTTGGAGGGTCAGGGGCAGGGGGGGAAGCAGGGCAGGGTGTGGGCTCTGAGGGAGGAGCTGCACCAGGAGCGGCAGCTACAACTGCTGCCACCGCAGCTGCATCATCTGCTGCTGCACCATCCGCAGGACCTTCAGAGGCAGCTGAACCTGGCACAGCAGCAGTAGCTGGAGAAGGTGCAGCAGGGGGAGCAGCAGCGGCAATGCAGGTATTCCCAGGGGAGGCAGCAGATGATTTGGATTTGCTGATGATGGACGGTGACGTGGGCTCTGGCAGGGTCATGCGCAACGGCCCAGGCGCCCTCTGGCCCCGTGGAGAATTAGGGTTTCCGCACCGCAGCGGCAGCAGGCACCTCTCACGCGCCTCTCGCGTTGTGCCTGATGGTACAGGCCCTGATAATGGTCCTGAGGCAGGGGTGAGCGGCGCTGCTGATGCTTCTGCCGCTGCCGCTGGTTCAGCTGGTGTGGGGACCACAGATGCTGCGGGGAGGAAGAAGCCAGATGGTGCCGTACAGAAGGAGGTGCTTGGGCGGCTAGTAGTGGCCGTGCGTCTGTTTGAAGTAGCCGTTGGGAAGGCGATAGTTCCTTCTCGAAGGCGGGACGATGCTGTGGTGCTGACAGGGCATGCGAAGGTGGCCTCAGCAGCCCTCGCACAGACCTTCCAGGAGAATTTAGGTTTAGGGTTTGCCGGGTGCGACCCGGGGAGGAGCAGCAGTGTGGAGGCGTGCTCTAGTGAGGAGATACTGGATTGTCCGGCAGTGCGGTGTGTGTATCTGGGGAAGATTGTGGATGATATGTTTTCGCTGATAGTTGATCCGCGGCGGCACACGTGCAACAGCATGCTGCTGAGATTCTTCCACGCGCATGGGGCTGTGAAGCAGCTGTTTGCGTCGCTGCAGTGGGTGGTGCGGGTGATGTGGGCCGAGCAGGAGCGGCAGGTGAAGGAGCGGAAGGAGAAGGCTGAGGGGGGCGAGAAGGAGAAGGCAGAAAAGGAAGCGGGCAGTGTGGGAGTAGAGGTAGCAGGAGGTACAGTGGCTCAGATGGAAACGGATGGGTCAACCGATGCAGCAGCAGCAGCAGTAACGGGGGAGAAGAAGAGCGCAGGTGACGGCTCTAAGGATGGGGGCAACAAGGGCACGGGTTCTCTTGTGGGATCCGGTTCCTTTTCGCTGCCTCCGTGGCTGCACTCCCCTCTGCAGAGCTATTTCCGTCTCATGGACTGCCTCACCAACTCCCACCTCCTGCTCGCCCCCTCCTCCACCAGCATTTTCCTCACCCACCAGCTCTCCCGCTCAGTTGAACCCGCCCCAGCTAAGCCTGAGGACTTCCTTCGGGCCATGCAGTCGCAGGTGCTATCTATCATGCTGGACGTTTGGTCCCACCCGCTCTTCTCCCAGTCTGGTCTTGCTGTTATCTCCCCGGTGGTGACTCTGCTCACCCGTGTGCTTCAAGGGTTGAGTGAAACCGCTCCAGCAGCAGCAGGGGGTTCTGCTGCTGCTGCTGCTGCGGGTGCAGGGACTGGTGCAGGGGCAGGTGCAGGAGCGGGCGGAGCGGCAGCAGCAGGGGCAGGAACAGGGGCAGGGGCAGGTGGAGCGAGCGGCGCAGGGGGGCAGGGAGGTGCAGCAGTGTCCGCAGCTGCCCTGGCTGCTGCGGTGCTGGGAGGGCGGATGCCGCCTGGACCTGTACCCACTCCAGTAGATGAGGCTTTATTGGAGCTGATAGTAGAAATGGGGTTCCCTAGGGAGCGGGCAGAGGAGGCCTTGCGGCAGGTGGGGAACAATCTAGATCTCGCTATGGAGTGGCTCATTAGCCATGTGCCAGATGAGCCTCCCTCGGAAGAAGACGAGCTCGCCCGCGCGCTCGCTTTGTCTCTTTCTGGTAATGATGGGGACGGCGGAGGTGGGACTAGTGCGGGTGGGCAGCAGGGTGGGGAGGAGGGAGCAGGTAAGGCAGGAGAAGGGAAAGAGGGGGAGGAGAAAGGGAAGGGAAAAGAGAAGGAGAAGGAGGAGAAAGAGGAGGAGACGGGAGGAGAGAAGGAGGGGCGGAAGGAGGTGAGGGTGGAGGAGATGTTGGGGACGATAGTGCGGGTGTTGAGGGACGGGGGGGAGGGCGCTGTGTTTCCCATGACCGACCTCCTGCTCGCACTCTGCAGGCGCAACGCTGGCACAGACAGGGCTGCTGTCGTGACGTTTCTGGTGGGGCAGCTGAAAGAGTCCTGCGGGCAGGCGAAAGAATCCCCTAGCCGCGTCGAGAGTGAGAAGCAAGGCAGCAGCGAGGGAAAAGATTGCGGAGCAGAGAAAAGGGAGGAGGAGAAGGCTGCTGCTGCTGGTTTACCATCTTCGCTGCAGGCCTTGCAATCCGCCTTGGCGCACTGCTTGGCTGTGCTGCTCTCAGAAGACCTGCCCTGCTCGGACATAGCAGCCAAGGAGGGCCTCGCTGCAGTTGCTCTTCACATGCTCTCTGGGTACGTCTCGTCTGTCTGCCCCGACTACCACCCCCCGACTCTCCCTCTTGCTGCACTCGCCTCACCTCCCAGCAAGAGCCGGTCGCAGCAGCACGGCAGTGCAGGGGTGGCGGGTCAGCGGGTAGAGGGTAAAGCAGGTGCGGATGAGGTGACAGGGGGGAAAGGAGGGCAAGGGGGAGAGGGGCGTGAGGGGCTTGGGGAGGTGCCCAAGTGGGTGCCGTCTCTGTTCCTGGTGCTGGACTCCCTCGTGCAATGGAAGGTGCCTGGCACAGGGGTACGAGGGGAAGCAGGTACAGCAGTGGCAGCGGGAGCAGCGGGAGCATCAGGGGCAGCAGGGGCGACAGCAAGCACATGGGGAGCGGCAGCAGCAGATGCACCTATCTCCTTCGCGTCTATACTGGCAGGTGTTGCAGGTGGGGCAGGAGCAGCAGCAGCGGATCCAGGTGCAACCGCTGCAGCACCTTCCGAGCCAGCTGGTACTGGTGCAGCTGCTGCTGCCGGGGCGTCACAGGCTCCATCCGGGGCAGGTGTATCTGCCACGGCCGCCCCAGCAGCCAGCAAGGGCAAGGAGGCAGCAGAGGCAGAGAAGCGAGAGGGCAAGGAGGAGAACCGGTTCACAGAGATCGTGGGGCTGTCAACAGGGTACCTATCAGACGACGAGAAGGCCCAAGCCATGGCCCTCATCTGCCCTCTCATCCGCTGCCACCCCCCACCGTCTCTCTGCCAGGCTCTCCTCCACCTCGCCTCCCGCCTCTCCCGCTCGCACCCCGTCGCCCTCCTCTTTCTGGACCAGGGTGGGGTGGCGGCGCTTCTCGCCCTCCCGTTCTCTTCGATTTTCCCGGGGTTTGAGAGTCTCGTGTCGGCGGTGGTGCGGCATGTGCTAGAGGACCCGTTCACGCTGCTGCATGCTATGGAAGCGGAGATCAGGCACAGCCTCACCACGCTGGCAACTCAGCATGGGGGCCGTGTGTCCCCTCGTGTGTTCCTGGGCGCTATGAGTCCTCTTGTCGCCCGTGATCCGTCCGCGTTTCTGCAGGCGGTGGGGAATGTTTGTGAGGTGGAGAGCATTGGTGGGCGGCAGGTGGTGGTGCTGAAACGGGAGAAGGAGAAGGAGAGGGAGAAGAAGGAGAAGGAGGAAAAGGAGAAGGTGAGGGAGAAGGAGAAAGGGAAGGAGAAGGGGGTGGGAGAGAGGGAGCAGAGAGCAGGAGCAGCACCAGAAGCAGCAGCAGCTGCAACACCAGGGCAACCAAGCACCTCTGCTGCTCCAGCCCCAGCTCCAGGCCAGACCGCTCACCACCACTCCTCACCACTTGCAACCTCTCCGCAAACCTCTCCTCCGCCGCCCCATCCCCCTACTGGTCACTACAGCAAGTCAGCGGATGGCAAGGTGCTGACGTGGGTGTCTAAGTCAGGGCGGGTGCGTAAGGTCCCCTGGAGCTTCGCCTCTGTGGTTGACCAGCTCCTGACATACCTGCAGCAATTCCCGCCACCTGAAAAAGCACCTGTGAAAGCATCTGAAAAAGCACCTGGGAAGCTGCCTGAGGAGCATGGGGCAGCTGCAATGGAGGTTGGGGTTGGTGGTGGTCTGGGAGGGGAGGCAATGGAGGTGGACGCAGAGGGGGTTGAGAATAAAGCAGCTGAAAGAGGAGAGAAGGAAGGGGAGAAGGAGCCAGGGAAGGAGGAGAAAGAGAAGGCAAAGCAGCGGCAGCAGGAGGAGGAGGAGAAGGAGAGGGCGGAGTTTGCAATCTCGCGAACCACGCTGGTGCTGCGGCTGCTCACAGAGATCCTACTGGCCTATTCTGCTGCCAGCACTCTCGTGCTCCGCAGGGATGCAGAGTCTGCTGCAGGCACTTCAGCAGCAGCGGTGGGTGCAGGTTCGGGTGCATCAGCCGGGGTGGGCACGCCACAGCCGCACAGGGGAACCACGTCCCGTGCACACAAGCACACTCCAGACAAGCACGAACACAAATCCAAACCTGACTCCCACCAGCACCACCAGCACCACCAACTACAGCCTTCACCAGGTAAGCCTGACGCATCAGCAGGCGTCTCTGCATCGGCATGGGCATCTCGAGGGGGCATAGTGCACCACGTGTTACACGAGCTGCTGCCATACCTCAGCGACAAGCCCAGCACCGCATCAGCAGCAGCAGGAAGCACAGCAACAGCGCAGGGCGGGTCCTCCCACCCAGGGCACCACCGGCTGGGCACCCAGGCGTCTGCATTCCTCATTGCGCTGTGCGTGCGCTCGGGGGAGGGCCGGCGCCGCGTGCTCTCGGAGATTTCCAAGTCGCTGAGCCGGTTTGGGAAGGAGGATGGGGGGAGGACAGGAGAGGTGCGGCAGCAGGAAAAGGCAGGAGCAGCTTTGACAGGAGAAGCAGCTGCAGCAGGAGCAGGAGCAGCAGGTGGAGTAAGGGAAGGTGGGGCAGCAGTGGTTCCGGGTTCAGAAGCAGCTGCAGTTGCGGCTGTGAAGCTGCAAGTGCCCAACAAGCAGGTGAGGTCGTTCCTTGACCTCATGAACGCGCTGCTCTCCACGCAATCGTCCAATGGGAGCAATCCACCTGGCGGCCCGGGCAGCTCTGCACAAGGCTCCGCCTTCGCTGCAGAAATGGCCAAGACGGCTCTTGAAGTGGGCATGCTGCCAAACCTCCTGGAGACTCTGAGTGTAATTGATCTAAACCACCCAGATTCCCCGAAGCTGGTGAATTCGATCCTCAGGGCTCTGGAGGTGCTCACCCGAGCCTCAGCTTCGGAAGCTCGTGCCGAGCCTGGGAGAGGTCTGGCATCAGGGCAGCGTGTTTCAGTGGGTGTAACCAGGGCTGTAGGTTCGGGAAGGCAGGAAGCAGGCTCGGCAGGGGCTGGAGGGGTGCCGAGCCAAGCAGCAGCGGAAGGGGGTGCAGCAGTGGCAGAAACAGGTGCGGATAGGGGGACAGAAGAAGGAGGTGGGGCAGCAGGTGGGGCTGATACAGCCATGGATGATGCTGGGGGGGAGGGAGGGAGAGTAACAGCGTCTGGAGGTGAAGAGGCAGGAGCAGACGCTGGGAGTGGGAGGATGCGAGGGGGTGATGAGGAGGCGAGGCAGCAGGGAGGGGAGGAGACAGGTGGAGCAGGGGCGGAAGGGGGACGTGCAATGGAGCAGGATGAGAGGCATGGGGGGGAGGAGGAGGAGGAGGAAGGGGGGATGGCGCATGAAGCAGAGGCGATTATAAGAAGAGTAGAGGGCGGAGGGGGCATGAGAGGGCCCATGCAGCTGCGGTTCCAGATCCGAGAATTTGATGATATGGGCGCGGATGAGGATGGTGAGGAGGATGATGATGGGGATATGGAGGGAGAGGAGGATGGGGAGGACGACGACGATGGGGAGGATGATATTGAGGATGGGGATGAGGAGGATGAGGAGGAGGGGATGGAGGAGGGGGATGAGGAGGACGAGGATTTGGAAGAGGAGGAAGATGAGGAGGAGGATGATGATGATGAGGATGACGAGGATGAAGAGGATGAGGATGGGCATGGAGGGGAGGACAACGGGCATCTGCCCCCAGGTGGCATGGGCATGGGGGAAGACATGGAGGACCATGAGGAGGAGGAGGAGCGCGCAGCCCGGGCCTTGCGGCGCGACTTTGCACGTGGGCTGGCAGAGGAGGATGAGGAGGAGGAGGATGGGGATGAGGACGATGATGATATGGATGAGGATGAGGAGGAGGCTGATGAGGAGGATTTGGAGGACTGGGAGGAGGACGTCGGGAGGTTTATAGAGGTGAGGTGGCGGGACGATGTCACGGGAGCCAATCACGTGCATCTGCTCGCAGGCGGTGCAGATGTCGCCGGGTTGATGGACCTTCCGGGGTTTATGCAGCGGGATGTGTTGAATGATCCGCTGTATGCGGATATGAATGAGCCGGTGTGGGGGTGGGGGCGGCACTTAGCGAGTCACCAGCGCAGGGCTGCGGTGAGAAGCACGCTGCAGGGCCAGCAGCAGCTGGCGCAGGGGCAGGGCGCGGGGCAGGGGCAGGCTGGCCGGATGGGAGCAGGCCCCTTGCACGTACACCCACTGCTGGCTCGCCCATTCGCCCCTGGGGCAGCACCGACAGACGCTGCCTCCGCGTCTGCCCCTGCCCACGCCGCTGCAGCACCGGGATCACGGCTCTTCAACCTCCTGGCGGGGATGCAGGGGATGATGGGGGGAGTGGGCGGGCCGATGGGGGCTGGCGGGGGGGGAGGGCCAGGCATGGAAGTAGATGCGGCATTTGCGAGGGATGTGGCGTCTCTAATGATGGCGTATGAGAATCCTTTCCTGGAAGACATGCTGCAGGCCCGGGGCCTGCTTGACCCTCGTGGCGTGGGCGGCATGGGCGGCATCATGGGCGGCATGGGCGGCGTGGGCGGCATGGGGATAGGGCATCCGTCGGGAGTGGAGTTTGATCCGGGGAGGGCAAGGGCGATGGGGGTGAGTGGGCTGGGGCCGGTGGTGGGAGGGGCGGCGGGGCGAGGGGAGTTTGGGAGGGTGAATCGGTGGACGGATGATGGGCTGCCGCAGCCTGCCGGGACGGGCGCTGCTGTTGCTCAGGCGCTGGAAAGTGCTTTCCTGCAGTCCATGCAAGGGTTGCGCGAGGCAGGGAGGGAGGGAGGAGAGGCGGGGGGCCAGAGAGGTGGTGGTGCGGGGAGGAATGGGGAGAGGCAGCAGGGGAGGGGGACGGGAGGAGAGGAGCAGCAGCGGCAGCAGGGGGCGGGGCAGGAGGAGGGGCAGAGGGAGCAGGAGAGGGAGGTGAGGCAAGAAGGTGGTAGTGGGGCGGCAGGGGCAGGAGGAAGTGGTGGGGCAACTGCAGGAGCAGCAGCAGAAGCTGCTGCGGCAGAAGGAGCAGCAGCAGGAGCAGCTGGAGCAGGAGCAGCAGCAGGAGAGCAGGCAGGTGCCAACACCACTCAGACTGGTACAGGAACAGGAGCAGAGGCAGAAGCAACAGCAGCAGCAGCAGGGACGGAATCAGGTAGAGGAGCAGAGGAGGAGGGCATTGCAGCAGGAGACGTGCAGATGGGCGAGAGAGGGAGTGAGAGGGAGAGGGAGGCAGAGGCAGAGGTGGAAGTGGCAAGTCAGGACAGTGGGGGGAGTGGGTTCACGGCTGGGGAGAGCCTGAGGAGCCTGGAGGTGGAGGTGGGGAGCATAGACGGGCGGGATGACATGCTGCTGCCTGGTGCCGCTGCTGGTGCTGCCCTGCCTGCTGCTCCTGCTGCCGCCGCTGCTGCTGTTCTTGTTGCTCCTCCCCCTCCCCCTCTTCCTCCTGCTATAGCTGGGCTTTCTGCTGCTACAACTGGGTTTTCTGCTATGGCAGCTGGCCTTTCTGCTGCTACAGCTGAGTTTTCTGCTGCTACAGCCGGGCTTTCTGCTGCTACGACTGGGCTTTCTTCTGCTGCAGCGGCTACAGCTGCTGCTCCAGCTGTGCCGGGCGCAGAAGGAGAGGCAGTGTCTGCTGCAGCAGCTGCTGTGCCTGCTGGTGATGCTGCTGGCAGGGACGCAGAGCAGCAGGTCGGAGAGGGAGGCACACCAACGCAGGCACTGGCAGTTGCTGGGGCAACGGCAGGAGAGACGGCACAAGGAGCAGCAGTGGTAGACGCTGCAGGGGTGAGTGCTATGGAAATGGGAGAGCCAATCTCAGCTGCTGAGGGGGGGATTACTCCCTCCCTTGCTGCTGCTGGTGATGCTGCAGCAGCGGAAGCAGCAGCAGGAGTGGCAGAAGCAGGAGAAACGGTTACAGTGACCGAAGTTGAAGGGGAAGCAGCTCCTGCTAGTGCTGGCGCCATGATTTCTGATGCTGCTGCTGCCACTGCTCCCACAGCTCCGGCGACCGATGCTGCAGCAGCTGGGGCGTCAGGTGCTGCTTCAGGTGCTACAGCAGGTGATACATCAGGTGCTGCGGCAGCAGGTGCTCCAGGTGGTGCAGCAGGCACGAGCACAGGTGGAGCAGCAGCAGCAGCAGCAGCAGACGAGGAGGAGGATCTTCCAGAGATCGACCCAACCTTCCTGGAAGCTCTACCGGAGGACCTAAGGGCAGAGGTACTAGCCTCCTTCCACGTGGAGCGAGCTGCCAGGCAGGCCCGCCAGAGACGCGCCCAGCTTCAGGCCGCACAGCCACAGGGGCAGGCGGGGGGAGGCGCGGCAGGGGGAGGAGCAGGGGGAGCGGAGGGCGCCGGGGGCGCAGGGGGAGCAGGGGGAGCAAGGGGAGTGGGTGGGGCGGGAGCAGGAGGAGGAGCAGCAGCAGGGTTGGGAGGGGAGGACACGGGGGAGCTGGATCCGGAATTCTTAGCAGCGCTGCCGCCGGACATTCAGGCGGAGGTGCTGGCGCAGCAGCAGGCACAGCGGCTCATGGCGGCAGCAGCAGCAGCAGGTGCGGATGGGCATCCTGTGGACATGGATAGTGCGTCTATCATTGCCACATTCCCTGAGGAGCTGCGAGCAGAGGTCCTGCTGACCTCATCGGAAGCAGTGCTGGCATCGCTCCCGCCCGCCCTGCTGGCAGAAGCCCAGCTGCTGAGAGAGCGAGCCATGCAGCAGCAGTACTCTGTTAGGCACCAGCACCCCGCACACCCCCACCACGCCATCTTCGGCGGTCCCATCCGCCGCTCTCCCGCTGTTGCTGGCGGTACCACCGCCCACCGCCGCCCGCCGCACCCGTTCGCTGTGGCTGCTGGGGAGGGCGGTGTGGGAGAATTCACCAGGGGGTTCATTGCCGCGGGGATGGGGAGGAGGGAGAGGGAGAGCGCAGGGGCTGGGGCGGGGACGGGGGCGGGGGGAAGTAAAGGTGGTGGGGAAGGGGGAGAGGAGGAGAAGGCGCCTGTGGTGGATGAGAGGGCGCTCAAGGCGCTCATTCGCCTCCTGCGCATCTCCCAGGTGGGTTTCTGTGATTGCTACCCCCCACATTCACAATCTGTGACACTGCAAGGTTGCCTTCCTTGATAGTAATTACCATTTTTCCTCTTGTCTTTCTCATCCCAACTTTTTTTACCCCTTTCACCCCACCTCTCCCACCCGCCCCCCCTTTTCCCCCACCAGCCGCTGCAAAAGGCCCTGCTGCCGCGTCTACTGACCAACCTCGCCTCCCACGCCACCACCCGTGCAGCCCTCGTGCGCATCCTGCTAGATCTGCTGCGCCCCGATGCCGATCCAACGGACCAGCACCCCACAGGGCAGCATCCAACGGACCAGAATGCAGCAGCCGTGCCAGGTGCTGCAGCATCTGCAGCGGAAGGCAGTCAGGCTGCACCACCTGCAGCACCTGAAACGCCTGCAGCACTCGGAGCGGCTGCAGCTGTTGAGGGTGTGGGTGAGGGTGGGGTAGCAGCAGACGGCGCACCACCACACCAGCTGTACTGCTGCCAGTCCAACGTGGTGTATGCTCGACCGCAGTGCCCCAACAGTGAGTTTCTCGCCTTGCATGCTGTAGACTCAATGGCTCAAGGGCTCAAGGGTGTGCGTGAGGGTGCGCGTGCGGGTGGGGTAGCAGCAGACGGTGCCCCACCACACCAGCTGTACTGCTGCTAGTCCAACGTGGTGTATGCTCGACCGCAGCGCCCCAACAGTGAGTCGCTTGCCTTGCGGGCTCAAGACGTAAGGGTTAGACGGCTGGGCACTTCTTGCTGGGCTTCTTCCTATGCCTGAACCACCCTCATTTCCATCTCCTTGCAACCCGTTCTTCCCAATGCTCTTCTTCCCCCTTCCCTTCCCTTGTAGGCATTCCTCCCCTCGTCTCTCGCCGTGTGCTGGAGCTGCTGGTGTACCTGTCGCGCCACTCCATGGCTGCCACGCAGCTGCTGCTGCTCTTCCCCTCCGCGCTCACTCGCTTGGCTCAGCAGCAGCGGGAGGAGCGGGAGCGGGCAAAGGAACGCAAGGGCAAGGCGAAGGTGGCGGAAATAACAGAGGATTCTGCAGGGGGAGTGGCAGGAGGAGCAGCAGGAGGAGCAGCAGGAGGAGCGGCTAAAGCAGAGGAGTCGGTGGAGACGGGTGTTGTGGGCAGGGGAACGAAGGGGAAGAGAAAAGAGGGTGTTGATGGGGAGGCGGAGGAGGAAGGGGGAGAAGGGGGAGAAGGGGAGGTGCCGTTTGTGCTGATGCTGCATCTGTTGAGACAGCCTCTGTACCTGCGTAGCTCGCCCCACTTGGAACAGGTCCGTGCAACGCCGCTTGTCTAGGTCCGTGCAACGCCACATGTCTAGGTCCGTGCAGGGCAGTGCAGCTGCTGAGTCTCATGGAGGTGGTAGTTGGCACAGCAGCAGAGTCAACTTTGTCTTATGGAGGGGTCAGCCCTCTTGCTGTTGCTCATCTCTCCTCCCCCCTTTCCCCCCGTTACCCCCATGCGTGTGTTTGTGTATGCCCTGCAGCTGCTGGGTCTCATGGAGGTGGTAGCTCGGGCAGCAGCAGAGGAGGCTCTCAATGCTGCCGCTGCTGCTGCTGCTGCTGCCACACCTGCCAATGTTGCTGCTGCCACGCCTGCCGCTACTGCTGCCACTGCAACGCCAGCTATCGCTGACGGTACTGCCACTGCTGCCGCTGGTGCGGCTGTCCCTGCCGATGCTGCTAGACCTGAGGGGCAAGTAGCAGGAGAATCGCCAGCAGCAGCAGCAAGTGCAGCAGTGGAGAATGCATCCGCAGCAGCAGCAGGAGCAACAGGAACAACAGGAGCAGCAGGAGGAGCAGGGGTGGCAGGAGATGGTGCTTCAGGCCCTGCCGAGGCAGCGGCAGAGGCTCGGATGGAGGGTGGTTCAGGTCCGGGGACTGCCGAGGCTGGATCTGCGGGTGGGGATGTAGAGATGGGAGAGAGGGAGAGAGAAGACGGAGGGGAGGGGCAAGCAGGGCAGGAGGGGCAGGAGGGGCAGGAGGGGCAGGAGGGCAGAGAGCAACTAAGTGAAACCCAAGAAGGAGCTCCAGCAGCTGCGGCAGAGACTGCAGCAGCGGCAACAACAGCAGCTGCAACAGCCGATGCTGCTGCTCTTTTAACTGGAACAGATACTGCTACTGCTCCCTCGGCTGCTGCTACCATCCCACCCGCTTCCACACCCACATCCCCTCCCACCAGCACGGCACAACCCCCTGCCCCCGCTGCTCCACCCGCTCCCCCAGTGCCCATCCCAGTGACAGTCTTCCTCCGCATTCCCCACCCTGACCTCCGCATTCTCTCCCAGCTGCTCGCCCAGGAGGGCCTCTCAGACGCCTCCTACTCGCGTGCTGTGGCTGTGCTGAGGCTGGTTACTGCTGTGGTTCCCAAGTACCGCGCACTGTTTGTTGCTGACCTGGCAGCGGCGGCACGCCAGCTCAGCTCGCCGGCCACGCGGGAGTTGCTAGAGGTGGTGGAGGGGGCGGATGGTGGGGAGGGTGGGGGAGAGGAGGGAGCAGGTGCAGGAGCAGGAACAGGGGCAGCAACGGAGAGTGAGAGAGCGTCTATGGAAGGGCAGGAAGCAGCAGCACCTGCAGCACCATCAGCGCTAGCTGCTGTAAGCGGCAAGCCATGGGGGCTGACGAGAGCAGGAGCAGCCACTCTCCGCGTCCTCAAGACCCTCACCTCGCTCCTCTCACAACCCGCCTCCTCCCTCCCACCCGCCTGGGATGGCGACTCCCCCTCAGGACCGGCATCCGAGGCAGAATGCCAGGCTGTCATTGCAGACCTGGTCACGTCGCTCCACCCTCTCTGGCAAGTCCTATCCGAGTGCTGTGGCAAGCTTGAGGCTCGGTACAAGAAACACCCGGCCCTGTCCGCTTCGGCCGGACCTGCAGGTTCGGCGGCGGAGGGTGCGGCAGGCGTGGGAGGAGGGGCGGCAGGGGGAGGTGCTGTGCCGCCGCTGCCATCAGCAGCACAGCAACTGTTACCATTCGTGGAGTCGTTCTTCGTGTTGTGTGACAAGACAAGCAGCAAGGGGAAAGGTGCTGCTGCTGGGGGAGCTGCTGCTGCCTCTGATTCGACTCCTGCTGCTGCGGATGCTCCAGCTGCTGCTCCTTCTGCCCCTGCTCCTGGCTCCAGTACTGCAGCAGCAGCAGCAGCAACACAAGAGGCTGCTGCTGCCACCACCACCACATTGGCACCCATTCCTTCCTCCTCCTCTATCACCTCCATCCCCTCCTCCTCCTCGCCGTCCTCTGCTCTCCTGCGCTTCACAGAGCGCCACCGGCGCCTGCTCAACGCGTTCGTACGCGGCAACCCAGCGCTTCTAGAGCGGTCCTTTGCAGTGCTGCTCAAGTGGGCGTGGGTGCTGGACTTTGACAACAAGCGCGCTTACTTCAGGGCGAGGATGAGGCAGCTGCATGAGCAACCGCATTACGGGACTCTGAGGATTACGGTCAGACGGCCGTACATTCTTGAAGACTCGTACAACCAGGTGAGAGAAGAATTTGAGTGCATAGACGTCTTAGAACCAGGCATGCTTCACGTGGGCGTGGGTGCTGGACTTTGATAACAAGCGCGCTTACTTCAGGGTGAGGATGAGACAGCTGCATGAGCAGCCACACTATGGCACACTGCGGATCACGGTCCGACGGCCGTATATCCTTGAAGACTCGTACAACCAGGTGAGAGGATCTGAATGTTGAGGCAATCTTGGGGGTGGCTGAACGTGCACTTCCAGGGGGGGGAGGGCATTGATGCAGGGGCTGAGCAGCGTTGGGGGAACTCTATTTATCTCCCCAAACCACCTCTGCCTGCCTACCCCCCCCTCTTCCTTTCCCCCTTTTTTCCCCGGCTACGCATGCGCACAGCAGAGGAGCTGCAGGGGCGGCTGAATGTGCACTTCCAGGGGGAGGAGGGGATCGACGCAGGAGTTGAGCAGCATTGGGGGCACACGATATATCTCCGCAAACCACCTCTGCCTTCCTAACCTTCCCTTCCCTATCCCACTTCCCCCCATCCTCGGTTCCCCCCCGCTTTCCCCAGCTCCGTATGCGCACAGCGGAGGAGCTACGAGGGAGGCTGAACGTGCACTTCCAGGGGGAGGAGGGCATCGACGCAGGGGGGATGAAAAGGCAGCCTTGGAAGCACCTGATCCATCTCCTCAAACCCCCTTTGCCTTCCTACACCCCTTCTCCCTCTCCCTCTTCCCCTCCCTCCCAACAGCTGCGCATGCGCACAGCAGAGGAGCTGAGGGGGAGGCTGAACGTGCACTTCCAGGGAGAGGAGGGCATCGACGCAGGGGGGGTGACGCGCGAGTGGTACCAACAGCTGTCGCGTGTGGTGTTTGACAAGGGCGCTCTGCTCTTCACCACTGTCGGCAACGACACCTCCTTCCAGCCCAACCCTAATAGTGTGCTGCAGCCGGGTCATCTCTCCTACTTCAAATTCGTCGGCCGCGTGGTGAGTGCTGCCTCATGCTGCTGCTACATACATGCTGCTTCCACATGTGCTGCTACATATGTGATTCTCCTGGTTTCCCCTTCTGTTGACAAGACAACCACTTTTTTAGCAAGAGGGCTGGGGACCATTTTATTGCTCTTCGAACCCCTTCACACACCCACCACTCCCGCAATGCCTGTGTGCAGGTGGCCAAGGCATTATATGATGGACAGCTGCTGGACATGCACTGCATTCGCTCTTTCTACAAGCACATCCTGGGCAGCAAGGTCACTCGATTGCTACCAAACCCTCCATCCCTCTCCCTCCGTCCCCCCGCCTCCTCTTTCCCTTGGGCTCCCCTCCAATGCCTGTGTGCAGGTGGCAAAGGCACTGTACGATGGGCAGCTATTAGACGTGCACTTCACACGGTCGTTCTACAAGCACATCCTGGGCGCTGAGGTCGATTTGGTCCTCTACAACCCCCTTTTTCCCGTGAACCCCAACCCAACTCCTTTCTGTCACCAGGTGGCAAAGGCATTGTACGATGGGCAGCTATTAGACGTGCACTTCACGCGGTCGTTCTACAAGCACATCCTGGGCGTGAAGGTCACGTTCCATGACATAGAGGCCATCGACCCGGACTATTACAAGAACCTGCAGTGGATGCTCGAGGTGAGGGGGAGAGTGAGGGATTGCATTTGCGTGTGTGGCTCTGCGCATGGGGGAAGTGTGGCTCTGCGCATGGGGGAAGTGTGGCTCTGCGCAGGGGGAAGTGTGGCTCTGCGGATCCCCCTTATCCCTTCACCCCCCACCCCACTGCTCACCAAAGTGACATCCTGGACCTCACGTTCAGCATGGACACTTGTGTTCACCGTGCCGTCGAATCCTCTATGCACTCACTCCTTTCTCTCCCTTCTCCCTCCCCACGTTGCCACCCCTCAAATCTCACCAGAACGACATCATCAACATGTTGGACGTTCTACATGTGCGCGTTTGTCCCCGGTGCCCTCATGTGTTCTCTCTGCTTTAACCCCCTTTTCTCCCCTCTCTTCCCTCCTCCCCTCCTCTCTCTCTCCTTCAGAACGACATCAGTGCCATCCTGGACCTCACGTTCAGCATGGCCATGTTTGGCACTCGTGCACTCATATATCCTCTGTGCTCTCCCCCATCTTTTCTTCCTCCTAACTCACCAGAACGACATCAGTGACATCCTGGACCTCACGTTCAGCATGGACGCGGATGAGGAGAAGCGCATTCTGTACGAGCGCACTGAGGTGAGACCGAGGGGCGCTGCTGTTTGCTTGGGCGCGCTGAGGTGAGACAGGTTGGTGGCTAGCGTGGGGGCAGATGGGACATCAGTGGCGTCCTGGACCTCACATTCAGCATGGATGCGGACGAGGAGAAGCGCATTCTGTACGAGCGCACTGAGGTGAGCCGGGGGGATGACTAGCAGAGGGGCAAAGTAGAGGAGAGCAGTGATGAGGAGAAGCGCGTTCTGTACGAGCGCACTGATGTGACACTGACTTGGGCTGTACACCGCTGTCAACCATTGTCCACCACTGACCACCACTGTTCACACCTCAGAGGAGAACAAGCACTCGCATGATGGCCGCCCGTTAATGCCTTCCCCATCCCATTGCCCTGCCTCTCTGCCAACCCTTTTCTCCCTCCAACAGGTAACCGACCATGAGCTCATCCCAGGGGGTCGCAACATACGAGTGACGGAGGAGAACAAGCATGAGTATGTGGACGCTGTGGCCGACTACCGCATGACGGCTGCCATTCGCCCGCAGATCGCCGCATTCATGGAGGGATTCACGGAGCTCATACCCAAGGACCTCATCGCCATGTTCAACGACAAGGAGCTGGAGCTGCTCATTTCTGGACTGCCTGAGATTGACAGTACGTGTTTCCTTTGTTGCTCTGTCGGCACTAGTGAGGGCAGTGAGTGCAGCTGTGGGGGCGTTCATGGAGGGCTTCACCGAGTTGATTCCCAAGGACCCATCGCCATGTTCAACGACAAGGAGCTGGAGCTCCTGATTTTGGGGCTACCGGAGATTGACAGTGAGTGCTTGGCTTCTTCCTCTGTGGGCTCTAGTGAGGGCAGTGAGTGTGGGTGTGTGGGAGCCTTCATGGAGGGACGGAGCTCATACCCAAGGATCTCATCGCCATGTTCAGTGATAAGGGCGTGTAACTTTTTCCGTTTTAGGTACATGTCCGGACGGAGCCCAAAAACTGTCCGAACGGAGCTCCTTCCGGACGGTTGGGTGATGGTGTTCGGACGATGAAGCGTCCGTACCACAATTGTGACACTTTTTTGCAGTTTCGAAATTTGAGTTTTGAGCGAAGAAGTAACGCGCATAACCTCCCTCGCCAGCACATCGCTCAGCTCGCAAGCATGCAGTTTGGGCTCGGTAATGTTTGAGGTTTCCAACAACCCACTTCGTCCTCTTGCTCGCGTTACTGTGAGTACAACACACATACTGAAAGTTGCCAAAATTATGCCTCGCGCGCCAATGAGGTTGCAGGAGTTCCGGACGGTCCGAAAATGCTGTCCGGACGGTCTCAGCAGCGTAGAACGGACGATGAACTGACAGAAAAGTGTCAGATTTTGTACGGACCGTTGCGACGTCGCGAGGGGCCTTGCGAGGTTTTTCACGAATCCTAGCGAAACGTATAACCCTACAAAAGTCCGGACGGGGCTTCCGTCCGGACGATGAAAAGTGAAAAATTTACACGCCCTAAGGAGCTGGAGCTCCTGATTTCGGGGCTGCCTGAGATTGACAGTGAGTGCTCTACGTGCTGGGATGTGCCCCGGCCTGAGATTGGCTGACGGGATTCGTTAGGGGAGTTTTCTGGTCTGGGATGTCGCAAAACTGGAACAACAAAGAGCCTCTCTCCGCATCCCTTCATCCAACTTTCTCATTATCTCTCACTTCTCCTGGCCCCCCATTCTCCCACCAGTTGACGACCTGCGCAGCAACACAGACTACACGGGGTACACGGTAGGGTCACCACAGATCCAGTGGTTCTGGGACGTGGTGGCTCATCTCTCACACTGCACCGCTCCCCTCTCTATTCTCCCTTCCCCCCTTCTCTCCCCACCAGTTGACGACCTGCGCAGCAACACAGACTACACGGGGTACACAGCAGGGTCACCACAGATCCAGTGGTTCTGGGACGTGGTGGCTCATCTCTCCAAGGAGGACCGTGCTCGCCTGCTGCAATTCGTCACTGGCACGTCCAAGGTGAGCGCGAAGGCTGGAAGAGAGCAGGTACATGGAGGGTGGGATGAGAGCAGGGTCGCCTCAGATCCAGTGGTTCTGGGACGTGGTGGCGCACCTCTCCAAAGCGGACCGTGCTCGCCTGCCGCAGTTCGTCACTGCCACGTCCAAGGTGAGATGCGCAGAGAGGCATGTTAATTGGGGAGCAAACAGGGAAAGGGAGGAGACGCATCCGAGGTAACACGGCTCCCATGTTATGTTCGTTCGTTTTGCAAGGCGCGGGCAGAGCAGTGGCGCGGGCAAAGCAGTGGCGCTTTGAAGGCGACATCGCACTCGCGTAACTTGTCCCTCCTGCACTTGGTCAACTTCCCTCTTGTTGCACGCCCACCCCTCCTGGCAGGTTCCGCTGGAGGGATTCAAGGCGCTGCAAGGGCTGTCGGGGCAGCAACGCTTCCAGATCCACAAGGCGTATGGCGACAACAAGAGGTTGCCCTCCGCTCACACATGGTGCGTGCATTACCTCCCGCTCTCCTCATCCCTCCATGTAACTCAGCTCGTCCACACTCCTAAATACCCCCTCCTTCCCCTCCCCCACCTCCCCCCCGCACCTGTTCTCCCATTCTCCCAAGATTTAAAGTGTATGCACTGTCATACATGTTTCTTTCAAGTACCTCTTCTTGTAGTTGTTTCTTGGTGTTGTTTATACCGTTGTGCTACTTTCGTAAGCAGCGCATACCCCCTCGTTCCCTTCTCTTGTGACAGTTTCAACCAATTGGACCTGCCGGAATACAGCACCAAGGAGCAGTTACAGGAACGACTACTGTTGGCCATTCACGAAGCCAGTGAGGGCTTTGGCTTCGGCTAAGGGGCGAATTAGCTTTGCATTAAATGGTGTTCCTGTGGAGGCGTGACCTCGGTAAATGTAGAAAATATATAGCATTTCTTTGTCACGAAACAGCATCTCATTCAGGAACATTGGAAATGGAGGGATCCATTCTATGAACAGCTGGATTCCTGTAGTACGTTATACAACCAACTGGTTGACGATGTACCCTTTGAACACGCAAGTAACATACCTGTTCCTTGTAACGGATAGTTGTCTTTTAGTGAGATCCGCCATGTCAGCAATTCCAGCTGTCGTTATGCCAGGGCAGCCACATCGGATAGATCTTTGCCACGCGGAATCTTCTCAACACAGATAGGCACAGAAATGTGGATATGGAAACTCGTGGTTGCGTGTGACATCGCGGCTGACGTGTCAATCGAGCCCCCTTTTGCGCCATTCGAAGCGATTCGCATTGCACACGCGGCATTCGCAAGACTTCTTTCGCAACTCTCGCCTCGGTTGCGAATCTAAACGACATTTCGCTTGTTGTCGCACTTTCCTCCGTCCACCACCAATCCTCCTCGACAGCCATGGCTGCTTCCCAGCCACTCGCTGCTGTAGTGGACTCCCAGCCAGCTGTGTCACAGCAACTCCACGAATTCCGATTCCGGATTCCTGATGGGTGGAGAGAGTTGGGTGGGATTTGGAGTCAGTGGAGATTATCTTGGAACAGACCAGACACATTCAGGCCAGCATCGTCCCCCATAAATAGCCAGAAGTATCATTTCCCGGGTAATCTGAACGGCGTTTCTTCGCATTTACAGAGCAGCTGCTGGTCTCCTGCTTCCTGCGACTTCCACCTCTCATCCATTTCTCAGACATCCTTTGAGAATGGCTGCTACCGTCGCTACCTCCTCCAAGGTGGTCGTCGCGCCCCGCGCGGCCCTTTCCCAGGGCAGCAGCGCTGGCTCCAGCTCTGTCAGGGCGTCCGCTGGCATCAGGTCCTTCAACGGCCTGGTCGCTGGTAACAAGGACAACCAGAAGTTCGCCAACATTTTCGCCGTTGAGCACGACATCCAGTCCGCCGTCGCCTCGCACGTCGCCAAGGCGGGCAAGGGCACCCGCGGTGTGGTGACCATGGCAAAGAAGAGCGTGGGTTCGCTGACGGAGGCGGACCTCAAGGGCAAGCGCGTGTTCGTGCGCGCGGACCTGAACGTGCCGCTCGATGCGGACTTCAATATCACTGACGACACGCGTATCCGTGCCGCCGTGCCCACCATCAAGTACCTCATGGAGAAGGGCGCTAAGGTCCTCCTCACCAGCCACCTGGTAAGTCACACAAGCTTTTAAACATGACATTGTCCAGTTATGGCTGCAAAGAGATGCCTAGTTGCTGGGTACACTTTCAACATTAACTACCAAAAATTGTCTGCTTCCATTTCGTTGTATGTATCGAATTTCTGTTCGCAATATTCCTAGTGTTCATTCTTTTCCATCCGTCATTTTTCCTTTCCGTTGCTTTTTCCAGGGTCGCCCGAAGGGTGTGACTGAGAAGTTCCGCCTCAACCCGCTCGTGAACCGTCTGTCGGAGCTGCTGGGCATCAAGGTCGTCAAGACCAACGACTGCATCGGCGAGGAGGTCGAGAAGGCCATCGCCGCGCTCCCCAACGGCGGCGTCGTTCTCCTCGAGAACGTGCGCTTCTACCCCGAGGAGGAGAAGAACGTCAAGGAGTTCGCCGAGAAGCTCGCCGCCAACGCCGACCTCTACGTCAACGACGCGTTCGGCACGGCGCACAGGGCGCACGCCTCCACCGCCGGAGTGACGGAGTTCCTCAAGCCCTCCGTCGCCGGGTTCCTCCTCCAGAAGGAGCTTGACTACCTCGATGGCGCCGTCACCAGCCCCACCCGCCCCTTCGCCGCCATCGTCGGTGGCTCCAAGGTGTCGTCTAAGATCGGCGTGATTGAGTCCCTCCTCGCCAAGTGCGACATTCTGCTGCTGGGCGGTGGAATGATCTTCACCTTCTACCGCGCACTCGGGTACAAGACCGGCGCGTCGCTGGTGGAGGAGGACAAGGTGGAGCTCGCGACGAGCCTGATCAAGAAGGCCGAGGAGAAGGGCGTGAAGCTGCTGCTGCCCACCGATGTCGTCATCGCCGACAAGTTCGCCCCTGACGCCAACTCCCAGGTTCGTTGCCCAAACAGCTCTCTTTTACCTTTCTTGGTCACTCAAATGTTTTTTTTCCCCCCTGGGTTGGCTATCATATAATCCGGGATTCTCTCCTTCATATTTGTACTTCGGTACACACATTGGGGCCTCCAATTCCATCAATAAGTGGGTCATTTCAATAAGCTTCGGTTTTCACATCTGCATTGCATAAAGAACTATAACTGATCACAATGTCTACTCTCTCCTTCCTTCCTCACTACAGATCGTGTCGGCCAAGGACATCCCCGAGGGCTGGATGGGTCTCGACATTGGCCCTGACTCCGTCAAGACGTTCAACGAGGCGCTCGACACCTCCAAGACCGTCATCTGGAACGGCCCCATGGGCGTGTTCGAGTTCGACAAGTTCGCCGTCGGTACCGAGGCTGTCGCGAACAAGCTCGCGGATTTGAGCGGCAAGGGCGTGATCACCATCATTGGTGGCGGTGATTCCGTGGCGGCTGTTGAGAAGGTGGGAGTGGCTGAGAAGATGAGCCATATCTCCACTGGTGGCGGTGCCTCCCTGGAGCTTCTCGAGGGCAAGGTGTTGCCAGGTGTCGCTGCTCTCAACGACGCCTAGATGCTCGTAAATAGTTATTTTTGACCTTCTCACAGTTTTGTACAATTTTCGCATTCAAATGAAAACGAATTATTCATATCATGTGCCACGTCTGTAATCAGTCAGAACCAGACCATGCGCCAAGTGCATCGAATCTTGGATGTGCCACAGGAGGCAAGAAGAGAAGGGAACGGCTCTGGGAGAATTCTACAAATGAAAATGTGTCTAAAGAAGCTGCAAGAGTGGATACTGCACATTTAGCTGGCAGGTACCATTTCTGCTGTCAAATGAGATAAATTCTTGACATCACCTGTAGGAGGATTTCTGAATCGTCACTGGCCGTCGGAGTAGCCTTACATACACTAAGATGGGAAACGTGAAGGTGTACCAAATGGTATTCAACTTGTGAGCTGGATGGTCATTGGGAAACCACAAAGAAGGGAACAGCTTATATGAAAACTTTACCATCAGACACGTGCTCTGAAGGCAAAGTAATTGCCATTGATAGTTGTGCCTTTCAAAACGAAATATCCATGAGCTTCTGTGTACTTCAGCTCTCTGGTTTGGTGATATTATCAAGAACTCCAGATCCTGATCAAAAGAGTCAGGTCAGGGGGGTTTGCACAGTCGGGAAAGTCGAGGCTGGGAAGTTGACGAGAAAGCATGGGCGACGGTTCACGAAGCAATGCAGCGACAGAAGTGGGCAGTCATGTTGCTCGTTCCCCCACGCGATCTGGTTACCTCCTTACTTCATTCATCCGTCGTCGCATCCAATTCGGTCAGAACGAAGCCTGTCGGGACTCGGAAAATGTCCCGGTCGTCCAGTACGGTTTTCAGAGACCATGGAGTGGTTCCTGCACTAAACAAAGCGGTGGATGCGCGGAAATCGTGTTCAAGTGAATGCATGGGTCACTGATATCCCCCCACCAACAATGCTCTTTCGAATCTGTTGCTTGTCCAACAAGGAACATCCATGGCTCCCTAGATTCTGCAGATTCAGTTGTAACCCAGTCATGCCGAAGGAACATCTGAGAACAAAGGCCCAGTCTACGACGTGTTTGTGGTTGTGATATTCTCATTATCTTTTTTTCTCGTTAGGCGAATCCTGGTTGCCGTCATACAGGCAAATCCAGGTTTTAGGTCAAACAGGTCGTCAGCACCGACTAGCTATGGGAATGTTCAAGTCGTTTCTCTCCTTCTGTGCTGGGTCTACCTTCGGGATCTACGTCGCGCAGACGTACAACTTACCTCCGCTGAGGGTCGTAGTGGACCGTGCGATTGCAGTGGGAAAGCAACTGGAAGACGCATATAGGAAGCGAGACCAGGGTCAAGATCCGGATCAAAGGAACGACAAAAATTAGGATGTTACGTGCCGTTTCTTAGCGCTCATAGTTGTTCCTGCTAACCGGTTCCGCCTCTCGCGCTCCAGTCCGTCCTGCTAGTAGCTGCTGCTCTCAGTAAATGTAGTGCCTGGCCGATTGTAGGAGCAAAGCCCGAGTGCATTGTGCTCGTGCTTGTATATCTTATATAACTCATATTTTTTACTACAAATATCCCTACCCCTGGAGAAAAACAAATCATCAACCTTCCATCCACCAGCATCTCACTCACCTTCTCCTTGGTCTTTCTCCAGCCTTCATGTCCCCATCCATTCTTGGGTTTCTGGTCACTGCTTAGGAGTCTGTTGATTGTCATATTTGATCTCCGTTACTGCATTTAACGGCTCCTGCCTTCTCTTTGGTTGCAAACCGCCTACTCAGATTTCATTGCAAAATGTGAACAAAGTTCTTACCGTACTAAAAGTTGACTTCATTAGAAATTGATGGTAGCCAGTGGTTGTGTACATTAAATAAAATTAATAACCAAGTGGTGAACATGCTACATGGTGGTGTGAACAAGAAGAAGCCACCTTTATGGCGCACGCACCTAGTGCGCTAATCATGCAGCTGCTTGCCCTGTGTGTGTCTACGCTCACAGCTTGCAATGCTGCTTTATTCTAAAACTTCACCGACTCACTCACCCCTCTTGTCCTTCCTCCTGCCTTTATTGAGCCTGCACAGTGTCAGTGCGTGCCACAGTAGGCAGCTTAGAGTGCCACCTCCACGTGCACATCCTCCTCTCAGGATCGTAATGCCAGAACTTGTTCACCATGAACCGGTTCTTCTTCGCATCCTTCCCCGCAATCCAGTTGTTGTGCAGGATGGTGCATCCGTGCTTCAGGCAGTTCCCAAGCACATCCTCATGGTCCCAGTAGTTGTGAACAGCGCCATTCGGGTACACCTTGCGGTCGAGGAAAATGGTTCGCAGGCCGTTTTGCCACCGGCACTCCTCCTTTCCAGCCACCAGGTTCTCCCCCTTCACTCCGCACAGAATGTCGTAAAAGCTCGGCTGCTCGGACAGCTTAGTCGTGGCGGCATGCGCTGTGATCGCCTCGAACGCCTCAATGGTCTTGGGATCAGACCTAGCGAAGTAGAACCCTGAGTTGATCCGCCGGATCCCCGTGCCTGGAATCGACCCGTTGGGCTCGTTGCTCTGGATTGGGAAGGTGCCCGGGCCGTAGCTGAGGAGGTCTGGGAGAGGGTCGGAGAACCAGACGATGTCCACGTCGGTCCAGAGCACGGAGTAGCCCTGCTTGAGCACCTTGAGCACGGAGCGCGACTTGAGCTTGGTGAACTGCCGGAAGCACTGGCTGCCGAAGACACAGTCCTTGGAGTTGAGTCCCTGGTACCCCACACTCACCTGCACGGACGGAAGGGAGGGAAGGAAAGGCAAGGAAGGATGGGGGTTAGGAAAAACGAAGGAGGGAAACGACAGGGCGATGGGCAGACAGTCGGTACTGTGCGGGACGAGATCAGGTAGGGAAAGGAAGAAAAGCGAGAGGGGGTGGATCTGGGCGGCACTGTGCGCTCACCTGCTCGTGGTACACTGCGAGCCCCTGCGAGAAGGCGAATCGGTACAAGTCCTCGTCGAGCGCGGCAACCACGAGGTTATCCGCGAGACCCAGCCCGCGCAGGCGGCACACGAAGCTCATGAGCATCTCCGCGTACCCCATGGTCACCGCCACGAGGATCACCACCTTCAGCCCGCCCACCTCGCGCGCCACCTGTGGAAGCAGCTGCGCCGACGTGTGCGGCAGCCCCACCGCGGATCCCGGCGTGGGAACGGCCTGGATCGAGTAATCCGCCTTCTTATCGACGGACACGCTGCCGCAGGTCCATCTGCGGCCGGACGGATCGATCTTGGGGTCCGACTGGCTGATATCGACGAAGTTAGAGTATTCGCACTGGCAGGTCGCGGGGCGCAGGCGGCGCTGCAGGCACATGTTGTTGACGGCCGGCTCGAAGCAGGAAGACATTTTCCACGGCACGTGAAGCGCTGTCCCGAGCTGGTTGGAGTAAGAGCCGTGGGTTTGCGCGAGGTGGATGTTTGCGAAGAGCTCCCAGCTGCTCTTCTTCCGCGTGCTCCAGAAGTTCTTCCCCGCGAGTGCCGCCGCGCCGTTCTTCGTCTCCGCGGATTCCGTCACGTGCGAGTAGGAGTGCGCCACGTGGATGGACGTCACCGCGTCGCTCGCGTCGACGACTTCGCGAAGGCCCGATGCGACGATCTCGTGCGTGAACCAGTTGTCGTACTTGCCGCGCCCGAACGCGAAGGGCGGCATGATACCCGTGTGCAGCTGCACGGGGGAGTTATTCCACACCCAGAAATCCACCCCGCCATAAGTATGCAGCGACCCCTTGGTCCGCGCGTACTCGGCAATTTCCTTCTCGAGCGCCGCGGGGCCGCGGCTCCGCGCATTCGCCCACATGGAGGGGAAGAAGGTGTACGGGAAATCCTCCGCCACGTCCCACCGCGCCGCGGTCATCACCCAATGCGGGAACGCCTTGTGAACCTTGTTGATAGCATCGAGGACGTTTTTAAGGAGGATGATATCGCCGTTGATGATCATCGACAGGTCCGTGTCCGCCGCCTGCGCGCGCGCCACGATACTGTGAAACTGCGGCAGGCCGTAGTAGTTAGTATCGATAGCGGACTCCACGGAGACCTGCTTCGGGAAGCGACGCGCGAGCTCGGTGAAGGTCGAGTCGTTCCCTAGAAGGACGATCTTCGGCGACGGCGTGAGGCGCAGCCAGGAGCGCAGCGCGCGGAGCTGGTTGTCCGGCTGCGGGTCCTTGGGATCGAGAATCGACGAGTAGGGCTTCGGCGAGCAGAAAATGGTGAGAGACGGAGCCGCCGCTACCGGAGTGTCTTGCGCAGCAGGCGCCGAGACAAGACTGCCGAAGATGCTGCTGAAGGATCGGGCTTTGCTCGGACTTTTGGTGCGCTTGCTGGCCGCCGCCGCGATCATCTCTGCTTCCGCTTGCTTTTGCTTCTTCGCGAACGCGGATTTGCCGTTTGACGAAGATGACTTTGAGTTCGGCGAATTGCGCTTGAAGAGGGTAACCCGGCTTTGCTTCGCCACGAGTACGCCATCCTCGTTGGTCGCGAATCCTGAGTAGGAGAGGCGCTGCTCGCAGGAAACGAGCGTCGCGGCGGAGATCAGGAGGAGGAGCGCCGTGACCGAGGCTCTTGCTGGTGGCATTTGCCACTGCCGCATATCGGTCGCCATGCCGATACTACGTGCGAACTTGCGTAGACACAGAAAAGGCACAACCTTTACCAGTAGGGAGAAAGATAGTTCTCTGAGTCACGAGCACTGGAATGAAAGGAAATATTAGGTTGAGCGCTAAGCGGCGAAATGCTGGAGGACCTTTGCTGATTAGAATCTCCAAATGCTGGTAGTTCGCCCCTTTCGCTTCTTTGTAGCAGTAAATGATCTGAGATGCTTCAGCCTGAAGCTCCAGATTGACTTATAGTAGTGAGTGCGCACAGGTTTAGTCGCCGAGTGGGCTGGATTTGGGTGACAACTGATTGATGAGGTCAGCATGGAGCTACCCCCGCCAATGGCTAGTTGGTGGGTGGGAGTGAGGGGAGGAGCTTGCCCCCAATGTGAGGCAGACATGCGGCGCGGGAATACGCATGCACGACACGGGACTGTGAACACCCTGGTTAGCTGTCTGGGGACGCCTGGTGGCTCGAGGGGGGGAGGAAATTGTTTTGTTGAGTTATCTACGGCTGTCATGCTCGGGACTGCAAAATTCAACGGGTTGGATTTTGGCTAGGAAGAATGCTTTGAGGCGCTTCGGAGAGTATGGAAACAGCACAGCCACACTTCTTGCGAACCTGTGCCGACATGTGTGCGCGAGTGGTGGGTGTGGCTGTGACCGACAGTTTAGACGACAACATCACGAGGAGGGCAAAATTTCCCCCGCCCATACGTCCGCGAAGAGTCAAAGCTGTCTTTGCGAAAGACAATACGTCTCGCAAATTTGGAAGGCGACGTAGCTGACGGTCTACAATGCCGGCGAGAATCCTTGTTTCGTTGGATTCACGGAGTATGGCGAGGTTACACCCGTCAGGTGAGAGAGCTCGGCTGTGAACAGCTGGGATCAAGGGGCACGGAAGGCTTGGAAGAACCTCATTTACATCAACCAGTGATGGATATGGGGAGATTTGTACTTCCGATTGAAGAAGTGTAAGCTTCGGTCGGGTATAAAATGAATGGGATAAAATGTGGCACTTTGTCTCTAACTGCACGTGTAAGACATATAGTTTCGTTCGTATACTGCTTCTTTTATCCTTCACAATATCCTGATCAGCTTGACAAGTCGATTAAAAAAAATTGAACTTACCTCGTACAAAGTTCCAGTACGTCAAAATGAGTTGAAAGTTAGCACAGCACACCCTAAGAGCGTGTTCCTACGGGCCCCTATCAGGCCAACCTAGTATCAGGCTTGCACGAATCACTGACATTTCGGCTTAAGCTGACTGCTTAAAACCAGGGTGCACATTCAACGCGGTTCGGCTTGAGATGTTGGGAAGGGGGTTTGGAGAAAAACAGTGATTGGCTCACGAGGGGCGACAAAAAAATGATTCCGCTAGAGCTTCGGGCATTTCGTAGGTGGCGGGAGGGGGTGAAATGGCGGGAGTGGGTGAAACCGAATGGCGGGAGGGATGAAACAGATTGGCGGGAGGGGGGGGAAACGAAATTGCGGGGGAGGGGGGAAACAAAATTGCGGGGGAGGGGGGAAACGAATTTCGACGGGGAGGGGGAAATGAAATTGCGGGGGCGTGGGGAAACGAAATTGCGGGGGAGGGGGGAAACGAATGATGCACATTCAGCTGAATGTGCACCCCGGTTGAGTTTTTTGGTGGCTTTGCAGAGTGCGAGCGAAAATGCTGATGTGGCATGAAACAATGGGGTACGGAACTGTAGTTCTTCTGTCTCGGTTTGAAACAAAATCAGGGAACCAGTCAACTGAATCAATCCGCACGAATTTGGTGCAGCAGCCCCATACTCGACAATACACAGCTGCATTCTCGCATTTTCAGGGTGTTGGATTGACGTGGAATTCTGTTGTGCCACGTCTGAAACTTCACGCGCGGGAACTCAAGTCGCACAATATTAGATTCTTTGTTCATGAAATCAGTGAGTTATAACGAAAATCTCGAGTCTTGCTGAAGCTGATATCAGGTTGGCCTGACTAGAGGCCGTAGGAACACGCTCTAAGAAGAGAGGTGCAATAGGTTGCGGAGAACATTGTACCCGCGAAAATTACACTATCCTTACATCTAATATACCTGTAGGTCCCCAATCCTTCCTGATTTAGAGAGAATCAACTTGACAAACATAACCGATGCTTGTTACAGAGAATCAAACTGGTCCTGAAAGAATAGTACTCTAAACTGAACCTATCAGCTCTATAACCCCATGAGTCTCTCTACCTTCCCCTTCTCTGCATCCCTCCTTGACCTTGCCTGCCTCCCCCCCGTCCCGCTCCACCACTTCTCCCCCAACCAGCATTTCTAGACTCCTCTTCCCCAATTCCTCTCCTCCCTCTCCCAGAGTCCTGCCGCCTTCCACCCCGTGCTGGCCCTCCACCCATTGCTCTTCTCCTCCTCCTCGCAAATTTCTCCAAGTTCCCGCAACACAGCAGTCAGAGCGTCACATACAGAGAGTGAGATTAGTCTCAGGGTCAGAGACTCAGAGGGCACGGTGGATGGTTTGGCGGCGGCACACCTCGCACAGGCAGTGAGAGACTCTTGTTGCAACAGAACAGTGTGAGAGAGTGAGAGGGCACGAGGGTGGGAGATCCAGAGGGTCAGAGGGCACGATGAATGGTTTGGCGGCGCCACACCTCGCGCAGGCAGTGAGAGGCGCTTGTCGCGACACAGCAGAGTGGGAGAGGATGCGAGGGTGCGAGGGGTGCGATGCGAGACTCAGTCTCTGAGATCAGAGGGCGCGGTGGATGGTTTGGCGGCGCCACACCTCGCGCAGGCAGTGAGCGAAGTGAGAGATTCTTGTCGCGGCACAGCAGTCAGACTGTGAGGGGGTGCGAGTCTCGGGTCACACGGCACGATGGATGGTTTGTGGTGTCTCACTTTTCACAGACGGTCAACCCTCATACTTCCCGACTACTTGATCTCAGGGGTGGCAGACTGTGAGAGGGTGTGAGTCTCGGATCAGAGAGCACGGTGGATGGTTTGCCGCCGGCACACCTCGCGCAGGCGGTTCAGCAGCTTCTCAGGCGTCAGCGGCTTGCTCAGGAACTCGTCAAAGCCCTTCTGCGCGCATTTCACCATGTTGCCATCTGGGGAAGAGAGAGGAGAGGGCAGGAAAAGGTTGGGAAGCGAGGGCGAAGTGTCTTAAGCAGCCTGCTCAGGAACTCGTCACAGCCCTTCTGAGCGCATTTCACCATGTTGCCATCTGCGGGGGAGAGGGGAAAAGAGGGGGGCGGAAGGTGAGGACGCCAGGGGTGGGTGCGCCGGGCCGGTGGGACAGAGAAGAATGGACAGAGATGTGTGTGGCGGGGTGCCACCAACACTCAATTCACCTCACACACCCCCGCGTTAAGACCCCAAAAAAGCGCTCTCACCTGAGACATGAGCTGTCACAGCAAAGATGAGAGTGGCCTGCCGTCGCGGCTCTGCCAGCTCCTCCCACTCTCTGAACTGCTCCACCGCCTTGATCCCATCCATGACAGGCATGTTCAGGTCCATCAGCACCAGGTCAAACTGCGGCGCCACCTCTCACTCTCTCCACACACAACCCAACCACGCATTAAGCCCCCGGAAAGCCACTCTCTCACCTAAAACGTTGGCAGTGACAGCAAAGATGAGAGTGGCCTGCCGCCGTGGTTCCGCTAAATCCTCCCACTCTCTGAACTGCTCCACCGCCTTGATCCCATCCATGACAGGCATGTTCAGGTCCATCAGCACCAGGTCAAACTGCGGTGTTTGTGTGTGCCTCTGTGTCTCTTTTTTTCCCCACACACAACCCACTGTCTCTCACCTGAGACATTGGCAGTGACGGCGAATATGAGCGTGGCCTGCCGTCGCGGCTCTGCCAGCTCCTCCCACTCTCGGAACTGCTCGACTGCCTTGATCCCATCCATGACAGGCATGTTCAGGTCCATCAGCACCAGGTCAAACTGCGGGGCCACCTCTGCGCCCTCCTCTGCGCCCCCTGCGGCCGCCACTGCTGCCTCCTGCGCCTGCAGCTCCAGGTCGGTGCCGCCCCGCATGAGGTCAAGAGCGTCACGGCCGTTGCGTGTGAGCGTGACGCGACAAGAGAGGAGTTCGAGAAGTTGGCGGCTGATGGTGCAGTTGACTATGTCGTCTTCAACTACCAGCACCTGGGGGGGGGAGGGTTTGAAGGGGGGGCCAGGGGAGGGAAGGAAGCAGTGGGGAGAACGGGATGACCTGGCAGCTTGAGGAGCTGGCGGCTGATGGTGCAGTTGACTATGTCGTCTTCAACTACCAGGACCTGGGGGGAAGGTGAAGGGGAGAGCAGGGGAAGAGGGAGTCGGGAGCGCAAGAAGGAAATTGGAGAGGGGTGGAGAGAGGTGGAGAGGGGGTGTGGTGCCTCCTGTCCCCCTGCAGCCTCCTGCGCCTGCAGCTCCAGGTCTGTGCCGCCCCGCATGAGGTCGAGGGCATCGCGGCCGTTGTGTGTGAGTGTGACACGGCAGGATAGAAGTTCCAGGAGCTGGCGGCTGATGGTGCAGTTGACCATGTCGTCCTCTACCACTAGGATCTGGGGGGGGAAGGGGAAGGGGAGAGCAGCGTAGAAGAGGGTAAACGAGAGAGGCGAGAAGAGCGGTGGAGAGGGGTGGAGAGGGGTGGAGAGGGGTGGAGAGGGGTGGAGAGGGGTGGAGAGGGAGTGTGGAGCCGTGTGCACTGTGGACTCAACACTCAACCATAAAGATTTGTGCCACTCGACATTGAACCCTGCACGCACCTTGAAGCCGCGAATAAGCTTCTTGTCCTCCTCAGGAAGCGACTCCAGGAACGCCGACCCCCCCGTGAACGACTTGGCTCCCCGCGCTCCCCCCAGCTGGGTGGACGCCGTCAGAGGCAGCGGGCTCCATGGCTTGGACACCGTCAGCACTCCGCCGCCCACTCCGCCGCCCGCTGCTGCCCCTCCTCCTCTATCCCCCCCTCTCTCTCCTCCTCGTGCTGCTCGGTCGCCGCCTCGAGGGGAGAGGGAGAGGCCAAAACCGGCAGAGGAAGCGCCATTGGCTTCAAGAAAGAGGGTCTTGGTGGGCCCGCCTGCGCTCCCCCCTCGGCTCAACCCCACCCGTTCTCTCCTCTCACCCTTCTCTCCCCTCTCCCCCCTCTCTCCTCTCTCGCCTCTCTCGCCCCTCTCTCCCCTTTCTCCTTTCTCCCCCCGCTCGCCTTTTTCTGCCGAGGTTCCTCCGCCACCCCCCCCGCCTCTGCCCCCTTTAAGGCGCTCGTGGGATTTCGGCACGCTTCTCGAGCGATTGTATTGGCTGGGATCGGGCACGGGCAGGTGGAAAAGTTTCTCCCGAGAAATTTTCGAAGCGGTTGCTGACCGTTTGTAAGGAGGGGCGTTTATGCTCCGATCCACCACACTCCCACTATCGTCCTCATCCTCGTCCCCTTCTTCCTCCTCATCCTCCCCCTCCTCTTCCTCCTCTTCCTCTTCCTCTTCCTCATCCTCCTCCTCCTCATCATCGTCATCATCTAACACTTTCCGAAGCGTTTCTGCTGTAGGTCCGTCCAGCACCGAACCAACGCCCGAACCTGCACCCGATCCTGCTTTCTTCTTCACCTTCTGCCCCGTGTCAAAAAACGACCCCGACCCTCCTCCCGCACCGCCCCTCCCGTCCCGTAAATCCACCCCTCGCCCCTCCATCCCCCTCCCATCCAGCCCTCCACTTCCCCCCATAGCCCGATCCAAAACAGCAGCGCGACGTGCAGCAGCAGAGGCAGAGGAGGAGGAGGAAGCAGTGGCACCTACACCAGATAACCCCTTCCCCATGCCCATTCCGCCCATCCCCATGCCCATCCCGCCCATGCCCATCCCCACGCCCATGCCCATGCCCATGCCCATGCCAAGGCGGGTGGAGGAGCCGTGGGAGGCTGATGCTGCTGCTGCTGATGCCTGTCGCTCCATCTCAACTCGCATCTTCACAATCTGCTGCACCTCCTCGTTGGAGTCCAGACTGCTGTTGTGGGGGAGGCGCGTGAGGGAGGGTGGGGGAGGGGAATGGGGCAAATCAGGTGAAGGGACGTTAAGTTTGGAGACGTCTCAAAGCACCATGATAACTGCAAACAACACCGCACAGCACTGCACCACGACACACAGCACCGTACCTGTTCTGCTGGCTGGACTCCTTGGAAAGCCCGTCCATCTCACTATTGTATTCCCACAGGTTGTTCAACAGCCGCCGAGCATACGCCCCCTTCTCCTCATTCCCCTCCTTCACCGTCCCCAGGTGCTGCCCCCACGCCTTCTCCCCCTTCCGCCCCCCCACGCCCTCCCCTCCGCTCCCCCCTCCCCCTGCGCCTCCCCCCGCCCCTCCCCCTCCTCCGCCCCCTCCCCCGCCCCCTCCTCCCCCCCCACCCCAGTTCTTCCCAGCGCCTCCTCCAGCTAGGTCCAGGCGCATGGTCTCAAGCTTCCTTCTGAATTCTTCCATTTCCGAAGGGGTGCGGAACGGTAGAGAGGAGAACGCAGAGAGTAGTTCCGCCCCTTCCCCTCCCCCACCTGCCCCTAGCACCCCGCCGCCTCCCCCTCCTCCGCCTCCCCCCAACCCCTTCCCGCTGCTGCCCAATCCGCCCCCGCTGCCGCTGCTGCCTCCGCCACCTCCCCCTCCTCCACTCCCACCCAGCACTCCTGCTGCTCCCCCTCCACTGGTGTTGGGGCGGCGGCGTAATGACGACTCCAGGTCTTTAATCTCTAGTCCTAAACCCAGGCCCATACCTACTCTGTGTAAACTATCCTTTGAAGTCTCTAGTCCTAGTCCCATGTGCAAACGCGTGAGAGGGGAAATATCCCTATCCCTGTCCCTATCTCTATCTCTATCCCTGTCTCTCTCCCTCTCTCTATCTCTATTCCGTGGTAAAGACAAGCTACTGATTACACTACCGCCACCACCCCCACCACCCACACCCACTCCCCCAGGACCCCCTAAATCATCGGAAATCAGCCCGCCCCCACCCAAACCACCAGTACTTAAAGTCCCACCGCCCAACCCTCCGCCACTTAAACCACCGCCACTCAAACCACCCACACTTAGACTTCCCCCGCTCAAACCTCCCCCGCCTAAACCTCCCCCGCTTAAACCTCCCCCACTCAAGCCGCCGGCACTTAAGCCGCCCGCGCTTAGGCTGCTGCCGCCCATGCCGCCCGGGCGGCGCTTGAGGGCGGCGGCGATGGTGTGGGGGCTGGAGGGGGACTCCATGGGGGAGAGCAGCGTGGACGGGGACATGGTGAGATCGGATGACCAGTTGTCCAACGACTGGGGGGGGAAGGAGGGGGTTGGAGGGGGTGAAGAGAGACAAGAGGAGGGGGTGAAGAGAGACAAGAGGAGGGGGTGAAGAGAGACAAGAGGAGGGGGTGAAGAGAGACAAGAGGAGGGGGTGAAGAGAGACAAGAGGAGGGGGTGAAGAGAGACAAGAGGAGGGGGTGAAGAGAGACAAGAGGAGGGGGTGAAGAGAGACAAGAGGAGGGGGTGAAGAGAGACAAGAGGAGGGGGGGATGGACGGATCCATATAATGATGATCGAGTGGGGGCTGGAGGCTGATGCGAATGGGTTGACGGTAAAGGGACGATGAAAGAAGATAAGAGGAGAGGAGCGGTAGGTAAGGAGAGTGGTCGAGGGGAAAGGAAGCGAGAAGAGGGGAGAGGGAAGGAGCACTCACCAGAGGGGCTGAGGAGTCGTCAGTGACAAACTCGATCCATGCAAACCACCTGATGGCATGGGGGGCATGGGGTCATGATACGAGGCATGGGGGGCAGAGGGTCATGATACGAGGCATGGGGGGCAGAGGGTCATGATACGAGGCATGGGGGGCAGAGGGTCATGATACGAGGCATGGGGGGCAGAGGGTCATGATACGAGGCATGGGGGGCAGAGGGTCATGATACGAGGCATGGGGGGCAGAGGGTCATGATACGAGGCATGGGGTCATGATACGAGGCATGGGGTCATGATACGAGGCATGGGGGGCAGAGGGTCATGGTATGAGGCATAGGGTATGGAGCATAAGGGAAGCGTGCATGGGTACATAATCGAAGGAGCATGGGTGCATGGGTAGTCAGACAGACATCGGGGAAACCCCCATGACAGCAAGCATACATTCACGACTCACCTTGCCCCCACTCACACCACACCACACCACACCACACCACACCACACCACACCACACCACACCACACCACACCGCACCACACCACACCGCAAGGCACCACACCACACCACACATCACACACAATCACCTCGCGCCCAGAGCCCTCCCAGTGGCCTGCACCGTCGCGTAGCTCCTGTTCCGCCGCAACCGCCGATAAAAGACGCACTGGCCGCCCGCACTGCCGCCCGGGCTGCTACCCAGCGAATCCCCAACGCCCACCCCTCTGGAACTCCCAGCCGACCCGGATCGGAACAGACGTGAAGCAGCAGAGGCGGTGGGCGGCGTGAGGGAGAGGGGCGGCGACCGGCGGTCGTCTAGCAAGCGGCGGTCTTCTGTCAAGCGGCGGTCGTCTATCATGCGCTGGATGCGTGGCAGGTCGTCTGCATGGCACGCTGCAAAGGCATGCTCTCCCACCAGCTCTGCCTGGCGCCACCCTAGCGTGGCGCGCACACTGGGAGACACGTAGCACAGCCGCCACTGAGAGGGGGGCAGAAGAAGAAGATAGAGGTGGGGAAAGGGGAAGGGGTTTATGCAAGTGGATGCGGGGGTTGGGTGAGAAGAGAGGAAGGGGAAGAAACTGGAAGAATGGTTGGAAACAGGCCTGCAACCATCCCAAAATACCATGCAAAGCACCGCATGGCACCACCTTGCACCGCACCACACCGCACAGCACAGCACGAGCGTCGAACCCCATTCTGACTCACTTGCCACATTAGCATCGTCCTATATGCCAACCACTGCTTACATTTGTCCTATCTGCCACGTAGACAGTCCATGGTGACGTGGCAGAGAGGAGCAGCATGTCCGTGACCAGCGAGAGATCTAGGCCGTCCACTGGAGATAGGGGATCATCTGATGGCCAGGAGTCCACCCCACCACCTCTGGAAAGCAGGTACGCACGGGGAAAAGTGAGGAAGGAACAAAGCAATTTCTGAATTGTGCCTCATGCAGCATTCCCTGCGACTAACGTGTGTAGCTGCTTTACAAAAACAGCTATATTACCTACGTAAGTCTTACTCGCTATAAGTTCATACTCGCTACAGCAACACTCACAGGCGGGGCTTGCCAGGGATGGCAGTGGCAGCCGGGGCAGAGAGCCTGGTGGCGTCCGCGCCTATGGGCGAGCAGCACAGCGCGCCGAGCTCGCTACTCTAGAGGCCCCTCAAAAGACACTCACAGGCGGGGCTTGCCGGGGATGGCAGTGGCAGCCGGGGCAGAGAGCCTGGTGGCGTCCGCGCCTATGGGCGAGCAGCACAGCGCGCCGAGCTTGGTGCCCAGCATCACCAGCTCCTCCAGACAGCGGATCTCGCACTCCAATAGCCTGGGGGGAGGAGGACAGAGAGATTGAGAACGGTTGGAGTGGACTAAGAAGGGGTGAGATCGCACAGCGCGCCGAGCTTGGTGCCCAGCATCACCATCTCCTGCAGACACCTGATTTCGCAAGACACCAAAGGAGCAGTTTTATCTAAGAACCGAGTGAACATAAACACCTGGCTTACTTAAGAGCCGTGCTTACTTAAGAACCGGGCCTTTGGTGCCGGAGGAGATTAACTCGCTGCGCTGCGCGTCCAGCTCGTGGAACCACTGGCGGTACGTCCTTAATCTCTCCGCCTCGAAGCTCCCCCCCGGCGCCGCGCCATTGCTTAGCAACGACGGCTGCGCGCCAAGCGATTGTGAGCTACTTCCGCCACCCCCGCCAGACCCCGCACCTGCGCCACTTGCGCCACTCCCCCCACCACCGCCACTCCCCCCACCTGCGCCACCTAAGCCATTCGCCATCTTACCGCCACCACTCATACTGCTATTGCTAATGCTATTGATATTCCCGCCACCAGGCATGGGACTTATGCTGCCTATGCTGCCACCGCCCATGCCACCACCAGTGTTGCTGCTGCTTCCGCCGATGCCCCCCCCCATACCAGCGCCTCCGCTGGAAAACCCGCCGGTTCCTGTTCCGCTTCCCCCCAGCCCTCCTCCGCCTCCCCCTGCCCCTGTCCCTCCCACTCCCCCTCCCCCATGAGCTCCGCCCGTTCCCCCAGTGCCGCTTCCGCTCTGCGATCCCCCTCCCCCCGCGCCTTTGCCAGCCTTGAGTCCTGGAAGGTTCTCCGAAGCTGCTCCCCCGGCGTTCTCCCCTCCTGCCGACTTCGCAGAGGCCATTGCGGAGGGCTTCCCGCCGGGAGTTGCGCCGGAATTCCCGCCGCGATGAGCGGAAGAAGTGAAGTGAGGCGCAGCCGGGGTGCTGGAAATTCTCTCAGAAGCTTCCACCGACATGACTGCCGTAGGGTAACCCGGTTACGACATGGGAGCCCGTTTATGGTAGCCGCGAGTGCTGATTGGCGAGCAACGGTAAAGCCTCACGGTAACGAAATTAAAGCGCCAATTATTAATCCCTGGTTGCGAATTTGAGAAGAAAAATGCGGTCGTGTGCTGGAAGCATGTCAGCTAAGCATTGTCGCGTGCTGGAAGCTTAGTCATCGAAACATTGTCTGGAAGCATTGTCAGGTAAGCATCTGTGCGGCGTATCAAGAAGCTGCGCATCTCGCGGTGAGCATCGCACGGTGGAGAATCTCCGCGTGCGCATCTAACGGCGAGCCGACAGTACATGGCAGTAGTGTCGGCCGTCAATGCGTCCACTCCCGTTGAGTATTGCCTGTGTGAGGCTGTTTGCAGGAGGGAAGCAGTACGGCAAAAACAGTCCGGTGAAAGCAGTAACCAGCTGCGGAGACCTAAAAGGAGCTTCTGCGGCAGTCGTGTCGGCCGTCAATGCGTCCACTTCCGTTGAGCACTGTTGATGTGAGGTTGTTTGCAGTGGCAGGCGAGAAGCAGTACGGCGAAAAGCAGTCTAGCGAAAGCAGTAACCAGCTGGGAGGAACCAAAACAGCTTCTGTCGTTTGACATTTATTCCGTGAGCAGAACGCGAAAAGAGGCCATTTCTCTGCTTCCATGCCAAACAACCATGCGTCAACGAAACATTAGTCGTATACTCTAATCCCGCTCAGTGCATAGCTGCGATATTACGAAAATAAAAGTTGATTAGAGCCTCATTAAATATCTCGAGCCGCTGACTACGAGCTCGGGACAACCTAACAGCACCAACTCGGAGTCATCAGTTGGATGGAAAACCTAAAAACTGAAATGCTGACGGAAATTGAGGTGGATAGGTGAGTGCGTTAGGCGGCTAGGGTGAGTTGGGCAGTTTGCCGTAACCCTAACGGACGGCAGGTGAAGCTGAGTCCATAGAAAATCTTTGCGGGGAAGATACGTTTGGGTTTTTTTGTTCGCTGCGCTGATTTCGAATATTTCAAGTTGTCGGTGGCGTGGCGAATGAATTTCTGTATCGAGTACAGAAAGTGTGGTGAGGGAAAACCCGTAGAAGCATTCGAAGTACCTCATTACACAGCAGAAACACAGTGCTACTACAGTGCACATGTCTAGAAAATCGTTTGGTGGTGTGGCATTCCTTTCCTACACATCCTTCACTCCCCAAACCATGTGCCACTTTTGACATGTCTAGAAAATCGTTTCCTGCACACCCCTCGCTTCCCAAACGATGTGAGCTGGGTCCACTTGAGCCCAGACACCCCCTCCCTCAGCGCAGCCCAGACACCCCCTCCCCCAGCGCAGCCCAGACACCCCCTCCCCCAGCGCAGCCCAGACACCCCCTCCCCCAGCGCAGCCCAGACACCCCCTCCCCCAGCGCAGCACACACCCTCAGCAGTACTGGAAGCACTTGGAGGGAAGCTGCAGAGGGGTGCGAGGCACATGTGGCGCAGCAGTGTAGCATTCCTTCCCTACCCGCCCCTGCCTCCCCTCCCCACACCATGTGCCTTAAAGCCCTCTTGAGGTAAGGCACTCCCTCGCCCAGCACAGCACACAGCGGCACCACTGGCACTGGCAGACCCAACTCCCTTACTCCCACACACACCTTCCTTCCCACACCATGTGGCTTAACGCCCTCTTAAACTTCGGCACCCCCTCCCCCAGCACAGCACACAGCGGCACCACTGGCACTGGCAGATCCAATCCCTTCATTTCCTCCCTCACCTCTCACCCCCATACCAAGCGCCTTAGAACCCCCTTGATCTCAGGCACCCCCTCCACCAGAATTGCACACAGCGGCACCACCGGCACTGGCAACAACACATCCACCCCTTCACCTCCGCCTCTCAGCCGCCTTCTCAGCTCAGTCAAATTGCCCTCTGCAGCATCCTCGTCCATCTTATTGGCGGCAATGAGAGCAGGGCGCAGGGACAACCCTGGCTGATACCGCTCCAGCTCACTCACCAGCACCTGCAGCTGCTGCCAGGGAGGGAGGGCCCCTGCCGACACTGAACTACGTTCGGTAGCACTAGGTTCGGTAGTGGTAGGTTCGGTTGCGCTAGCTTCACATGCGCCAGGCTCGCTCGCATGAGGTTCACTTGAAACAGTACTGGTATTGGAGCCGCTCATATCGAGGACGTAGACAATCACTTTAGTGCGCTCCACATGCCTTAGAAAGGACAGCCCCAGCCCCCTGTCCCTGTGTGCGCCGCCTATCAGGCCCGGGATATCTGCCACTGTGAATCCCATCTCTCCTTCCAAATCCCACTTCGACCCCCTCTCTCCACTCCCTCCTGCAAATCCCCTATCTTCTCCCCACACAATCTCATCCCCCTCCTCTTCCTCCCCCCTCTCTCCGTTCCACGCGTCGTCACCCCTCGCCTCTCCCTCCCCCATTGCTTTCCCTCCCCCACCCCCGTCCTCTCCCTCCCACGCACTCTCTCCCCCGCCCATCACAGAACCCAGCTGCGGGTGCAGAGTGGTGAAGGGATGCCAGCCCACTCTAGGCTTGGCGCGGGACAGGGCGCGCAGGAGGGAGCTCTTACCCGCATTCGGCAGCCCCACCAACCCCACATCCGCCACTGTTTTGAGCTCTAATGCCACCACCGCCCTGCTCCCTGGGCTACCCTTCTCATGCCCTAAGCCAGACTCTGCCACTGCCGCTGCTGCTGCCCCTGCACCGCCCTGCACCGCCCTGCTCCTTGCATTGCCCTTCCCGTGCGACGAATCCAATTCTTCTTCCGTCTCCATCTCCCACGGTTTCACTCGTCCCATGGAGGCATTCCCCCTACCGCCCGGCCCTCCAACCGCCACTGTCACGCTCTGCCCTTCCTCCACCAGATCGGCCACCAACACACCTCGCTCCTGCGCCCTCTTATGTGCCATCCCATGGGATTGTAACCCACTGTCATTCTCACTCCCCTCATCCCAATCGCTCCCATTGCCCCCTTCATCGGCCCGAGCTCGCCTCTGCCCGTACCTCTCCTCACCCCACTGCTGCAGCAGCTGCTGCCAGTACGAGTCTCTGTTCACTCTTCTGCTCACCTTCCTCTCCTCCCCCTCCCCTTCTCCCTCTCCATCCCCCTCTCCCTCCACTTCCTTCCCCTCCATTCGCTCCCCCATCCGTTCCTCCTCCTGATCCGCCTTGGAGGACTCAAACAGAGCCGCCCACCAGGGGGGAGAGGCAGGCATGCTGCTGCTACCAGCAGCAGCTGTTAGTGCAGAAACAGCAGCAGCAACGGGAGCACTGGCAGCACTGGCATCACCAGCATCACCAGCAGCGCCACCACCACCAGATTCATCCCCAATACCCCCCAGGACAACTTCCCCTTCCAGCAAATACACCGCAGTCCCCACAGGCACCCTCACCTCCCTTTCCACCCCTTTCGCCCCCACCCGCTTCTTACTCGATCCATGCCCGCCCGCGCCCCCCTTCACTGTCCTATCAACATTCCCCAGATGCCTCACAGCCGCCGAGGCAGTGAAAGTGACCCCCCCACCCTCGCCCCCGTTGCCCCCGTCGCGGTCCCCGTGCCGCGCGTGCCGCGACTTGCGGAAGGAGGAGCACCCGCTGCCCCCGCGCCCGCCTTCCACGCGCACGCGCAGGCGATCGATGAAGGGGCGGTCGCGGGGAGGGTCGGGCTTTGATGATTTCCTCTTGCTGCTGCTGCTGTTGGTGGTGCTGGTGGCGGTGGGGGTGGAGCTGAAGCTTCGGCTGCCCCCGCGCCCGCCCTCCACGCGCACGCGCAGGCGATCGATGAAGGGGCGGTCGCGGGGTGGATCGGGATTCGATTTCTTTGACTTGCCACTGCTCGTGGTGGTGGTGGTGGTGGTGGTGGTGGTGGTGGTGGTGGTGGTGGTGGTGGTGGTGGTGGTGGTGGTGGTGGTGGTGGTGGTGGTGGTGGTGGTGGTGGTGGTGGTGGTGGTGTTAGGGCTAGTGTTGCTGCTGGCGGTGCTGCTGATGCTTCTGCTACAGCTGGCGCTGCTGCCACTCCAAGCAGCCGACCTGAAACTATGCCCATGGCAGATACCCTGACTGGTGTTGCTGCCGGTGGCGCTGCTGCTGCTTCTGCTGCTGCTGGTGCTGCTGCTGATGCTTCTTCTGCAGCTGAGGCTGCTGCCACTACTGGCAGCGGAGCTGACACTATGCCCATGGAAAAGGCCTGGACTGTTCATCAGGTGTGGTGCAAGTGCGGGAAAACCGCTGTGGCTAGGTGCATGTGCGGGAAAAAGGGCGGAGAGGGAGTGGGTGGGGGTGTGCGTGTGGCTGAAAACGGGGCTGCTGGTAGGGAGGTAGGCAATATGGGGGGGGAAGAAGAAGAGAAAGGAGATGGAGGAGGAACTAGAAGGTTGGGGTGGAGTGGGGAGAACGGGAGGGTAGACTAGAGGACAGACGAGGGGAGGGGGGAGGAAATGGTGGGATATGGATAGGTAAGAGAGACAGAGGAGACGGAAAGAGCAGGAGAGTAGACTAAAACGAGGAGAGAACAACAGAAAGTTTGAAGCAACGAGCACTCTCCTGGCTGCAAAAGTGGCAAGTATGAAACAAAGAACCGGATTGTGATTCAGCTTTAACTGTGATTGTCATTGATACAGCAAAGTCCCCCCAAACAAGGAAGTGCAAGCAAGCACAGCTAGAGATGAATCGGACAAGCAACAATCTGTGTCAGAATCTTCAGAATCTACGGTGCTGAAAACACAACGGTGCTAATGCTCCTCCTTTCCGAATCCATGAACAATGCTAATCTGCATCAGAAAGAGAGAGACCCACACAGGAGGATATATGCAGAGCGCACACAAAGTCACATACAAACCATGCATGCACGTACGCACAGATCCACACATACAGTCACGTACGTACACACGCACACACAGAGGCATACACAGGGGCACACACAGTCACACCAAGACGGTTGATCAGATGCAGATAGAGAGAGCCAGTGCATGCGGGAGCAACAGGCAACAAGCTGCTGGAAAGATGGCTTACGGTAACAAGGGGTGCTGTAAAGTGGACGCTGCTTAACAAGGAGTGTTGTAGGGTGGACGCTGCTCAACAAGGAGTGCTGTAGGGTGGACGCTGCTCAACAAGGAGTGCTGTAGGGTGAACGCTGCTCAACAAGGAGTGCTGTAGGGTGGACGCTGCTCAACAAGGAGTGCTGTAGGGTGGACGCTGCTCAACAAGGAGTGCTGTAGGGTGGACGCTGCTCAACAAGGAGTGCTGTAGGGTGGACGCTGCTCAACAAGGAGTGCTGTAGGGTGGACGCTGCTCAACAAGGAGTGCTGTAGGGTGGACGCTGCTCAACAAGGAGTGCTGTAGGGTAAACGCTGCTTACCTCTTGGGGGAAGGGAGGGTTGCGAGCGTACTTGGATCCGCCGTACACCCATGGCACTGCGGTGGGGAGGGGGCGGGGGGGCAGAGACGAGGGCGGATTGGGGGGACGGCGGAGGGGGAAGGGAGGAGGGCGTGGGGCGAAGGGAGGGTTGCGAGCATACTTGGATCCGCCATACACCCATGGCACTGCGGTGGGGAGGAGGGAAGGGAGGGAGCAGGAGGGACGGGGGGAGGGGGGGAGGAAGGAGAGGGCGTGACGTGGGGAGAAGAGAGGGTTGCGTTGCGAGCGTACTTGGATCCGCCATACACCCACACCCATGGCACTGCGGTGGGGAGAGGGAGGTTCATAGGGGATGGAGAACGGGGTGAGGGGGGAGTAGAAGCGGAGAGAATGGGAGGAGAGCCCATGGGGAGAAGAGAGGGTTGCGTTGCGAGCGTACTTGAATCCGCCATACACCCACACCCATGGCACTGCGGTGGGGAGGGGACAAGGAATGGGGGCACGGGGAACGGGCGGGCGGGAACGGGGAGGGGGAAATGGGGGGACGGGATGCAGGTTGGCCTTGAGCTTGCGATTTGTGATGAGCGATTCTTGAACGCCTTAAACGCCATATGCCGCTGAACCATGGCTAACTCACTCACCGAGGTACGGGTCAGGATGTAGGTTCCCCTTGAGCTTGTGACCTGTGATGAGCGATCCTTGAGCTTACTTCGGGTTCAGGCACATCAAGGCTGCCCTCGTGCCATGGCTCACTCACCGAGGTACGGGTCGGGGTGCTGGTTCTCCTTGAGCTTCGCCTCTCCCGCTGCCAGCAAACGGTCAATCCGATCCGGATCGCTCTGGCCGGGGGGAGTGGCGGAGAGGGGAAGGCGGAAATGGGGGAGGGAGGGAACGATAAGGAGGAGAAGGCGGAAAAAAGGGAAGGTGGCCTTCTTAGAAAGAGGTATAGAATGCACGGAGAGAGGAATGAGATGGAAACAAGGGATTCGGCATGAGCCGCGACCCTCAACTTCAGAGACCTCTCAATCGCACTGCATGCGTGCGAGCGTGCGTGCATGCGTGCGTGCGTGCGTGCGTGCGTGCGTGCGTGCGTGCGTGCGTGCGTGCGTGCGTGCGTGCGTGCGTGCGTGCGTGCTTGCGTGCTTGCGTGCGTGCGAGCGTGCGGAACATGCGTCGCCATGGACAAATGCACCAATCTGTCCGGCCGCCTCACCTCATGTCGATTCGCCTCGAACAGCGCGCGGAGCTTGTCGGCCTGCCACGCGACATCAGCGCGAAAGCAATAGCAACGCGCAATGGCGCGCATGCAATAGCGCGTACGCAATATCACGCGCGAGCACAGTGCGATCGTCGCGGAAAAACATTCGCACGCAAATACGGAAAGATCGTTAGTTGAAGGTAGTTTAGAAGCAGATCCTTGACGAGCTTAGTAACGAAACGACGTCTGAGCACTCGCCTCGTCGTAGTAGATGTCGCGAAAAATCGCCCAGCTGAGCGTGTTCTTGAGCGATCGGCGGTACAGCTGCCTCGCGCGCTGCTGCTGCAGCTCCCGTCGCAGGGTCGCGGCCGTGGCGGCGAAGCTCATGGCGGAATGTGGAGGCGGAACGGGGGTGCGGAGGGAGCGGAGAGTGGGGAGCGGAGACGGAGGGCGGCGGCGGAGGGAGGAAGCGGAAGGAACCTAATACCGACACGGAGTTGAGACATTGCTAGAATGTTGCCTAGAGCTTGGAAGGGAAGAGAATCCTCGATATTCTCGTATTCGGTAGAACCAGCTTGAATAGAACCGCGAACATTTCCATTTACAAACTCTGCGGTGTACTTGCGCTAAGATACTTTCTAGCTTCGGTGACCTGCCTCCGCGCGAGCCAATCAGCGGTCACCTCCACCAATCTCCTCGCCGCCTCTCCCTAGGTTCACCAAGCCACAATAACCACAAGGCTTCTCCTCTCTTGCCTCCCTTCCCACAGAGGAGGCCGAACCTCCATTTCACTCCACCTATCCTCTCCTGTTTTCCATCCCAGACCAGACAGCAACACTCACCTCTCCAGTCGTCTTTCCTCTCCGTCCTACTGTTGCTTCTCACCGAAGGCTTGGTCCTGGTCGCCAGAATTCTTTCAACTCACTTGTTCCTCTCTTCTCTACGATATTTTATGGCTGCCAGAGCTCCAAGCGCAGCCATTGCCCTTCTCCGCTCATCAGCGATCCCGCATTTCCTCTCCCCACGGCCTTTGCTAGCTGCGGCTCATCTCTCTCATCCTCTCGGGGTGTTGAATCCCGTGCCTCGTCCCTTATCTTCTGCGTCTCCACTCCCATCACGCAACCTCTTTCGTTTGAGCACCAGTGCAACAACCTTCTCGTCGTTTCAACCCCGAGCTACACCCCAGAGTTCACGGCTATCCCTCGCTCGTTCCTCCCTAGCTTTCTCGTCTAGCCTCGCGCGGTTCGCGACTCTCAGAACTAGCAACGAGTCACATTCACCATCGTCTCTTTCGGTGCTCAGCCGTGAGAAGGCTGTTTTCCGCGCGATGGGGAGCATAGCGACGGAGAATGGAGCGGCGGGTGCGGCGGAGGAGCAGATGGATGCGGTGCAGCAGCGACTCATGTTCGACGACGAGTACGTCACAAACCACTGTAACGATGTGTCTTATGAGTCGACCCAAAAGGTGACTTGGACTCTACTCAACAGTAATAGCGTTTTTTAGTTGATTCAAAAGCAGATGGATGCGGTGCAGCAGCGACTCATGTTCGACGACGAGTACGTCACAAGCCACCGATGCTGATTATCCACGCCTTCCGACTTACGATGCTCCCAACCCTGCATGAAACGTTTGTTAGGTGATGACCACTAGGAGTTGATCATTAAGGTGTTGACTACTTAACGGGTCTCCTGCATTGACTATTCATAATATTTTTATCCTTCCGGTGCCTGCCGTCGCAGATGCATTCTCGTAGATGAAAACGACAAGGTGGTGGGTCACGCCAATAAGTACACCTGTAAGTAATGAGTAACCTTGGGATAAGTTCCAGCATTGGACGCAATTTCATCTTCAGCCAAACACGAACATGTCATTCGTTCTCTCGCCGGGCTATCACGGCCTATCGCGGAGAATGTTGGCGAACACGCATGGCTTCAGTGTTTTCTGAGATGACTTAAAAGCACCTCATTTCATAACTTTCCTTACAGGCCACATTATGGAGAACATCAATAAAGGGACCGCACGCCACCGTGCCTTCAGCGTCTTCCTTTTCGACTCCCAGCACCGCCTGCTGCTCCAGGTACTGAAAAAACGAAATTATGGAGTGCATTAGAAATACATTTTTTCAGCAGAACTGCAAATGTAGCCTAGCCTGTACAGGTGTAACGAAGTATTAGGTCTACAGAAGTTCAGTGGCTGTGTGCATATATGCTGCCTGTTCCGTCAGACACACATAACATTGAATGTGATCCTGCTACATGGTTGCAATGGAATCCCCCTCGTAACCCTATTCTATCCCTCCCCGCAGCAACGTGCAGCGTGCAAGGTGACGTTCCCCCTGGTGTGGACCAACACGTGCTGCAGCCACCCACTGTACCGCCCGGAGGAGATGGAGGAGGAAAACGCGCAGGGAGTGCGGGTGGCAGCGCGGCGCAAGCTGGAGGACGAGCTGGGGATCGACCCGGACACGGTGGATGTGTTAGCCTTCACGTGCCTGGGCCGCATGCACTATAAGGCCCCTTCTGACGGGAAATGGGGCGAGCATGAGAGTGAGTGCACTGGGCAATGTTTACATGTCAATCTGTATCATGTGTCGGTCTTCACGTGCCTTGGCCGCATGCGCTACAAGGCTCTTGTTGATGGGAAATGGGGCGAGCATGAGAGTGAGTGCATGCTTTGAGCGTTGGTTACAGGGCATTCCACATCATGCATTGGCCCTCCTCGTTAATGTGGTGGGATCTTTTCCTCTGTGGAGCCTGGATGTGATGCAAGTGACCTGTTGTTCTCCCATCTGTTGCCACATTCTCACATTTCCAGGACCTGGAATTCATCATTAGGTTGTACATTATGTCATGTGTCCTTCCTGCCCCCATCTTGTTCATGCAGTTGACTACCTCCTTGTACTCAAGGCTGACTTGAAGGCCACTCCTAACCCTAACGAGGTGGCTGCTGTAAGATTCGTGGATCGAGAGGAGTTGAAGGAGCTGGTGCGCAAGGCTGACAATAAGGAGGATGGAGTGGTGCTGTCGCCGTGGTTCCGTCTTGTGGTGGACCGGTTCCTGCCTGCCTGGTGGGACCATCTAGATGCAGGCACGCTTTCAGAGGTGGTTGATATGGAGAAGATCCATCACTTGTAATGACCGCAATGTAGTCGCTATAAGGAATCTCTTATTTAATATGCGGTAGGTGTATACCTATATTACAAGGCCTAGTACCAATACAGTTCACAATTTGTACATTTTCAAAAGTGTTACACTTTCTAAAATGGTATTTTTATGATGAACAATGGTTATTTGGTCCAAGAATTTGTCAGACAGGATCTCCCGCCTGAAGGCGTCAGCAACACGCGCCAAGCTAGTCCTGTGCTAGTGCGAAATCAGTTTCACCGCCACCGTCACTTCTGAAAAGAATTCGCGATTAGCTTGCTCGCTCTCTGGTTTAGTGGCTTCGAGGCAGTGCGGCGCATGCTGCGAGTGCCATGGCGGATTGGGATCTCGACCCTGCTGCGTTGTTCGGCGACAAAGACAACGACGATGACGAAATCCCTCAAGTACGCGAGTAGATGGTAACCGACTAGCGACGGCTTGCGGCTTGCGCGTTCAGTTAACGTGTCTAGTAGCGCGTTGAAGTCGACGATTCAGCAGGGTCCGAGCGATGCTGCATTCAGCCGCTCCTCTTAAGCTGAATGCCAAGATTAGCTCAGATTCGTCGCACTCTTCGTCGTTTTGCTGCAACATCATCCTAGCCTGACGCAACAGATGTTATATACTTCCAGGGGATGATCTTTACCCGTGACAATCTTCAAGCATGTTATTCGCTTAGAGTGTTCTTAACCACCTTACATATTTCTCACAGCCTCCCCCTACCCTGATTTCGTGCCTGTCAGGACTATTCCGACGGCAAGGAACTGGTAGTGTTCCTCATAGATGCAGGGCCGGATATGTTCCTGCCTTACCACAGCGATGAGGTGTGTCGATATGCTGACTACCTTTCAAATGTATCTCTGAGGCGCCTCAAAAGTGGTCTTTTTCATAGATGCAGGACCGAACATTTTCCCGACTTACCACGACGACCAGAGTGTGTGTATGTTCGTTGAATGTTTTTCACTTTTATGCTGATCAGCTGAATGAATGTTAAAATTCCAACTTCGTCCTGTTTCACTCGCATTGATGACATTTTTAGCCAACCAAATCTCCAGCCTTTCCCTGATCTTTTCGCATAACATCCATGGCATTGTATTTCATGCAGGAAGAGGTTAAGGCAGGAGCTAGCTTAGGTACTCAAACCAGTGCGGCCAGCTCAGAGAGGCAGAGAGGAGGGGAGGAGGGCACGGGAGGTGCCGGCGAGAGGACGTATTTCGAGGAGGTGGTGCGAGCGCTGGTGGGCGACCTGAAGACAAGAATCATTTCCCGGGAGAGCGACCTCGTCTCGATTGCTTTCTTCAACACGGTAGGTGGATCTTTACATTCGACTTAACATTCTCCCCGCTGTTGGGTGACCTGAAAACGAGGATCATCTCTCGGGAGAGCTACCTCGTCTCCATTGCTTTCTTCAACACGGTAGGTGGTTGAATTCTTTGAATCGACTCACATGTCAGCTCGCTGGTGGGTGTCCTGAATGCTTTCTTGGGAGAGCGACCTTCTATCCATAACTTTCTTCAAGACTGTTCACATCACATGCATCTAGTTGCTTGTTCATTCTCTCTTTTTCTTTCTTTCTTTCTTTTGTTGTTCCAGACATTATCTGTGTCCGACTCCGCTGTGTGATGCAAATTCTTTGACACAAAATTATCTCATTTTGCTGGTTCTGTTCTCAAATGGCAGCGCACGAAGCAAAATGTACAATCGGCAGAGGGCGTGTTTGTGTTTCAGGACAACCAGCAGACGTCAGCACAGCTCATCAGAGACTTTTCCAACCTTCCAGGTACCCTTCTGAACCGATCCAAACCCACTGAATACCTCACCGGTTTCTTCGATTGTAGCCCCATGCATTCGGCAAACAGGCTGTCCTTGCACTGCAGCCGGTTCCCTCCAGTGATCCGGCATTTCTTTGCAACAGGGGACCTGCCTCTGAAACTAGCTTTGTGCAAAAAAATTGGCCCCACTCCTTTGACTCTGTTCGCCTGTTAACGAAACGATTACGGTGCAACCCATGCCATCATTATTCAGTTCTCACCCACCAACATCTGCTTATCTTCTGATTTCCGCTTACCGCCCTGCCATTCTGCCGTGCTGCCAACTTCCAGAGACATTTGAGAAAGATATTGGGTCGGGAAACTGGTTGAGGGGGAAGGTGAAGCCCCACGACAACCCAATGTGCGTCTCCCATTAGGTTACTGGTTCTACCAATGTTCAGTGCAAATGGTATCGTGATGCTGTGCTTTTCTTTACTGTACTGCCTTTGGGTTGTCTTCTACCATCGGGTTGTCTTTGCCATCAGATTAACGCGGTTTGTTGTGCAGTTAGCTCGGCTTGAAGGCATTCAGTGCGTTTCTCGTTGCAACGCGCTCTTCCAACGTGTCTTGATTCGTGAGTTTCCATCTCTTTCTTCATTTGTTCTCCCTTGTGTGCGTGCATGCATGTGTGGGGGAGCATCTCTGACAACGTGTAGCTCAAATGCCCTGTAGGCCCTCTCAACTCTTAGCCACCGTCCTCTCAACTCTTAGCCACCGTCCTCTCAACTCTTAGCCACCGTCCTCTCAACTCTTAGCCACCGTCCTCTCAACTCTTAGCCACCGTCCTCTCAACTCTTGCACTCTGATCTTTTACTCTATGCATAACCAGGGGCTTTCTGGCCATCTGCATCTCATATGCCCTGAAGCCTTCTGTTGGACCACTTTATCCACTCTCACCTTCGTCCTCTACAACCTCTGCACACCCCGTGCACTGAAGTGACCTTTTTTTTTTCGGCCATATTTCCTCTTTGCTCTCCTGAATTTTTTCTTTCCTTCCGTCAGGTGGGTCGTGCAAGGGCTTCTGCGCACTGGGTACGTCCCATCCGTTTCCCCCTCCCCTGGTATCTATCATTGTACAGATTATTCTCGAGTTGCTGTAGTTTCAATCAACCCTCAAGAAAACATTCCTGTCCATTTCCTTCTGTCCCGTATCCCTCCTCCTGTCCCGTATCCCTGCCTCTCGTCTTTTCTGTCACTGTTACTGCTCCTTTTAGCCCGTGAGCCTGTGTATTCTGTGTACACCTTACCCTCTGTCATTCTCGTTTTGCAGCACTTGCATTATCTCACGGAAAATAGGAGTGTTGCGTTATCTTACAAAGCACTTGTCTCACGTGGTCACATGTGTAAACGGGAATCCCTTTTCAGAATTTTCAAGAGCATAGATTCACTCACATGGTGGCTGCATTAACAATGCACCAGTATCACGAGGACATATGATATCCCAAAAACAGCTAGGGTTGCATCATCTCAAACAGCCGTGTCGAGTGTGCGAAGGAGGTGCTTGCATACAAATGACGACTACCCATTGGGGGGACCATTCCCGTTTCTCGTTTCAGGTGGTCATATGTACAAATGTGCTTGTCTGCCTCCCTTCTCCTCTGCCAAGCCCCAGCTCGACGGCACAGGAGGTGCTGAAGAACGTGCTGCCATTCACCAATGACGATCACCCACTGGTTTGGGGGCATCCATGTTCCAGATGTTCGAGTGTGTGAGTACGCGAGTGTGCTCCTCTGTCTCCGCTTTCCTTTCTCCACCCCCGCTCGACATCGCAGGAGGTGCTGAAGAACGTGCTGCTCTTCACCAATGACGATGATCCCTCTGGGGCCATACAGGTTCCCTGTTTCAGAGGGTCCCATCCCATGTGTAACTGTGATTCTTCCCCGTCCCTGTCCATTTCCCACCATCAGATCCACGTCTCCGGAGGTGCTGAAGAACGGGCTTCTCTTCACCAACGACGGTGACCCCTTTGGAGCCATCTTCGTTGCAGGTGGTCACGTGTATGACTAGGTGAATGTGCTCTCGTCTGCCTCCCTCTCCTCTGCCCACCATCAGCTCCACGTCACAGGAGGTGCTGAAGAACGTGCTGCTCTTTACCAATGACGATGACCCCTTTGGAGCGATCACCAACGAGGGAGTGCGGAGCGACATGCGGCGCACCACCATACAGAAGGCCAAGGTGACTTCGCCTCTTTCTACCATTGCCCGTTGTTGCTGTGTGGCCCTCTCCGACGAGGCGCCGCCGGTGTTTTTATCAGCGACTCGTGGTAATTTCCTTCCAACCCTCGAGAGTGACTTGTTGTCTGAATCAACCCAATAGTATCTCTGACTCAATCCAAAAGTGACTTGTTCTTTCCGTCCAAATCCTGTTGTCTCTCTACGCTTCCACCTTTCCCCCGGGCCCTGCTGCAGGATGCACGGGGACTGGGCATTCAGATTGACCTCTTTCCTCTCAGCCGCCCGGGGGAGAAGTTCAACTCCAACATCTTCTATGCGGTGAGCTCAGTCCCCGCCCATGTGAATCATCCAAGACGGGCAATACACTGTGTGTGGCCCCGTGTGCCTTCTGTGTCTCCGCAAACTCAATTCTATGTGCTCCAGCTCTATCCATGAACTCAGTTCCCACCTATGTGTCAGGATGGCCGAGTTGGTCTAAGGCGCCAGTTTCAGGTACTGGTCCGAAAGGGCGTGGGTTCAAATCCCACTCCTGACATAGTTGCCATAGCTTTTTCCTTTCTCCCCAATCGAGTGCTTTTCGTCTCATCCCGTCCGTCTTCTAGACGTGCAACACATCCTGCCGGCCGATTTAGCTTGACAAACCCTTCCCTTCCATCCATCACTTTCGTTTTCTCTCCCTACCCATGCGTCAGGACATGCAAGGTGTTGATGATTCACAGCGAGTGGGCTTCCAACCAGAGGAGCACAGGCGAGTGCCTTCACATTCACTCTAGGAAGTGCGTCCTCTGTGGTACTTACTGGTGCATGCTAGCGCCTGCTCCATGCAGCCACGCTCTCTCGCTGCACTCGCAATGAGCAGCTTCCAACCAGAGGAGCACAGGCGAGTGCCTTCACATTCACTCTAGGTAGTGCGTCCTCTGTGGTAATTACTGGTGCGTGCTAGCGCCTGCTCCATGCAGCCACGCTCTCTCACTGCACTCGCAATGAGCAGCTTCCAACCAGAGGAGCACAGGCGAGTGCCTTTTGAGACTCAAAAGCCACTTTAGTACACTCACTCTAGGTAGTGCGTCCTCTGTGGTTCTTCCGTCCTGGTGCATGTTAGCGTCTGTTTTGAGTCGACTCAAAATAGAGGAGCACAGGCGAGTGCCTTCACTCTAGGCTGCACGTCCTCTGTGGTACTCCCTTCCTGGTGCATGCTAGTGCCCAATCCATGCTGTCACTGTCCCCAGAGGAGCACAGGCGAGTGCATGCACATTCACTCTAGATAGTGCGTCCTCTGTGGTACTTCCTTCCTGGTGCATGTTAGCTGAGTTGTGCCCTCAGAAACTGCCTATTCTCCCACTCCTTCCATACACTATCAGACTCGATAACTGAATTCACTCTCTTCGACCTCCCTCTGCTTTCTCTCCCCATGGCACCACCACCACCAGGCTGAGCGACCTGCAGCAGCGGCTGCACAAAAAGGTGTATTGCAGGCGAATGGTGAAGCAGCAAGCCATGGTCTCCTTGCCTGTCTTTTTCATCTCTCTCCATGGCACCACCACCATCAGGCTGAGCGACCTGCAGCAGCGGCTGCGCAAGAAGGTGTATCGCAGGCAAATGGTGAAGCAATTCATGCTCTCATGATGTGCCTGGTCTTCCCCTCTGCCTCTCCTGTCTATCTCTCCCCACGCCTCACCAGGCTGAGCGACCTGCAGCAGCGGCTGCGCAAGAAGGTGTATCGGCGGCGCATGGTGAAGCGAATCATGTTCGGCGTGCTGCCTCACCTCCACATCGCCCTCTCCTCCTATGCTCTCATCCGCCCTGCCAAGATCCGTGCGTCATCCCCTCCTGATGCCGTATTGTGCTGCCCGTCTCATGTTCCGCGTCTCTCTGAACGACCATTTTCTTCAGCATATCCCTTTTGACCCTGCTTAGTAGGCAATCCATCCTCCCAGCCTCTTCTCGCTCCTGCCTCACCTCCACATCGCCCTTTCCTCCTATGCGCTCATCCGCCCTGCCAAGATCTGTGCGACATCTTCTTTATGCGTCATGCCTTGCCTCGCTCTGAACCCTGGCGCACTCCCCTGTTCAACTAGCAATCAATCTTCCCAGCCTCTTCTCACTGCTACCCCACCTCCACAACTACCTCTCCTCCTGAGATTTCATCTGCCCCGCCATGATCCGAGCATTGCCTAGCATCAACCCCTTGCCTTGACTTAGCTTCCTTAGCGCCCTTCGCTCGGCGGCCCACTCAACTCATCTTCTAGCTTTGAAAGGGCCGTGTTGGGCCTTTAGGGCCAACTGCCACGGAACCTTGGTTCCCTTGTCCCTCGCAGTGTGTTCAGGGGAGCAGGTGTACTTAGTGTGTTCAGGGGAGCAGGTGTACTGAGTGTGTTCAGGGGAGCAGGTGTACTGAGTGTGTTCAGGGGAGCAGGTGTACTGAGTGTGTTCAGGGGAGCAGGTGTACTGAGTGTGTTCAGGGGAGCAGGTGTACTGAGTGTGTTCAGGGGAGCAGGTGTACTGGGTGTGTTCAGGGGAGCAGGTGTACTGAGTGTGTTCAGGGGAGCAGGTGTACTGAGTGTGTTCAGGGGAGCAGGTGTACTGAGTGTGTTTGTAGGCAACAACAATCAGGTTCTGAGACGTCTCGAAATTCATTTTTTCGCCCCTTGCTGCTGCTGTGAGTGCAGAGAAGCAAGTGTATGTGAGGGCGGTGGACAATCGCACTGTGAAGGTGGGTGAGAGGAGGAGGGAAGAGTAGGGGGCAGAGGAGAGGTGCATGGGGGGAAGGGGTGGGAAGGGAGCAGAGGCGAGGTATGAAGGGGGAGGGGGAGGGAAGGGTGGAGTGGTGAAGTGCACTGGGGCGGGGGCAGAATTAAAATAGATCCGAGATTATTGTGGGTTGAGGTGAAATGTGCAAGGGAATCATTGTATCACTAACTAGTGCGTGACTCCCTATGCATGAGCTTGCATGCATCCATTTGCGTGCATGGTATCGGCATGCATGGGTCTGCATGCATCCATGCCACTGTGCGGGCACGCATGCTTGCAGGTGGAGACAGCCCTGGTGTGTCAGGACACGGGGGCAGTTCTCCACGGCCCATTCTTGAGGCGCCTCAGATATACCTGCCTCACAGTGTGTGCACACATGTGCACCCTTTGCTATGCACGCACACACACACACACACACACACACACATACACACACACACATACACACACACACACATACACACACACACACATACACACACACACACATTCACACACATATACACACACACATACACACACACACATACACACACACACACACATGCAGGTGGAGACAGCCCTGGTGTGTCAGGACACGGGGGCAGTTCTCCACGGCCCGCTGCCGCGTTACCAGCCCATTCCAGGCGGGTATGTTCGGGAAGGTAGCTTCGGATATGCATCGCCCAGATGTTCAAACATCCTCTCTACATCTGCCTTTGTCATCATCCAACATTTCTTCCACAGCCTTGCACCCTCCTTGCACCCTCCTTGCACCCTCCTAGCACCATTCTACTCCAGTGTCTGCATGTCTGTGTTCGACCCACTCCTTCCCTTCCTGCCAGGTTGCGCATTGTGACGGCGAATGAAGAGGCGGACCAGGTGAAGGCGGTGTGTCCGCACGACCTGCCGCTGCTGTTGCTCTAAGCAGTGTTTTCCCCACCTGCTCTGTTGCACAGGTGGACCAGGTGAAGGGGGTGTCTCCGCACGACCTGCTGCTGCGCGTCTCTGTGTGACTGATTCCCTCCCTTGCGCCGTCTCTGTATGCTTCTGTGTGATTAAACCGCTCGTTTGCAGCACGCGCATCATCATGGCAAAGGCGGAGGTGGACCAGGTGAAGGCGGTGTCCCCCCACGACCTGCTGTTGCTGGGCTTTAAGCCGCTCCACTGCCTCAAAGACTACCACAACCTGCAGCCGTCCACCTTCCTCTTCCCAGACGAGGAGGTGAGTTGAGCAACCTGGCTTTTGAGTCGACTCAAAAGTCATGAACCCGTCGAACCTGGCAGAGATTCGAGGCGTCTCAATCCACAACAACAACCTGTTACTGCAGGGCTTCAATCAAGCCCCTCTAGTGTCTCAAGCACCTCTACATCACAACCTTCAGCCGTGCACCTTCCTCTTCCCACGTTGGCTATGAGTCGACTCAAAAGTCAACCTGTTACTGCAGGGTTTCAATCAAGCCCCTCTAGTGTCTCAAGCACCGTCACAACCTTCAGCCGTGCACCTTCCTCTTCCCACGCGAAGATGTGGGCATGGCAACCGAGGAGTTGCTTTTGAGAGTCCTTTAGGGAGTCTTAATTGCCCCTCTAGGACCAGCATAACCTGCACCCAAATGCACTCTTTCCAGATGAGGATATTCCCATGCCATTTTGTTTCATGTGCATCTGATGTTGTGTTTTGCACATGCGTATGGGTGTGCGTTTGCGTGTGTGTGTGTGCGTGTGCGTCTGTGTGTGTGCGCGTGCTGTGCATTGCGTGTGTGCATGTGTGTGTGCATTGCGTGTGTGCATGCGTGTGTGCATGCGTGTGTACATGCCTGTGTACATGCCTGTGTGCATGCCTGTGTGCATGCGTGTGTGCATGCGTGTGTGCGTGCGTGTCTGCATGTGTATGTGTCCATCCCACCAGACCCTCTCTGGCAGCACGGCTGCATTCATTGCCCTGCACAACGCAATGCTGGACGCAAACAGGTGATTGGGAAGCGGGGGGACGAGCACATTCCAGGCACCTTGCTTTGCTTCTCCCAGTCCTTCCTTGCCTCACTTGCCTCTCTTGCCTCCCTTGCCTCGCTTGCCTCACTTGCCTCACTTGCCTCTCTTGCCTCGCTTGCCTCGCTTGCCTCACTTGCCTCGCTTGCCTCACTTGCCTCTCTTGCCTCGCTTGCCTCACTTGCCTCGCTTGCCTCGCTTGCCTCTCTTTCCAGACACCTGACTGGTTCCCCCACGTCCATGCCACCACACTCTCTCACTTCCTGCTTTCAGTCCTCATTGGTTACGTGCTCCCCCTCCTCCTCCTACCCCTCCTCCTCCTACCCCTCCTCCTCTCCAACCAGCTTTGCACTGGCATGTCGGGCCAAGATCGGCTTGCCACGCCTCATCCTCCCCCTCATCTCCCTCCCACACCCTCTTAACCCCAACACGACTTTTGAGACACCCTCTCAACCCCAACCCTCACATGCATCAATCAGCTTTGCACTGGCATGTTGGGCCAAGATCGGCTTGCCACGTCTTGTCGCCATTGTTCCCCAGGTGAGCTTAATCCCTTTTTCCTTGATTCCATCCCTTTCTCCTGATTCAATCCCCTTCTCCCTGATTCCATCCCCTTCTCCCTCATTCCATCCCCTTCTCCTTGATTCCATCCCCTTCTCCCTCATTCCATCCCCTTCTCCTTGATTCCATCCCCTTCTCCCTCATTCCATCCCCTTCTCCTTGATTCCATCCCCTTCTCCCTCATTCCATCCCCTTCTCCCTCATTCCATCCCCTTCTCCCTCATTCCATCCCCTTCTCCTTGATTCCATCCCCTTCTCCCTCATTCCATTTCCTTCTCCCTCGTTCCATCCCCTTGACCCTCATTCCATCCCCTTCTCCTTGATTCCATCCCCTTCTCCCTCATTCCATCCCCTTGAGTTGCTCTCTAGCTGGTGGGCTGGTTGAAAGTTCATGATCGAGTGCTTGCGCACTTGTTCTCTTACCTTCGGGTGGTGTCTCACCCATCCTATCCGCGTGTTAATCCTCCCATCTTTGACCGGTGCAGCAAGAGAAGGTGGACGAGAGTGGCACGGAGGTGCAGCCGGCAGGGTGGCACATGATTCCTCTGCCCTTTTATGATGACCTCCGACCAGCCGAGAAGGTGAGAGCAGCTGAGCAGGTGACTTCTGAGAGGGAATGCTCCTTTCTTGTGCTATCTGCAGCAGGTGCAGCCGGCAGGGTGGCACATGATTCCTCTGCCCTTTTATGATGACCTCCGACTCGCCGAGCAGGTGAGATTTGAGAGGCCACATGAAATCCAACCAGGGGAGATTTGAGAGGCCACATGAAATCCAACCAGGGGAGATTTGAGAGGCCACATGAAATCCAACCAGGGGAGATTTGAGAGGCCACATGAAATCCAACCAGGGGAGATTTGAGAGGCCACATGAAATCCAACCAGGGGAGATTTGAGAGGCCACATGAAATCCAACCAGGGGAGATTTGAGAGGCCACATGAAATCCAACCAGGGGAGATTTGAGAGGCCACACGAAATCCAACCAGGGGAGATTTGAGAGGCCACACGAAATCCAACCAGGGGAGATTTGAGAGGCCACATGAAATCCAACCAGGGGAGATTTGAGAGGCCACATGAAATCCAACCAGGGGAGATTTGAGAGGCCACGTGAAATCCAACCAGGGGAGATTTGAGAGGCCACATGAAATCCAACCAGGGGAGATTTGAGAGGCCACATGAAATCCAACCAGGGGAGATTTGAGAGGCCACATGAAATCCAACCAGAGGAGATTTGAGAGGCCACATGAAATCCAACCAGGGGAGATTTGAGAGGCCACATGAAATCCAACCAGGGGAGATTTGAGAGGCCACATGAAATCCAACCAGGGGAGATTTGAGAGGCCACATGAAATCCAACCAGGGGAGATTTGAGAGGCCACACGAAATCCAACCAGGGGAGATTTGAGAGGCCACATGAAATCCAACCAGGGGAGATTTGAGAGGCCACATGAAATCCAACCAGGGGAGATTTGAGAGGCCACATGAAATCCAACCAGGGGAGATTTGAGAGGCCACATGAAATCCAACCAGGGGAGATTTGAGAGGCCACATGAAATCCAACCAGGGGAGATTTGAGAGGCCACATGAAATCCAACCAGGGGAGATTTGAGAGGCCACATGAAATCCAACCAGGGGAGATTTGAGAGGCCACATGAAATCCAACCAGGGGAGATTTGAGAGGCCACATGAAATCCAACCAGGGGAGATTTGAGAGGCCACATGAAATCCAACCAGGGGAGATTTGAGAGGCCACATGAAATCCAACCAGGGGAGATTTGAGAGGCCACATGAAATCCAACCAGGGGAGATTTGAGAGGCCACATGAAATCCAACCAGAGGAGATTTGAGAGGCCACATGAAATCCAACCAGGGGAGATTTGAGAGGCCACATGAAATCCAACCAGGGGAGATTTGAGAGGCCACATGAAATCCAACCAGGGGAGATTTGAGAGGCCACATGAAATCCAACCAGGGGAGATTTGAGAGGCCACGTGAAATCCAACCAGGGGAGATTTGAGAGGCCACATGAAATCCAACCAGGGGAGATTTGAGAGGCCACATGAAATCCAACCAGGGGAGATTTGAGAGGCCACATGAAATCCAACCAGGGGAGATTTGAGAGGCCACATGAAATCCAACCAGGGGAGATTTGAGAGGCCACGTGAAATCCAACCAGGGGAGATTTGAGAGGCCACATGAAATCCAACCAGGGGAGATTTGAGAGGCCACATGAAATCCAACCAGGGGAGATTTGAGAGGCCACACGAAATCCAACCAGGGGAGATTTGAGAGGCCACACGAAATCCAACCAGGGGAGATTTGAGAGGCCACATGAAATCCAACCAGGGGAGATTTGAGAGGCCACATGAAATCCAACCAGGGGAGATTTGAGAGGCCACATGAAATCCAACCAGGGGAGATTTGAGAGGCCACATGAAATCCAACCAGGGGAGATTTGAGAGGCCACATGAAATCCAACCAGGGGAGATTTGAGAGGCCACATGAAATCCAACCAGAGGAGATTTGAGAGGCCACATGAAATCCAACCAGGGGAGATTTGAGAGGCCACATGAAATCCAACCAGGGGAGATTTGAGAGGCCACATGAAATCCAACCAGGGGAGATTTGAGAGGCCACATGAAATCCAACCAGGGGAGATTTGAGAGGCCACACGAAATCCAACCAGGGGAGATTTGAGAGGCCACATGAAATCCAACCAGGGGAGATTTGAGAGGCCACACGAAATCCAACCAGGGGAGATTTGAGAGGCCACATGAAATCCAACCAGGGGAGATTTGAGAGGCCACATGAAATCCAACCAGGGGAGATTTGAGAGGCCACATGAAATCCAACCAGGGGAGATTTGAGAGGCCACATGAAATCCAACCAGGGGAGATTTGAGAGGCCACATGAAATCCAACCAGGGGAGATTTGAGAGGCCACATGAAATCCAACCAGGGGAGATTTGAGAGGCCACATGAAATCCAACCAGGGGAGATTTGAGAGGCCACATGAAATCCAACCAGGGGAGATTTGAGAGGCCACATGAAATCCAACCAGGGGAGATTTGAGAGGCCACATGAAATCCAACCAGGGGAGATTTGAGAGGCCACATGAAATCCAACCAGAGGAGATTTGAGAGGCCACATGAAATCCAACCAGGGGAGATTTGAGAGGCCACATGAAATCCAACCAGGGGAGATTTGAGAGGCCACATGAAATCCAACCAGGGGAGATTTGAGAGGCCACCTGAAATCCAACCAGGGGAGATTTGAGAGGCCACATGAAATCCAACCAGGGGAGATTTGAGAGGCCACACGAAATCCAACCAGGGGAGATTTGAGAGGCCACATGAAATCCAACCAGGGGAGATTTGAGAGGCCACGTGAAATCCAACCAGGGGAGATTTGAGAGGCCACACGAAATCCAACCAGGGGAGATTTGAGAGGCCACATGAAATCCAACCAGGGGAGATTTGAGAGGCCACATGAAATCCAACCAGGGGAGATTTGAGAGGCCACATGAAATCCAACCAGGGGAGATTTGAGAGGCCACATGAAATCCAACCAGGGGAGATTTGAGAGGCCACATGAAATCCAACCAGGGGAGATTTGAGAGGCCACATGAAATCCAACCAGGGGAGATTTGAGAGGCCACATGAAATCCAACCAGGGGAGATTTGAGAGGCCACATGAAATCCAAGCAGGGGAGATTTGAGAGGCCACATGAAATCCAACCAGGGGAGATTTGAGAGGCCACGTGAAATCCAACCAGGGGAGATTTGAGAGGCCACATGAAATCCAACCAGGGGAGATTTGAGAGGCCACACGAAATCCAACCAGGGGAGATTTGAGAGGCCACATGAAATCCAACCAGGGGAGATTTGAGAGGCCACATGAAATCCAACCAGGGGAGATTTGAGAGGCCACGTGAAATCCAACCAGGGGAGATTTGAGAGGCCACAGGAAATCCAACCAGGGGAGATTTGAGAGGCCACATGAAATCCAACCAGGGGAGATTTGAGAGGCCACATGAAATCCAACCAGGGGAGATTTGAGAGGCCACATGAAATCCAACCAGGGGAGATTTGAGAGGCCACGTGAAATCCAACCAGGGGAGATTTGAGAGGCCACATGAAATCCAACCAGGGGAGATTTGAGAGGCCACATGAAATCCAACCAGGGGAGATTTGAGAGGCCACACGAAATCCAACCAGGGGAGATTTGAGAGGCCACACGAAATCCAACCAGGGGAGATTTGAGAGGCCACATGAAATCCAACCAGGGGAGATTTGAGAGGCCACATGAAATCCAACCAGGGGAGATTTGAGAGGCCACACGAAATCCAACCAGGGGAGATTTGAGAGGCCACACGAAATCCAACCAGGGGAGATTTGAGAGGCCACATGAAATCCAACCAGGGGAGATTTGAGAGGCCACATGAAATCCAACCAGAGGAGATTTGAGAGGCCACATGAAATCCAACCAGGGGAGATTTGAGAGGCCACATGAAATCCAACCAGGGGAGATTTGAGAGGCCACATGAAATCCAACCAGGGGAGATTTGAGAGGCCACATGAAATCCAACCAGGGGAGATTTGAGAGGCCACATGAAATCCAACCAGGGGAGATTTGAGAGGCCACATGAAATCCAACCAGGAAAGATTTGAGAGGCCACATGAAATCCAACCAGGGGAGATTTGAGAGGCCACATGAAATCCAACCAGGGGAGATTTGAGAGGCCACACGAAATCCAACCAGGGGAGATTTGAGAGGCCACATGAAATCCAACCAGGAAAGATTTGAGAGGCCACATGAAATCCAACCAGGGGAGATTTGAGAGGCCACATGAAATCCAACCAGGGGAGATTTGAGAGGCCACATGAAATCCAACCAGGGGAGATTTGAGAGGCCACATGAAATCCAACCAGGGGAGATTTGAGAGGCCACATGAAATCCAACCAGGGGAGATTTGAGAGGCCACATGAAATCCAACCAGGGGAGATTTGAGAGGCCACGTGAAATCCAACCAGGGGAGATTTGAGAGGCCACATGAAATCCAACCAGGGGAGATTTGAGAGGCCACATGAAATCCAACCAGGGGAGATTTGAGAGGCCACATGAAATCCAACCAGGGGAGATTTGAGAGGCCACATGAAATCCAACCAGGGGAGATTTGAGAGGCCACATGAAATCCAACCAGGGGAGATTTGAGAGGCCACATGAAATCCAACCAGGGGAGATTTGAGAGGCCACAAATCCAACCAGGGGAGATTTGAGAGGCCACATGAAATCCAACCAGGGGAGATTTGAGAGGCCACGTGAAATCCAACCAGGGGAGATTTGAGAGGCCACATGAAATCCAACCAGGGGAGATTTGAGAGGCCACACGAAATCCAACCAGTGGAGATTTGAGAGGCCACATGAAATCCAACCAGGGGAGATTTGAGAGGCCACATGAAATCCAACCAGGGGAGATTTGAGAGGCCACGTGAAATCCAACCAGGGGAGATTTGAGAGGCCACATGAAATCCAACCAGGGGAGATTTGAGAGGCCACATGAAATCCAACCAGGGGAGATTTGAGAGGCCACACGAAATCCAACCAGGGGAGATTTGAGAGGCCACACGAAATCCAACCAGGGGAGATTTGAGAGGCCACATGAAATCCAACCAGGGGAGATTTGAGAGGCCACATGAAATCCAACCAGGGGAGATTTGAGAGGCCACGTGAAATCCAACCAGGGGAGATTTGAGAGGCCACGTGAAATCCAACCAGGGGAGATTTGAGAGGCCACATGAAATCCAACCAGGGGAGATTTGAGAGGCCACATGAAATCCAACCAGGGGAGATTTGAGAGGCCACATGAAATCCAACCAGAGGAGATTTGAGAGGCCACATGAAATCCAACCAGGGGAGATTTGAGAGGCCACATGAAATCCAACCAGGGGAGATTTGAGAGGCCACATGAAATCCAACCAGGGGAGATTTGAGAGGCCACATGAAATCCAACCAGGGGAGATTTGAGAGGCCACGTGAAATCCAACCAGGGGAGATTTGAGAGGCCACATGAAATCCAACCAGGGGAGATTTGAGAGGCCACATGAAATCCAACCAGGGGAGATTTGAGAGGCCACATGAAATCCAACCAGGGGAGATTTGAGAGGCCACATGAAATCCAACCAGGGGAGATTTGAGAGGCCACATGAAATCCAACCAGGGGAGATTTGAGAGGCCACATGAAATCCAACCAGGGGAGATTTGAGAGGCCACATGAAATCCAACCAGGGGAGATTTGAGAGGCCACATGAAATCCAACCAGGGGAGATTTGAGAGGCCACGTGAAATCCAACCAGGGGAGATTTGAGAGGCCACATGAAATCCAACCAGGGGAGATTTGAGAGGCCACGTGAAATCCAACCAGGGGAGATTTGAGAGGCCACATGAAATCCAACCAGGGGAGATTTGAGAGGCCACATGAAATCCAACCAGGGGAGATTTGAGAGGCCACGTGAAATCCAACCAGGGGAGATTTGAGAGGCCACATGAAATCCAACCAGGGGAGATTTGAGAGGCCACATGAAATCCAACCAGGGGAGATTTGAGAGGCCACATGAAATCCAACCAGGGGAGATTTGAGAGGCCACGTGAAATCCAACCAGGGGAGATTTGAGAGGCCACATGAAATCCAACCAGGGGAGATTTGAGAGGCCACATGAAATCCAACCAGGGGAGATTTGAGAGGCCACATGAAATCCAACCAGGGGAGATTTGAGAGGCCACATGAAATCCAACCAGGGGAGATTTGAGAGGCCACGTGAAATCCAACCAGGGGAGATTTGAGAGGCCACATGAAATCCAACCAGGGGAGATTTGAGAGGCCACATGAAATCCAACCAGGGGAGATTTGAGAGGCCACATGAAATCCAACCAGGGGAGATTTGAGAGGCCACATGAAATCCAACCAGGGGAGATTTGAGAGGCCACGTGAAATCCAACCAGGGGAGATTTGAGAGGCCACATGAAATCCAACCAGGGGAGATTTGAGAGGCCACATGAAATCCAACCAGGGGAGATTTGAGAGGCCACATGAAATCCAACCAGGGGAGATTTGAGAGGCCACATGAAATCCAACCAGGGGAGATTTGAGAGGCCACGTGAAATCCAACCAGGGGAGATTTGAGAGGCCACATGAAATCCAACCAGGGGAGATTTGAGAGGCCACATGAAATCCAACCAGGGGAGATTTGAGAGGCCACATGAAATCCAACCAGGGGAGATTTGAGAGGCCACATGAAATCCAACCAGGGGAGATTTGAGAGGCCACGTGAAATCCAACCAGGGGAGATTTGAGAGGCCACATGAAATCCAACCAGGGGAGATTTGAGAGGCCACATGAAATCCAACCAGGGGAGATTTGAGAGGCCACATGAAATCCAACCAGGGGAGATTTGAGAGGCCACATGAAATCCAACCAGGGGAGATTTGAGAGGCCACATGAAATCCAACCAGGGGAGATTTGAGAGGCCACATGAAATCCAACCAGGGGAGATTTGAGAGGCCACATGAAATCCAACCAGGGGAGATTTGAGAGGCCACATGAAATCCAACCAGGGGAGATTTGAGAGGCCACGTGAAATCCAACCAGGGGAGATTTGAGAGGCCACATGAAATCCAACCAGGGGAGATTTGAGAGGCCACACGAAATCCAACCAGTGGAGATTTGAGAGGCCACATGAAATCCAACCAGGGGAGATTTGAGAGGCCACATGAAATCCAACCAGGGGAGATTTGAGAGGCCACGTGAAATCCAACCAGGGGAGATTTGAGAGGCCACATGAAATCCAACCAGGGGAGATTTGAGAGGCCACATGAAATCCAACCAGGGGAGATTTGAGAGGCCACACGAAATCCAACCAGGGGAGATTTGAGAGGCCACACGAAATCCAACCAGGGGAGATTTGAGAGGCCACATGAAATCCAACCAGGGGAGATTTGAGAGGCCACATGAAATCCAACCAGGGGAGATTTGAGAGGCCACGTGAAATCCAACCAGGGGAGATTTGAGAGGCCACGTGAAATCCAACCAGGGGAGATTTGAGAGGCCACATGAAATCCAACCAGGGGAGATTTGAGAGGCCACATGAAATCCAACCAGGGGAGATTTGAGAGGCCACATGAAATCCAACCAGAGGAGATTTGAGAGGCCACATGAAATCCAACCAGGGGAGATTTGAGAGGCCACATGAAATCCAACCAGGGGAGATTTGAGAGGCCACATGAAATCCAACCAGGGGAGATTTGAGAGGCCACATGAAATCCAACCAGGGGAGATTTGAGAGGCCACGTGAAATCCAACCAGGGGAGATTTGAGAGGCCACATGAAATCCAACCAGGGGAGATTTGAGAGGCCACATGAAATCCAACCAGGGGAGATTTGAGAGGCCACATGAAATCCAACCAGGGGAGATTTGAGAGGCCACATGAAATCCAACCAGGGGAGATTTGAGAGGCCACATGAAATCCAACCAGGGGAGATTTGAGAGGCCACATGAAATCCAACCAGGGGAGATTTGAGAGGCCACATGAAATCCAACCAGGGGAGATTTGAGAGGCCACATGAAATCCAACCAGGGGAGATTTGAGAGGCCACGTGAAATCCAACCAGGGGAGATTTGAGAGGCCACATGAAATCCAACCAGGGGAGATTTGAGAGGCCACGTGAAATCCAACCAGGGGAGATTTGAGAGGCCACATGAAATCCAACCAGGGGAGATTTGAGAGGCCACATGAAATCCAACCAGGGGAGATTTGAGAGGCCACGTGAAATCCAACCAGGGGAGATTTGAGAGGCCACATGAAATCCAACCAGGGGAGATTTGAGAGGCCACATGAAATCCAACCAGGGGAGATTTGAGAGGCCACATGAAATCCAACCAGGGGAGATTTGAGAGGCCACGTGAAATCCAACCAGGGGAGATTTGAGAGGCCACATGAAATCCAACCAGGGGAGATTTGAGAGGCCACATGAAATCCAACCAGGGGAGATTTGAGAGGCCACATGAAATCCAACCAGGGGAGATTTGAGAGGCCACATGAAATCCAACCAGGGGAGATTTGAGAGGCCACGTGAAATCCAACCAGGGGAGATTTGAGAGGCCACATGAAATCCAACCAGGGGAGATTTGAGAGGCCACATGAAATCCAACCAGGGGAGATTTGAGAGGCCACATGAAATCCAACCAGGGGAGATTTGAGAGGCCACATGAAATCCAACCAGGGGAGATTTGAGAGGCCACATGAAATCCAACCAGGGGAGATTTGAGAGGCCACATGAAATCCAACCAGGGGAGATTTGAGAGGCCACATGAAATCCAACCAGGGGAGATTTGAGAGGCCACATGAAATCCAACCAGGGGAGATTTGAGAGGCCACATGAAATCCAACCAGGGGAGATTTGAGAGGCCACATGAAATCCAACCAGGGGAGATTTGAGAGGCCACATGAAATCCAACCAGGGGAGATTTGAGAGGCCACGTGAAATCCAACCAGGGGAGATTTGAGAGGCCACATGAAATCGAACCAGGGGAGATTTGAGAGGCCACATGAAATCCAACCAGGGGAGATTTGAGAGGCCACATGAAATCCAACCAGGGGAGATTTGAGAGGCCACATGAAATCCAACCAGGGGAGGCAGGTGAGAGGGAATGTTTGTTTCCTGTGCTATTCGAAGCAGGTGCAGGCAGCAGGGTGGCACATGGTCCCCTACCATTCATATGATGACATTCATATGATGACATTCATATGATGACATTCATATGATGACATTCATATGATGACATTCATATGATGACATTCATATGATGACATTCATATGATGACATTCATATGATGACATTCATATGATGTCATTCATATGATGACATTCATATGATGACATTCATATGATGACATTCGACCAGCCGAAAAGGTGAGAGCAGTGGAGCAGGTGGGAGGGGCAGAGAAGGTGAGGGTTTTTTGTGGTATCCGAACCAGGGGAGAGGGAATGTTTGTGTTTGTGCTATCCGAAGCAGGTGCAGCCAGGGAGGCACATAAACCCTCATGCAGACATCTCTATTTGAGTCAACTCAAAAGTCATAAACCTTCTTGCAGACATCTCCATGCCCCCATCTCCATGCCCCCATCTCTATGCGTTTATCTCCATGCCCATCTCCATGCCCATCTCCATGCTCATCTCCATGCCCATCTCCATGCCCATCTCCCCACTCCTCCCTCCGCCACTCCGTCTTGCCTCACCACGCCATCCCCCATTTCCCCCATTACGGCAACGCTTTCCCTCCACTGCACCCACAGTATGCCCGTTGGGTGCCAGACCAGGGTGCAAAGGGCGCTGGGGGGGAAGGGGAGCAGGAGGGCAGTGGAGGGGAGGTGGTATCTGCACCAAGGGCGGATGCGGAGCAGGTGGCAACTGCCACAACGCTCATGCGCTACATGCACCTCAAGGACTTCAGCCCACTCAACATCCTCAACCCTGGTGGGTCTGCGTATTTGCATGCATGCATGGGTGGGCAGAGCAGAGCAGCGCTCATGCGCTACACGCACCTCAAGGGCTTCACGCCTCTTGACATCCTCAACCCTGGTGCGTCCGTGGGTTTGTCAAAAGTCAAAGCAGCGTTCATGTGGCAGATGCACCTCAAGGAGTTGTCTTAGGTTGGCATTCTTATGACGGGCAGTGCAGCCCACATGCGGCTCATGCAGGCCAAGGATTTCACCCCGCCCAACATTCTCATCCCTGGTGGACCTCCTCTACCCTTCCTCCATGCCAGTCATCCAGACGCACTACTCCATGCTGGAGGCCATAGCGCTGGACCTGCCAGAGGTGCAGCCTGTGGTGGATACCACTCATACCCTCACACTCCTCTCCCTGCTTCCTGCTCCATCCTCCTTGCCCCTCCCTTCCTCCATGCCAGTCATCCAGACGCACTACTCCATGCTGGAGGCCATAGCCCTAGACCTGCCAGAGGTGCAGCCTGTGGTGGATACGACCTTGCCGGATTACAACATCTTCCAGCCCCCACTCTCCGACACCAACCAGCCTCCAAAAAAAGGGTGTGTTTTATTGCAATCTCTCGTCCCATGTGTGCGTATATGTGAGCGAGTCCAGATTTCAGATGTTTTACGGGGAGTAGTGACAAGGGAGGTTGAGGCTGACTGGTTTTTCCCTGTGGTTTGATGTTTCAATGGTTCATGTTTGTTCGCTTTCTTGCTTTTGTGTCTGTCATTATCTATACGTACAGGAAAGCTGCTCGTGCAACTGCGGCTTTAAGGCATTTCAAGGACGCAGTATATGGCCCGGGGCATGATGAGGAGGAGGCGCAAAGAACAGCTGCAGCTCGAGCCAAGGCAGATGCTGCTGAGAAGAAACGCAAGGCCACTTACGATGCCGCTACCGCCAAGGCCGGTGTTGTGGATTGGCGGGGTCTCGCTGAGAAAGGGAAGGTGAGTTAACAAGCTGCAAGTCTGGGGATGAGTGAGTTTGTTTTACTGATGGGTAGATGTATGACATGTGGGTGGTTGGGGGAAAGATGAGTATTGATGTGATTTGTTGTTATCCTGTATGCAGCTGGATACCTTGACAAACGAGGACCTGAAGGGATATCTCAGAATGTATAGCCTACCCCTCACTGGCCGGAAGGCAGAACTAGTGCAACGCATCAAAGAACATCTGGACCAGTAGGGATTTATATTTCTTTCGCATTGCACAATTTGCAACGCATTGTTTCTTATCGGGTACACGCTGAAAGTCGATTCAGTGAATCAGTGATCAAGGGTTCCCATCCCAAGGGTGCGGATTAGTTGGCATCCAATCGGAGCATTTTGTCTGCCCCCACGCAGGAGCCCGTTGGGCCACATATCGTCCAACAGCAAGTCTCGTTCCAACAACCTCAAGGACCCACTGCCCCTCGTGCAGTTTTGATTGATGCATTCTGTGCTGTGACGACACCGAGGTCTGATGCGACGGTGTCGGGTCCAGAATTGCGACGACGAATGCGACGTGACCCGCTGGCCCATTTTGGCGGTAGTGCGTGCACCAACCAATGCCCTGCCCAGGGCCAGCGATTCGGCGACCCTGGTTGTCGAAATACTTCGCTAATCAGTTACCTGTTCGCAATTATCAGGCTTGTGGCTGGCGACTTCCAAAATTACCCCTCAACTGGAGCTCTGCGACGTCGTGACTCGCGACTGGTTGGCCAATGCGGAAAGACAGTTGTGCGCCCCTTGCCAGCATATCCGCGACTAGCGTGTGATTTCGTCTGACTCCCCTGCTGTACAGCCAGACCGAAACCCGCCCTTGCGCTCAACACAGAGTGGTGAAAAGCGTTGCACCTCGGTTCTGGATGTATCTCATAGTTTGGAGATCTCTAGGGTTGGGAGAAGTTAGCAGCCTATCCTCCGAATCGGCCAATTTTTCTGGGTGTCGCTTATTGGCACTAGTTGCTTACCGACGTCGCGTGAAGCGGCCATTCTAGTTATCGTGATAGGATTATACCGTAGTTGGCGATCTTAGTCGGAAGCGCAGAATGGCTGGTTTTAAAATTACGTACGCGTAATGCACGTAGCTCGATGCATCTCCGCTTTATGACCTACTTTTTAGGTCGATTATGCACGCGATAAGACTAGGGACCTATTTAGCCATTACTATCGTCTAGGCAACCGTATTCTTTAGGCAGAGGATCATTCCAGGCATATTGTACGCAGGCAGCTTTGGGAGAGTACCAAATATCGAGCACGAAGTGAAACGAGCTGGAAGGGGAGCGCGCCCTAAGGGGAACGCGCAACCGCGCCTTCATGGAGTCTCCGCCGTCCCCGCCGTCCCCGCCGTCCCCATCCGACGCCCTTCTTCTCCGCCAGGGCGGTAAGCCTCTTCCGCCCGCCTCTCAATGCTTCCCCTGGCGCCCCCACCATTTCTCCGCGCGCCTCACTCCCCACGGTGCTTCCTCTCCTGGCGGAAGTTCCGCCGTCCCCCACGCGCGCGGAAACACACCTACGTGCTATGGCACGGTTGGCAGTCCTCTCCCCTTCGCACGAGTCCTCGAACTCATGGCCTGGCGCCGACGTGCGCGCAGCGGCAGCGTCGGCGGCGGAGGAGGATTAGGAGGAGTTGGTGGCGGCCGTCACGGTAGCCGGCCAGGCGGTGGGAGGACGCCGGTCAACAGTCAGCGGCGCCACGTGTCCGTCACAGGTTGGAAGCAGAATTCTTTTGACGGGGAGGAACTGGGTGAAAGCAGCAACGGTAAAGATGGCAGTAGCAGAGACAAGCTCCGCACGCGTAGCGCCAGGGAATGTGGCACGGGCAGCGGCAGGGATAGCGGCAGAGGTAGTGGCAGGGGTAGCGGCAGGAGTAGTAGCAGCAGTAGTTCCGGTAGCGAGAGCGCGTCGCCTCGTCACAGGACGTCGGGCGTTATAAAGGAGCCAGCAGGGAACACTATAACGGACACGAGCGCAGTTAGAGCGGACTTGAGTAAAAGGTTGGAGGCGTGCCGAACGCAGCAGGCGAGTCAAGGCAGCACGGATACGCGGGCTTTGGTTAGTGGCGCTGGGAAAGGGCGCGAGGAGGCGGGAGGCGCGGATAACCCGGAAGCGCAAGCCCGCGCAGTACAGGCGGAGGGGATGAGCGGAAAACCGGAGGATTTAGCGCAGCGTGCGCGGCTTGCGGAGGCGCAGGTGGACATGGCGGAGTTACAGGCGCAGGTGGTATGCGCGGAGCTGCAGTGGATACGGAGCGCCGTGGAGAGGCAAGAGGCGGGAGTAGCCGCCGTGCTGGCGGAACTGGCGGGGCTGCACCAGCGCGTGCACCGCGCGCGAAGGTGCGCGGAGGGGGGAGATGGCGGGGACGGGGCGCAGGAGTCTGGGGAAGGGAAGATGCGCGAGGTGCAGCAGGTTGAAGCTGCTGTAGCGTCTGCGGAGGCGCGGCTATGGCGGGTGGAGGCGGCTGCTGCTGATGCGCGCGCCTCACTCATTGCCCTGGGCGGCGAAGCGGGGGGATTGGGGGGATTGGCGGGAATTGGGGCCGGGGAAGGCGGCAATGTAGGTGGATTGTGTGGTGAGTGCTGGTGCGAGAGTGGGCTGGGTAACCGGCCAGTGGAAGGCGGGATTGGGGTTGGATGTGGTGGGGAGGTGTGTGGAGGGATGAGAGGGTGTGCGAGGCTTGAGGGGTACGGTGTGGGGGAGGTGGGTTTGAGCGCAGCAGAATTTGCTCTGGAGCTACAGAGACGGTTAGAGGAAGTGCAGAAAGAACTGGTAGCTAAGGGGCAGGGGCACAGAGTGGTGCAGGAGAAGGAGGGGCGTGGAGTGGTGGAGGGGCCAGCTGGGGGAGTCGGGGGAGCTGGGGTTTCGCCCTCAGTGGAAGGAAAAGGGGAGCAGCCAATGGTGGAGGGAACAGAGCGGGTGAAAGGGGCCGGGCAGGCGAGTGGTGGGGTTGAAACAGATGGATTTTCAGTTTGTGAAAAGGCTTGTGAGAAAGGGACAAAAGAGAGTAATTGTGAATTGTTGGTTGGGAAACAGTCAAGGTTGGAATTCACTGGGCGGGACGGAGAGGTGATGAAGCCAGAGGGAGAGGCATTATCAGGTGCCGGTGAATTGAGGTTTTGGGATAGAATAAGCGGGGAGAGCAAGCTGCTTTCGGGTGGGGAAGGGAATGGAGGTGTTCAGGGAGCTGCTGCTGATTTCGGCGGTGGGAAGGATATCCACGTGAACATTGGCCTCACAAGCTCAGCACCAATATTAGCATCACAAGCACGAGTCAACTCAACGCAAATGCACCAGAACCAGTTGTTTGGGAGTAAAGCACGCCAGTGGCAGCCGGTGTCAAGAACAGAGGACCAAGAAGAGGCCAAGATTCTTCGGGATGCAATGGAGTATCTTAAAAAGGAAGTAGAACGGGCACAGAAAGCAGCACCACCATTGGGTGCAATATGAGCTGGATTGGATATCAGGAAATTCTTATTGTGCTGTCTAGTGTAAATATGTTCTGTTTTGTGTTATTGCCCACTCCACCCTATTTCGAGTCAACACACCGTGCTTGTTTTGAAGCTTGACCTAAATTCGCGCCGGAATCGCCGGAGTGATTGCCACCCCACCCCCCCGAAGGTCGTCCGACTGTTGTTCACCGATGAGCCTTTAGCACGCAGCAGGCACGCGCCCTCGACCGACCTGGCGAAAAAGGGCAACCGTGGAGCCGACACACAAGGGCAAAAGGTAGACACAGGCCCACGTGGGAGATTCGCGTCGCGTCTGGAGCTGATTATACACGTCATTGTTGAACTTGTAGTGGTGTATGATCTGCGTTATTCCTGCCGCAATTTCCGTTCGGTGCTCTCGACCAGTGCAGGCCTGGCAAGCGACCGATAATTGGCGACGAAATCAGGGTTGAGACTGGAGCAACCTGCTAGTCGCAGAATCGCAGGCATCGTTGCCACCTGTCGTTCGGATAATCGCAGAGCGGAGAACGCAGATTGTGCTCAAATTGCAGCAACACACCAGCAGCACTGGCGGCTGCGCGGATTCATGATCTGGGATGAACCAAAAAACAGACTTAGACCAGACCAGAGAGCTCTTCACCACACCGTCTTCCTCAATGAGCAACAAGTATCTTATCAGCTTAGCTGAAAAAGAACCCACTCACCCCTCACTTGAATTTTGTGCCTCATCCATTGTTGAATTGAATATCACGTCCTCATTCTAGACGCTTGACGATCCTTCCTTGAAGATCCTTCCCCAGCTGGCTTCATCAAACCAAACACTAGCATCACGCGCTCTCGTCTACACACAGGACATCGATTTCCAGAGTTTTTTCCTTCTCCAAAAATTCGTCACGCCATGTTGCTAGTATATTCCTCCCTGGTCAGGCATAGTCCGCTTAGACTGTCGACACATGGCGAGACGCTCCCTCGCTCGCTGCCAAGGCAGAGGAGCTCCGGCGTCGTACTTCGTAGACGAGGATCAGTAGTCAGGGCTTCCCTTGCAGTGCAACCAGAGAGACGGAAAAGAGCTTCAGACTGTTACGCTATCTTGGGTTTGACTGCACAAGCAGGAGCAGATGAAATTCGGCAAGCTTACAGACGACTCGCACGCATTGTACGAAATCCACACGCTAACCACAGCTTCGAATTTGTTCTGCTTTTGGGCCCAATCCCTTGACTCCTCTCGCTTGCGCTCTGTGCAGTATCATCCTGACACTAACTCATCAGAGGACACAGTACCGATGTTTCTAGAAGTTCACGAAGCATACAAGGTCAGTCCCCATGGCATTCAACGACGAGTGTGTGTGTACATTCGCTCCTCTCGTCCTCCCTGCCTCTTCGCTCTTGCAATCAGCTCTTGGAATGGTCCTGAATGATAGTACTTGCCATTGCAGATTGCCTTGCGGCGTCAAGAGAGAGCCCAGGCAAAGGCTCTTCTTGAATCTCAGTCTCCACCAAAATCCTCCAGGCCACTCAAAACCGCTGGGAAACCACGCAGACGAGAAAACTGGGATGATATCTGGGACGACATTCTGGGGTCCACCACACAAAGGAAGACTCCAAAACGACAATAAGGGAGTTCAGAACCGCACTGAGTTCCACATGCCAAAAAGAGTCTCAGCGCTTGTACAGGTTGAACTGGTCACAAGGAAGTGACGCAGTTCATGCAACGTATACGCGTGTTGGAAGGCAATATCAATTATTGTAATATGTATTTTAGGCGTTAGTCGTTGGCTGGTGATGATGTATGCCATACCGTAAGACAATTTGAGCATGAGTTTTTATGGCAGGTTCATCCTCCGGCAATGGTCACACATCATCTCGAAATCTGGTGATCCTGTTTGCCTGCCAGTGCATCTGGTGGTGACAGCAAGGGGAAAGGGGAGGCGTGTCACATCGGGGCTAAAAGGCCCAAATAACGAATTCACTGTACGAACAGTCTCCAACACAAAATTTGAACACCCTGGTGAATGTAGCAGCTCTTCACCAGAGGTGACCCCTCTCTTTTTGAACACGCAGCCTGTTCCAACATGCTACGTCGTCTACAACAGGGCGACATGGCTAAGCTTCGCAAGAAAAACTTCCAGTCGCCTGCCATTCCAGTTTGACCCATTTTTCGCCCATCCAGTCACAATGACTCGTACTCCTCTACTCCAGTAGCCTACCCATTTTTCCCAGCTACACTACCCTTTCCGACGCACTGCGGCAGTTTCCAGTGAGAAGCGATTTCGCTAGCGACTATGCGCGGTGTTGTCCAATCAGAGGCGTCGTCCGTGCTGGGAGGGGGGCGCGTATCATTCTGTGTTCGAACAGCGCTGTTCGAGCGCGCAGCACATTTGGCAGCATGCCCGATGTGACAGGGCTGTTCGGATTGGCGAAACTTTTAGTTAGCGACGTCATTAGGGTGCCTACGAGGTCTGGCGAAGCATGTAACATTCGCCTGTTCGAACGAGAGGTCTTTTCGAACCCGGAGGTGACACGCCCTGAATGACCCATCATCCATGTTCTGGTAGAATGTGCAAATTGGTCACTTCAGTAATTTTGTTTGTGAAATACGTTGAAGGATGCTAACAATGTAGCTCATATTGTTCCAGTACTTGGAAAAGGTACATGATGAGAACATTGCTAACCAAATACCTTTGCTTATATCATAATGTAGGTGAGAAAGGTTGCCGGATTAGGCAAGATGACACGGCCCTTTTATATATACAATAGATATATTTATTCTTACTGTATGGGCATTACTGATTATCGTTTTTCAGTACGGTATGAGAAAGCATAGGAATCTGTGAATGTGGATATGGAGGAAAGAGCTATATATGGTATCATAGAATATGCAAGTGTAGGCATGTAGTGATGTCAATTTTTACTGCTCTTTTGTGATGGAGTCGCACGTCGCGACGCGAATCAAGAGCTAGACATCCCACTTCCTTCAGACTGAAATTTCTCAATTCCTCCCAGTGCCCTTGGTTCTGACCAGCAACCGAGCAGTAAATCAACCCGCGCGTGCTTGCCCAAACCAGTCTTCAATCCTGCCCGACCCACGTCGGGGCACGTCTTTGCCCAGAGCAGACACGTTTCAGAGTTCAGCCCGTGACTTCCGAAACACATCTACAGTGCCAGCGTCATTCTTGCCGCAATCTGGGGAACAGAAATTTCGGGTCTCTTTCAGTGTGCTGGCAGCTGGAATTGTGGTTTGTTCCCGTGACTGGAGGCGGCTCCGTTCTTCAGTCGACTGCGTGGGCTGGGCAGCTGAAACCAACCGGAAGTCGCTTGGTTGATGTGGCTCAGGGAAGTGCATGGATGTGCGACAGTCCACACGGCACGGAAGTGACACCGCCAGCCAGTCAAACTGGTTGCCAAGAGATGTGCTGAACGGTTGTACGTTGCTTGGAGCGTTTAGGAATGGTAATGAGTGGTGCGCCTAAGGACGAGGCCACATGGATAGGGCGAAGGCGAGAGCCAACTGATGAGGACGTCTGAAAGTGATCGGCTGATGTGGATGAAGTGGCACTGGTGGTGGCCTTGAAATAGCACCATCATCCATTGAACTCCGATCAATCCTGCTTCTTTCTATCAACTGAATTCTGATAAATCCTTGACATTTTTCAGAATCCTTGAAAATAATTGTGAGCGGACTAGAGTCCTAGTCAGCTTATCAACTCACACTCGCATACTAAACTGGTTCTGGGAGACTGGTATTAGCCCTACGCTGGTTACTCAACGACAATCTAATCCATCACTCCGTCTTAGTTCCACACTCCAGCGCTAGTTCGGTAGTCTAAGGCAACGTTACCTTAGCTCCAGAGCTATGGCTCTTTCCGCCTCGCCGCTCCTGTCCTCACCAGCGAAGATGCCATCTCAGTCCAGACTAAACGGACGGAGTCCCTTTAAATCATCCCCTCCAACTGCTCGACGATTGTTCGTAGAGGCTCGGATAACAGTAGCTCCGGAACGACGACGAGCCACGCCGAACTGCTTCACTGTGCTGGGAGTCCCTGCTAGTGCCGGAGCTGACGAGATTAGACAAGCGTACAGACGACTCGCGCGCATTGTAAGCACACTTACTCGAGTTTCTGAATTCTCCCTCGGTTACACTGCTCAATCACCTTTTTCAATAGCGAGTGCATCATAGTGAATGCTGACGCTTTTTTTCGTCAATTGTTTGCCTTGCAGTATCACCCCGATGCCAGTGGCGCTGACGACACGACATCCATGTTTCTGGAAATCCACACGGCTTATAAGGTAAGCGCGGACTGCTGCGTCTCAACAATTCAGCTCTATATTATGTGAATGTCCGAAGGAACAAGAGTTGTGTGAATCTTAAATTGGACGTACAGAGCATACACTAACCTTCTTTCATCTTTCCGTCCTGTTATCTGCAGTCCGCTCTCAAGCATCAAGAGAGACGACAGGCCAAAGCATCCATGGCGTCCACGTCAGAAGCAACCGTCAAGCCGTCTCCGTCCTCTAAAACCCCGCAAAGACCCGCCAGGAGAAGAGACGATTTCGACGACATTTGGGACCTCATGGGTGCGTCGCCTCGTCGGCAGGCCTCTCCGCGGAGACAAACCACGCCCAAACACGTTTAGCTTTTCAATGACAACACATGTTTTTACCTTGGTCGGAACGTCACCACGTCCACTGGCTTCAGAGCCTCTGTACAAACGCCATTTTGGGGACGTGGCCTCACTTAAGACGAGTTGCTAGCTAGCCGTAGAGTGCCGTGGTCCGTTCCAGCATACCAGTCCCGCTTGGAAAGGTTTCTTAGGTTACCTCCAAGGCCCTGCTTCCGCTTCCAACGGCTGTTGGGCGAGTTGTAACTTTGCGCAGGGTAAGGATAGGAGTAGGAAAAGGATACTTAGGAAAGAGTTTCTACACCTGGATAGTTCTACCAGGTATAGTTTCAGTGCAGTTACCTAAGCGATGCTCTTGTCTGTAAGCAAAATTAATATTCATTCATGTAATGTGGCCAACAGTTCCAAACGCGCACCTGCAATGCAAACCTACTTCCACATATAGACAGCGACATGGAGGCTGCGGTTGGGAACTCGCGCCGTACAGCAGCTGGCCGAGTGAGTGCATGAGCTGCAGTTAGGGCGTGTCCAGCGCGTACATTTACAGTTCATAAACCCATTCAGTTACCACATTTCCGATTGTAACACTGCATTTTACAAAAAGGTTGGACACGATCAGCTTCCGTTCACAAGACGGCACGCCCGCTGCGCGTACGACGAATCGTCTAACACACGTTACTGGAATCAGTGTGCGCGCGAACAAGGGTACAGCATTGCGTCCTGCCCGCTACAGTAATTTTCGTTCAAGCGTGGAATTTTCGCTTGTGCGTGAATTTCTGTGCGATGATAGACGAGGCAACCAGTTACCTCGTTTTCCACGAACTGTAGAAATTTGTGTGCAGAGGCTTGTGTCCGCGCGCTGGAAGGCCCAATCCTTCGGACTCGACTCACCTTATATTCGTTTTTTGGTACAGTGAGATTTTTTGAGCCGGGAAACGTGTGAAGGTACTAATATTCCCAAAATGTACGCGCTGGACACGCCCTTAGGGGAACATGCCAGCAGTTGGTCAGGTACACCAAACCAGCACATGCTCCGGAAATTAAGCAACCTCGTTATAGAGGGCCCATACCAGGAGCAGGAAGTACAGGTAGACATTACCTTTCCCAGTACGTGTAATTTCAGTGCTGTTACACTTGATTATTATGTTGTGAATAACCAGCTACACAACCCAACCTCATAACTAACATTTCAACTCCCTGCTGAGGGTAAAATTATTTGTTTCTTCCTAGCCCATCTTGTGCATTCCAAACTCAGAGTCGGATCAAACCATGCAGATTTACCTCCATATTTCACACAGATAAATGGCAAAAGAAGACGTATTGGGTCACACAAACAGGACATGCAGCTCAACATGCGCGGGTTGGATTGCCTCCACCCATGCCAAACACCTAGCATAGCTTCCAGCATAAGATAACCCAACTAAAATACTACCACAATCTAGTACCGGAAATCACTACACAATAGATGGTGCGTCCCCTACCCATGTGCATGACGCTCGCTGCCACCGAGTGCGGATACAATCCACGAGGGGAGCTTCACGCGAAGCGCGCTGCATCGGATTCACACTCGAGTCAAACGAGTCTGCCACCACCTCGGGAGGAATATCATCCGCCCCACTGCCCTCCGGCCTTGGTATCATCATCAGATCCTCCGGGGACCATTTGGGCGGCACGGTCACATGGAGCCGGACTAATCTCGGCCGTTGATCCATTGCAGTCAACGGCAGTGATAGCACACGCTGTGGCACATCCAAACCTCCATACGACATGTCCCCTGCTCCATTTCCCCCAGAAACTCCTGCTGCTGCTGCTGCAGTGCTGCTTCCTGTCTGCACGCGCTTTGCAATCCCATTGAAGTGATACAAGTCAAATTTCCTGCTGGCAGGTCGTCCCCCACTCGACCCCTCTCTCTTGAACCCTCCCTGGGATCGGTCCAGCTTCAGCAGAGCCTGCCACAGCTCGTTCCACACAATTACCCCCAACGCCGAAAGCGAGTCTATTGTTTCCGGAGGGAAATTTACCCTCAGCTCAGCCAGCATTGGTTGAAGTGACTCCACAGCAACAAACCCCCCTCCCCCGCTGGTATCAAAGCGGTCAAACACCTCTCTGACCCGCGACTCCTCTGCTTCCGCATCATTCTCCTCCTGTACTTCAGTCGAAAGCGCAAAGAGCACGGTGTAGTGCGATTCGCTGCCCACCACCCAGATGGGCAGCTTGGGATGTTTTAGTCGCTGCCCGACCTTGCAGAGGTTGAGGGACTCCAGGAGTGTGAGGAAGCCCACCTGGGCCTCTGAGGGAATGCCTTTAAGCGCCATGCCTCCTCCCAAGTCCATGGTACCATCAAATACGTTCGCCACTGCCTCACCACACAGCAGAAGGTTCACAATCTCCTGGAGAGGGTTCAGGCAGGGGTGTGAAGGAGAGGAGAAGCGTCAGTGATGGGGATGAGGTCGCATGACGAGAAGGCTTGAAAGAACTTGTTGATAGAATCGTGGGGGCTAGGCATGAGAATGGATAGTGAACTCAGTGTTGATCGGAGGGAGTGCGGGATGAAAGGAAGGGCTAGTGACTGAGCAGAGCTAACCAGTTTCCTAGCAGGGCCATGTGAGGCACGATGGCACCAACCTGTGAGGCATGGCCGAACGGGCGTGTGACAAGCGGTGGCTCTGGGTCGTCCCTGTCCTCTTGAACTCGCTCCTGTGAGGGGAGACAGCCCAGAGGGTAAAAGCAGAGAAGAAGCATGAGCATATCTGAGTTTTTTGGAAGAGGGGCAGAGTAAATAGGAGGTATAAATTTCTGAGCGAAGGTCAGCCTACCGAACCCTTGATATTACTTATGCTCATCCCCTTGACGAACAGGTGCATTCACTCACAAGTCCTCTGGAGAGCAGCGCTGAGAAGAGTAGCAGCAGTGCGCCAAAGTCGCTCTCAAAGACTGGAAACAGCCGGTGAAGCGCCTTCGCCACGTCAGCATGCGACGCCCCCGCCAGGTGTCGCACTCTGACTGCTCCTTGAAGTGATTTCACATCGCTGATTGGGCTGGTCAGTGGTTGTTGAGAGGCTGAAGTAGCCAAAGCAGCCAGCCTGTGTGGTGATACGGCAGCAATGACAACTCTCTGCCCTCTGCTTGGCACCCATAACGACTCTGCCATTGCCAACACCAGTGCCCTGCAGCAGGGGGAATAAAGGGGGACAGAGGAGCAATCCCTTGTGTTGTCAGAGAAGTGACCGCTTGTGTTGCCAACCAAAGCTGCCAGCCTGTGTGGTGATACGGCAGCAATGACGACTCTCTGCCCTCTGCTCGGCACCCATAATGACTCTGCCATCGCCAGCACCAGCGCTCTGTAGCGGAGGTAGATAAAGAATCATTATGAGGAGGGGGAGAATGGGGAAGAAGGGGGAGGGAACGGATAAAGAGGAAGGGGAGGAGGAAGAGGAAGGTAAATGGGTTTAGAATGAAGGTACGGATGGATGGCAGCAGCACAGATTTGAGAGAATGACACAGGGAGAGGCGACACAATACATAGCTGAGGTGAAGAGCTAAATGTTTACTCTTGGGAGAAACTTGACGAGCCAATCCCTCCATTGCTCATTGCGTACTGCTTACCTTCGTCTCTCAACCTGTGAGAAAATCAGAGCGGCCTCTCCTCCCTCGCCTTCTTCTCCCCCCTCCCCGTCTCCGTCCCTCACAGCTTCCAAGCCTGGCAGCGCAGCAGAGTCGCCTGAACCCTCCCCCTCTCCCTCTCCTGCCGCCACAGCAGCCATACCAGAGGCAGCACCAGGAACAATCCCAACCACACCACCACCAGTAGCAGCACCACCTGCACCACCTGTATCACCAGCAGAACCAGTAGCAGCAGCAGCAGAAGCAGAAGCAGAAGCTCTATGATACACTCTCCCTTGCACATCCAGGCCTGGCATCGAGTCATAAAACCTCATATCATCCTCTTCCCATCCTCCCTCGTCCGCCTTCCTCCCCTCCCCTGCCTGCCCCCCCTGCTGCCCAGCGCTCGCCCCCCCAGAAGCAGCACCACCGGCAGCAAGGGCGGCGGACGCGGAAGGCGGGCAGGAATCCGCGGGGTGCGCGGGCATGGGGGGGAAGAGGAGGTATTTGAGCAGCAGCGCCTGCACTGGCGCCAGCACCCCGCACGGCCCCCCCTCCCTCTGCACTAGCCCTAACGAAGTCGCCGGGTCGTCACTAAACCTGAGGCAGGAAGGACAGTCGTAGGGCAAGGGGGGGTGTAGAAAGCAAGGGAGAGAGGATACGGAAGGTGGGGAACGAGGGACTGGGAGGAACGATGCCGAGATGTTTTCACAGATCAATAGAAGGTAAATTGGAACTATACTGAAACTTCAATGTATTACCTGAAGCCCTGTCGGGACCACTGCGAGAGGGTAGCAGCAGGCGGGGACCGCCCAAACACCATGTCGAACAGCCGAAACGCGTCGTCCAATGGCAACTCCGCCAACCCCTGCTCAACCTCCCAACGCCTCTCCGCCTCCCTCCACCCCTCTCCACCCACCACAACCTCCCCACCACCCGCCGTACGAGCATTCCCAGACCCCCCCATGCCAGACCCCTCAGGTACAGCCAAGTTCGATTTCGATCCCTCAGCTTCCGTTGCGCTTCCCTCTGTAGTTTTCCCTCCGAAACTCGCGTCTTCGGTTCCTGGAACTCTCACGTCTCCTGCCTTGCCTTCTACTGACGCCTTCCCGCTAGTCTGCTCTGCCAGCGAATCGCATGCCTGATCCGCCATGTCAATGTCATGGACACGTGGCGGAATGGGATTGGCAGGAGCAGAGGCGGTCGTGGGAGCCTTATCTACACGTGGATCGGGCCTGACAGTAGTGCTCTGAGGACGGCTCGACGTGGCAAGAGCTGGAGCTCCCGAAGAGGCGACGGCTGATCCGATATTGGTTGATCCGATTTTGGCCGATTCTGCACTGGGCTTTCCTAAAGCAGCCATTCTTCGTTCTGCGGCTGCTGCTCGAATCTCCCGCTGTATCCGCCTCTCTCGCTCCTCCGCCGACTCCGGTCTCGATGCCACGCGACCGCTATAAGAACCCCCGCTATAGCCACCTCCCGCTTGTCCGGGATCCGATCCCTCATCCTCGGATTTGCTGCGCTTCGCGGATGGCGGACAAGGGTCAGGACTGACATTCAATCCGCTGGTGGATTGGGAATTGATACCGCTGCTGCTGGTCTGAGGGTTTCGCGGAGAGCCGTCTGCTGGCGGATGACTCGTTAAGCTCATGCGAAAGGCCCGTTGCAGCTGCTCGTCCTCGTCGTCAGCCATGTTTGCCAGCCTAGAGAACGGTCGAGAACAAGCCGACCCTTGCTTGAGCTGGCAAATCCGGGGAACAGCAACCAGATGACAGCAGACGGGATTTTGAAGTTTCTAACTCGCATGAGCACGGGAAATGGGAACTGGGAATGGAGGAGGAGACCGAACTGAAGTTTCACGCTGGCAGGCAGCATAAATCTGGGAGAAAGGTATTTCTCGCGAACATCGTTGCACGTGTAGACTGGTGGTGACAACCAACGGCCATTGCCAAACGCGGGAAAAGTCGGCGTCATCTAAGCCGTTCAAATCATCCAAGGCTCACACGAAAACAACCCCGTTTGGATGCGTTCAGCACAGCGTACTGACGGAAGCTGTGTCAGTCTAGTGTCAATATATATTGCTTAAAACACAAAACAAACCTAGAAAATCTCCTTATTTGAGCTCTTTATAGACCTATTGATGGATTTATCCAGGTCGTTTAAAGCTTGCCAAGCCACAATGCCAAGGGAAATTGTGCAGCACCCATGGCGAGGAGCATGTACCGGTGTCGCGATGAGTCACGGTCGTAGTGCCGGGTCTCCGCAAACATCACCCGCTTCATCGTCTTCACAAGGAACATTGCCATGCACAAGCTGCAACAAAAAAAAAAACAGACCAAGGAAACAGCACAATATGATCACCATGTACCTCCTGATCCAACAACAAACTCAAGATGTAATATCCAGCTGAAGGGCGTACAACAGAACCACCCTTGTGCAACAAGAAATAATACGGTACCTGTCTCTAACAGACCAGTTCTTTCTCAACCACTCACCTTGTCCAGATCAAAACCGGAAAGTAGGCCATCCGCCAGACGACCCAAGAGAGGCTTGTCAGGGAAATTCCAACAAACATGTAGCCAGCGTACGCCACGAGATCGAGCAACGGCGCATCGCCTGATGCCAACGAGTAGAGTATCGTCCGAAGCAGCAGCACCTCCAAAAACCACCCGATTAATCCCTTGCCAACACGCGCATTCACAAATGCAGGCGCAAACCTGCACAACAACAAAAAGAAGATAGTGAACCAGCTTTGGGAATGCATTCCCAGTAACGATACTAAGTGCTCCAATACTTCTAACAAAAAATCCTCAAGCCACACCCACTTTTGTGGTATGCTTTCATCCCACTCGAGCCTAGCTAACTCACCACCAGCCACTATCAACTGTCAACACTAACACCTGAACCCATCAAACATCTCACTCATCATCCACTCCCTACTTGCCCAACAAACCGCGGAGAGTCCAGCAAGCACGACGTAGGTGGCGAAGGCCAGGGCAGGGATGAAGAGGTCCGGGACGTTGATGTCATTGCATGGCGGCTTGTAGGTCAGCCCTCAACTCCCATATCTCACCCATTAACCCTCAACTCTAACATCTCACCTCACCCCTCACTCAACTCCCTACCTGCCCAGTAGGCCAGCAGAGAGTCCGGCAAGCATGACATAGGTGGCGAAGG